GCCTGAGTGACTACTAACCGAAGATTTTCGGGATACAGCATTCTTAGCTGGACTAGATACTCAACCCTCCCATACCAACCGTGACAGCAAAAGGTGCTGGGATCCGCATACTCTGTCTACCTGCAGATCCCGGAGCCAGAACCGAAGTTGTAAACAAGGGCCCATGCTCATGTCCTATGCCGTGCGCGTGCTACTCTGACACTACCGTATACATAGGCCTGCAACCATAAACCCCATCATAACTCTACGTATAGCGCAGATAAGTCTCCTATTGGTAGCTACGTATGTTGATTCTGGGATATAAGAACAGCTCTGTTTGGGTGATAACAGGCCAGAACCTGCAAGTAATGCACTTTAAAACGCCAAAACCCAGAAACTCAACACGCACAAATCCTAAACCCCAAACCCAAGCTCTCAAGAACTCTGAGAACCCTGAAATCCCCCACAAGCTTTGCATCCAAAGCCCCAGTCACCCCCAGACACATGCACCCCAACAAAAATCGCAAGAAGAAGCGACAAGGGCCTACGAGTGCGCATAACGGAAGGCTTAAACTCTCACAGTAAGATCCTCTCAGAACAACTGAAGAAAAACATGAAACTACTGTCAATCTGACTATAACACACTCCAAAGCACTCCAAAGCCCTTGAAAGGAACCCGTGGCCGAAACCATGTAATTACTAATGGCATTCCTTAGGGCTCATATCGGTCCGGGGCGGTCTTGGCTTCGCGAGGAGTGGGCCGACGACACCTCAGGGCTGCAAATAGGGTTTACCTTCACCCTGAATGACCTACCTTTTTAGGGTTCCTTATTATGCTCTCCTTGTATTATAAGTCCCTAAAAGGGTAAGTGATCCTGGGTTAAGGGAGGGCTTAAGGATCTTGGGTTCCTTTAAACGGATCTATAAGGGCTCCTATAAGGGATCCTTAGGGTTTTTTGGTTTAGGGTTTTACATAAGGGTTTAGGGTTTACGGGTTTAGGGTTTAAGGTTTTAGGGTTTAGGGCTTAAGGGTTTAGGGTTAAAGGTTTAGGGGTTTAGGAGTGTATTTGCCAGTTTCCAGAGACTCCTCGATTAAGGAATGTACCTTAAACTGTAGGGGGCTTCATATTATGGTTTAAGGTATATTCCTCAATTAAGGGGTACAGTACTGAAGATTAAGCCCCCAATAGTTGAAGGTATGTTCCTTAACTAAGGGGTATTGGGATCTTAAAGTTCTTCGCTGCGCCACGGCGTGCACCACGGTGGAACTGCTGGAGCAAATAAGGAGAGAGCACTACTCTGCGATGTAGCTGACGAAAACCGCCTAACTCACTTTGAGGTTCCTTTCGTTTATCAGCATAATATTGGGAAGCCCATGTTCCTTGTATGTATATAATTAGATATGTACATCCATATATATATATGTATATATATATATATATATACATACGTATATATAGATATATAATACAAAACACCCCCTTCTCTTTTGGCACCTGAGCATGAATCGTCTCTTTCGGGAATCTCCGAATGCGACTGAGGCCTGCGCTGCCCACCGGCCGAGGCCTGCTTGCGGAAGCCCAAGGGTTTCTGGTTTAGGGTTTAGGGAGGATCTGTAGGGTTCCTTTAAAGGGATCTATAAGGGCTCCTATAAGGGATCTTCAGGGTTTAGGATTTAGGGAGGATCTGTAGGGTTCCTTTAAAGGGATCTAGAAGGGGGCTCCTATAAGGGATCTTCAGGGTTTAGGGTTTAGGGCTTAAGGATCTGTAGGGTTCCTTTAAAGGGATCTAGAAGGGCTCCTACAAGGGATCTTCAGGGTTTAGGGTTTAGGGTTTAAGGATCTGTAGGGTTCCTTTAAAGGCATCTATAAGGGCTCCTATAAGGGATCTTCAGGGTTTAGGGTTTAGGGCTTAAGGATCTGTAGGGTTCCTTTAAAGGCATCTATAAGGGCTCCTATAAGGGATCTTCAGGGTCTAGGGTTTAGGGCTTAAGGATCTGTAGGGTTCCTTTAAAGGGATCTAGAAGGGCTCCTATAAGGGATCTTCAGGGTTTAGGGTTTAGGGTTTAAGGATCTGTAGGGTTCCTTTAAAGGCATCTATAAGGGCTCCTATAAGGGATCTTCAGGGTTTAGGGTTTAGGGTTTAAGGATCTGTAGGGTTCCTTTAAAGGGATCTATAAGGGCTCCTATAAGGGATCTTCAGGGTTTAGGGTTTAGGGTTTAAGGATCTGTAGGGTTCCTTTAAAGGGATCTAGAAGGGCTCCTATAAGGGATCTTCAGGGTTTAGGGTTTAGGGGTTTAGGGGAAGGGTTTAGGGGTTTAGAGTAGAGGGCTAGGATATTATTTAAGGCACACGATTCAAGGTGTAGGGTTTAGGGTTCAGGGTATAGGGCTCAGGGTTCTGCATAAGGGTCTGTATGTTATAGGTATTTATATCAGGCATGCGAATGGTTTTACGAGGGCCCTGTAGGGTTGTAGGTGGTCTCAAAGGACATTCTGGGGTGCCAGAAGGGTTTTGTAAGGGTTTTGGATGGCTGTGTCGCAAGCAGGAGTCTGTATATATAGGGCTTCTGCAAGTTTTATGTGATGTTAAACCTCCTTTTTGCAACTTGTTGAAGGCCTGTCTAGGGTGTTGTCTGGCCTGAAAAAGCCGCGCAAGGTTTCGACACAAGGCTTCGACGGCCCTTATAAGGGTTGATACGGCTGCATAATACAGAGCTCCTATATTATTAGGGCTACTCGCTGATGTTCAGCGATGGTTCTGGCTTTATGCAAGTTGTACACCCAGAACGCAAGAAAGCCTGTATAGACCCCAGGCTTGATGAAAGGTCCTCGAAAACCAAATTTCCAAACCCAGAAAGCAAGAAAACTCTATGGGAGGGCAACAACGGGGTTTAAGATTCTCGGGGTAGGGATTCCTTAATATGAATCCTATTATGGGAACCCTACTCCCTACTAAACCCTCAGAGGCTAAAACCCTTTTTGGGTAGTTCTCAAAATCATGGTCCCTTTTTGGGTACCCTCAGCATGAGGTGCCGTACTACATCAGGGACCCACAAAGGGGCCCTAATTTTGACAACCACTCATATTAGGGGTTCCTTATTTGGGGGCCCTTACAATAAGGATCCTTCTATTTAGGGTAGTATATTAACTAATTTTGACAACCACTCATATTAGGGATTCCTTATCTGGGGGCCCTTACAATAAGGATCCTTCCATTTAGGGTAATACATTAAGGTCCCCTATTTTCGGAAACTCCCATATGTAAGTGGCCTCCTGTACTTGGAAGGGCAGGGGACTTAGCAAGTAGGTTATAAGTCGGGTTATAGTTGGGGTAACTCCATTTAGGGTACTTATAACTCTACTTAAAACCTACTTACTAAGTCCCCTGCCCTTCCAAGTACCCTAAACCCTAAGGTCCTGAGATTTCGGCCGCGAGGATTGTGGGGTGTCAACTTGGGAGCTCAAGGCCAGGCTTGTCAGTGTGCTTAGGGTTTTAGGGGTTTAGGGTTGTGCTTAGGGTTTTAGGGGTTTCGTTTTTTTTTTGGGTTTTGGGGTTTTGGGGTTTAGGGGGTTTAGAGTTTTTTTGGGGTTTTGGGGGGTTCTTGGGGTTTGGGGTTTTGGGGTTTTTGGGGTTTGAGGTTTAGGGGTTTAGGGTTTTAGGGTTTGGGGTGTTAGGGTTTGGGGTTTAGGTTAACCCCAAACCCTAAACCTTTTACCTTTTCTTTCGCTAACTTCTTCTGCTGTGTGTATATCCACCAAGCTCGTACTGCCCATACCCGAAGTATCTTCGCATAGGCAGGTTTTGACCACTGATCTAGTACCCAAGCCTGACCCTCGGTGAACACTACCAAGAATCATGACTTAATGGTCCTTGAGTAAAGGGGTCTAAGCCTTAAGCCTGTACCCCCGCTGTACCTTACGCCCCTCAACTCCAAAAAAACTAAGCCTCTCAACACCAAATCCAAAAAGCCTCTGAACCCCACCCCCCCACATGTCTATGGCATACCTGAAGGCCATGGGCACCGCTGGCACCCCCGCAGGGACCGCTCCTGAAAAACACAGCGGATCCTTCCTTTCAGGCTTGGGATTCTGTCAGGGTTCTACTTGGAGGCCCAGGGGACTTACTAAGTCCCCTGGGCCTCTAAGTACAAAGGCTCTTTAAGAGGTCTACGAATTCTACAAGAATTCCACAAGCCACGTTCCGTGGCAAGGGTTCTAGAACAAACAGACCCTGCTTTTGACGCTCTCAGCCTCTTGCAGTGAACAGCGATACTCGTTGCACGAGAAGGCACCATCAGGATGCCAGAAGAGTACCATAACGTTTTATTGAGGCTTTACCTGTTACATACCTCTAGTTTTGTCTACACTTTCAGTTGTGGGTGGTGCGGGGCATTTTTAAGTCCTATCTGGTCAGCTACAAGAGGAACTACGCATTGGCGCTTGCAGCTAGGTTTCGAAGCCATCGCTCCTCAAACCCTGTAGAACGGACCACCCCATAGACCCCTCATAGAAAGAAACCCGAAAAACCTTATACTTACCTTTGCTTAGTAGGGAATGGAAGAATTGTAGTAAGAGTAGTTATAACTGTATCCCATTCCTCCACCCCCTACTCACCCAAGGCAAGTACAAGCCCACCCGAAGGTACAATTACAATAAGGAACCCCCTAGATCCCTTATAGAAAGAAACCCGAAACACCCCTAGAAACAAACCCTAAACCCTAAAGCCTAAACCCACCCCCGAAGGTACCAGCGGAGGGGTGGCTTCGGGCCTGCGACGCTCGCAACCTCCGGCGCCGCGGCACCCAGATGCCTCGGTTTAGGGTTGAAGGCTTAGGGTCCCTTTAAAGGGATCTATAAGAGCACTGGGCTCGAGTCCTACCAGGGGTAGTGCCGTTAGCAACAGATCCTCGAGAGAGCCGAACCGCAATGATTGGTGACCCTGTGTTGTCGGGGCTTTCAGTCGGTGCGCTTTTCGATGTGGTGGTCCATGTTCAGTCTTCTGATCTTCATGGGGCACAAATGACAGCCATTTGGCATTGTGAGAAGTGCCGTTGCTTGGGAACCTTTGAGGCTGATCGGATTTACACATTGTACGGGGTTCAGTATATGGGCCTCTTCGATGGTGTACACCTCTTGCGCTTTCAGGCAGATACAGTGGCAATTCTCAGGCCACACCTCACCAGCGAGTCCTACAATTCTGCCAAGGATGTCTGTGCAGGTGTTGGGGGCATGACTTACGGCCTTCAGCAGATTGGGGGATGCAGCTTGGCTGTTGTCGATTGCAACCGGCTTGCTTGCAAAGTGCTGAGAGAGAACTTTCCAGTGGTGGTGGAAGGTGACATCGCTGATCGTGACACACGCATTAGGCTGCACATGATCTCCCCTGAGATCCGCAGCATGCTTTGTGCCGGCCTTCCTGCCCAGGGTTCCCCTAGGTTCGGTTTAGGCCCTTCTTCGGGTGACCCTAGGTGGGTTCTTCTTAGCCATGTGCTGCAACTTGCCTGGCACTCTCAGGCTAGCGGCCTTGTTTTGGAGGGTCCTGTGGACTTAGCAAAGCAGCCATCCCTGCAGCAACTGCTGGGTGACTTTGCGACGCGAGCCGGCTTGCAACTGCACCAAACCACGCTGGACCTTGCCGACCAATGGGCCTCATCGCGGATCCGTTGGTGGGCGGTCTTGCTACCGACAGACCTGCCTGTGACACAGTTTGGCAGTTGGCCAGTTCACTCACCATTGATTGTGGTGCAAGACGTCGTACCGGAGTGGCCGGTGTGGCCTGCCGATGAGGAAGAAGCTCTGCTCTGGGATGTCCGGGAGACACAAGCATATGCAAACCCAGCCTTTGGAACCGAGGTTCGTACATTGACAGCATCGGGCCAAGCCCCGGCAGCATTGCACAGTTGGGGCAATGCCTTGCGACCCTGCCCGTGTGGCTGCCGCAGTCGCCCGTTCAGTGAGTCTTGTCTTCGAGCCCAGGGTTTAAAGGGAATCGGGGTTCCATCACAGGTTTGTCCAGGCATGCGCTTCTTGCACCCTCAAGAGGTAGGGTTTCTTAACACTTTGCCTCCCACCTTCAAGCTCCCGGTGGAACCTCGCGCGGCTCTGTGCCTGATCGGCCAGCTCACGGCCCCACTGCAGGCTGTTTGGGTGTGGGCCTCTGTGACCCAGGCCACTGCGCCTTGCTTCGGGCTTTTGCCAACCGACCCGGCCCTTGAGATCCATCGCTTCAAAAGCCTGCTTCTGCAACAACGCCAGGACTTTTGGCTGCTGCCATCCATGGTCTCTGGAGGCCAGCTGTCTCTTTGTGATGCCAGTGGGATGCGAACTGAGGCTGCCACGGGGCCTGTGACGGTGCAACAACTTGCCTGTGCTGAGGCCACCCTGCTGCCCCCAGGCTTTAAGGTCCAGATGTCGCTTCATGGTCGTGTGCTGCCTCGTTCTGCAAGGCTTGCCTTTGCCCCTGCTGGGCCGGTGTACCAACTGAATGTTCTGAAGAAGGCCGCTGCTCTGGCCGGCGATACGCCTCGAGCAACCACTTGCATTGAGCCCCCTGCAGTTGCTGATCATAGCCCTTCGGCTTCATTGACAGGCCCTTCGGAGCTGGTAGCTCTTCCTGCCCAGCCTATGTTGCCCTGCCCTTTGGATGCACTGCATACTGCTGCCGCTTCTGACTTTACCATTTGGTACGGCCTTGAGTTGTGGACCAGTTCTCCACTTGCCTCTGGCAACTTCCGATTGGTGCCTCCCTGTGCTGCGGAAACACTCCTGCAACTTCTTGGGGAAGACTTTCTACTTGATCCGCCCACGGAGCCCGTGCTTCCTCAGGGGCCACAGATTCTGATTCCTTTTGTGTCATGTGGACACTGGGCACTGCTGGTCCTCCTTGCTGGGCCAGCTGGCGTGGAAGCCACCCTCTGGGATAGTATTCCGGGTCATTGCTCCAGCACGGCCCGGCTACTGGCACAGACCTTCTGCCATCTTGACCAGGCGGCTCTTTTGTCGTTCGCAGTGCAGCACCATTGGCTGCAAGAGGAGAGTTGGACTTGTGGGGCATACGTTCTAGCCCATGCCGCTGCACTTGTCTTGGGCCGTCCAGAATCCACGCTGCTGGCCTGGGCTGTGGATTTCTTGATCAAGTTCCCTCCGCACTTGTCGGGTCTGCGCGGCCAGGGCGGGCTTTCTGCCGAGCAGGACAAAGAATTGCAGGCACTTCTTGTCAGTAAGGGTGTGCCGGTTGAGGAGGCAGCCAGTCGGGTGCAGGCTGCGATTACAAAAGTCGGTGCAGGCCCCATTGGCCAGGCGCTACAACAGCGCAACCCATGGCAGGCATTGAAGTCTTGTGCCTCAAAGCCCCAGAGCATGTTTAAGTGGGTGCACACCGACGAGCTCCAGGCACACGTGGAGCAGCGAGCACAGACCAAATTTGGGACCGAGATCCCTAAAGCCAAGGCCAAGAAAAGTAAGGTGAGCAAACGCCCCACCCAAGCTCCCCTCCACATCGATCCGGCTCAGCTTCGCTTGTCCCCGGGAAGCTTTGCGGCAACATCGGGGTCCCCGCTGGGCCAACTGTCTTTCGAGGAGGTCAAAGCCCAGGCTACAGGCATTTGCTTCTGCTCGGTTGCACAGGCATTGCCTTTTGTTGCACATGCTCGGAACCTTTCCGTGGACCCCCTGGCTTTGGTGACCACTGCGGAAATCCCTGAGGAACATGCAGGCACCGCTCGACTGACACCAGTAAGGTACCCTGCTGTTTTCACTCCGACGCAGGAAGCTGTGCTTGTCACTGGGACATTGGTCCAGCTGGGTGATGATAGTATCCAGCTTGCCTCGACTGACATCTCCGAGGTTGAGCACCTGGCAACGATTGTGTGCAAAATGTGCCTGTATAAGGATGAAACGGCCCTTCCTTGGGACAAGATTGTGGAGGCTCCCATCAGGCTTCTGTTGCAACAGCTTCCAGCGCTCCAGGTCTGTCGTGACCCCACTTGCAATGGAGCCTGCACTGCTTTTCATGCTGCTGTCGACGAGGTGGTCGAGCAACTCTTCTTGGACATATGGTCCCGCCAATGGTGCAAGCTGAGCGGCTCCCGCACCAAGGCTAGCGAAGCCGACTACTTCCAGGCCTACATTCGTGTGCCGGCCTCTGCGATTCAGCACCTGTTTCGGTCATCGGGGGCAGGGCTCTACTTTGAGCCTCGGGCCGCTGACGGCTCGGGCCCACATGCGGCGTGGACTGTGGTTTGGCTCCCGGGGCAAACTTCTTCCCAAGCTCACCATGCGCTCCGCACAACCGAGAAAGCCATTGCTCTGGCCCGACTTGGCAATCGGTATGGACTCAGAACCAAGGAACCAGACGAACAAGCAGTGTTCGAGGCAATGCGGCCCCAACATCAATTCATGAAAATCCGCGTGCAGGCACACTATCGGCTGCATCCTTTGCCCCACGGCCTTCAAAGGACTGCACTTGTGCAGCTACTCCGGCAATGGAATTGGACTTGCAAGCCTCTTCAGCCAGACCGCGGCGACTCGGCAGGTGCGGCATGGCTCGTTGGAGCCGCCGAGGATCCGCCAGCTCCAGCTTTGTCCTTGGGTGCCGACTTTGTCTTGGCTACTAAGGTTCGTGAGGTAGGAGCTGCCAACCGCCCACCAGTGCAGCCAGTCTATGCCTCGGCTCGTACCAAGAAGGCCATCCTCCTTCATGATGATCCGGATGTGCTCGCGGATCCCTGGGCTGGTGGCCTGGACCCTTGGTCCACGGCCAAAACTTCTGTGTCGGCTCCTTCCCAGGCTGCCTCATCTTCTTCAGCAGCAGTCACGAAGCTGACCCAAATACAAGATGATCTTAAGCAGAGCCTTCAGGAGGTAGTCCGCAAGGAAGTTGCAGCTCAGCAGCCATCGGGGCCGCCGCCGGGGTTGTCTGAACATGATCATCGGCTGCACCAGCTAGAAGTTGGTCTTACGGAGCTGAAGCATCAGAACACGAAGTTTGAAGGTCTCTTTCAAACCTTTGGGACCAAGGTTGCGGATCAAGCCAAGCAGCTTGAAGGACTGGCTGGCACAGTCAATGAACAACATCGCGAGCTCACCAAGGTCAAAACCGAGCTCCAAGCTTCTGTGCAAAGCGCTGTGCTGGGTTTGCAGACTGAACTTTCTACACAGATGTCAGCCCAATTGGCCGGGCAAATGGAGCAGATTCAGGCTCTCTTTTCTGACAAGAAGCATCGAACGAGTTGACTAGGGCGCTCCGGCCGCTCTTCTGCATGCAAGGGCGGGCCGGCTCTCCATTCCTGCCTGCGTTTTCTTGTGCTTTTCTTCATGGCCTTTGGTACACTGGCCGATGCCGCCGGTTGCCTTCTGCCATCTTCCAGTGCACTGCCCTGTGATCGGGTTCGCCAGGCGTGCTCTGATAATCTCTACTTTGGCCCGATGGTCTCTCGCATCGGCGAGGCGGCCCATCCTGGACCTGTCGCCTCTACTGAGGTCTTCAACATCAGTGTTTCAAACCCATCTGGCTTGCGTGGCAAGGAGGCCCTCTACGAGCAACTTGCCGCTCACCCCGGCTCCGCCCGATATGCAGGCATCCATTGCTATGCCGAAACTCAGCTGTCAGCTGTTACCATGCCGGGATCCTGTGCTCGCTTCCGCCAGATTGCCAAAGCCTTGGGCCACCAGGCCCGCACAATTGCTGGGGCACCGGCCCCGCTGCGAACAAACAGCTCCTGGGCCGGTGCATGGACAGGGGTCCTTCAGGTTTCAAGCTTGCCGTGCCGGCCTTTCCAACTGCCTTGGAGCCCTGGTTTGTACGAAACTGGCCGATTGGTTTTGGCCTGCCACTACCACCACGCGATTCCTCTCCGCGTCGCCACTGTCTACGGCTATGCACCAGGCAATACCTGGCCGAATGCCAAAGCCGATACAGATAGTATGCTCAGCTTCCTTACTCGGGAGCTTGTTTTGGGAGCCCGTGGCTTTAGAGTCATCTGTGGTGACTTCAACCATGCTTTTGACAGCTTAGACCAATGCGCAGTGTGGCGCCGACACGGCTGGATCGAGCTCCAATGTTTGGCCGAGCGCCTTTGGGGCACACCTCCCAAGCCGACTTGCAAAGCAGCTACTCGCCACGACTACATTTGGCTTTCGCCTGAGGCTGCCGCCTGCCTTGTACAAGCATCGGTTGTTGACGTTTTTCAGGAGCATTCAACATTAATTGCTGGGTTCGAGCTCCCTCGCTCTACTGCCTTGGAGCGTACCTGGCCTTTGCCCTCGGAAATCCAGTGGAAAAGTGTGGACGTCGGTGCCTGGCACCGAATGGGGGACCATACTCCCGTGGATGCTCCGACCTCAACCCAATGGTTCGCTGGCTTTTCGCATGCTGTGGAGCGCAGCCTTCAAGGTTTCGCCCCCGATATGTACGGCGACCATATTCCTACGGCTTGTTTTGGCCGGGCCAAGCGCTTGAAACCTCAATCTGTCCGCAATGCCTGCCGAATTCCCAAATCTAGCAGGCCAGGCGAGGAACAGAGGCAGCATGATGGCCTCTGCCTCGAAGTTACCCGCTGGTTCCAGCAGCTCCGGCGTCTCCAGTCGCTCAAGCATGCACTCCATGCAGGCAGCTGCTCTGCCTCAGCCTTGGAATATCGATCTTCTCTTTGGGGCTCCATCTGCTCTGCTCGTGGCTTCCGTGGCGGATTTTTACGGTGGTGGCCCAACCGGCCGTACCGCCTTGTGGGCAGCCCCAACCTCCTGCCCTCAGCGGTCCCAGACCTCCAAACAGCTGTTTGTGTCTTTGAGGACTTCCGCTGCAATTTCCGACACCTTGAGAGTTGGCACCTTCAGAATCGAAGCCGGATCCTCCAAAGCAAGTACGATGCTTCCATGGCCCAGGTCTTTCATGAATTGCGCGACCCTGCCCCGGAACAGGTGGACACCTTGACGTTGTCCCGTGAATATGCCATTTTGGCATCCTCGCCTTCGGGTGACCATTTGCACTTGGAATCTTCCCTTGACCTCCGAGGAACCTCCACCTGGACTGTGGATGGCGCCCCTGTGGAGATCCTCTCCCATGATGATGTTGTGTGCACCTTGTCCACTGCAATCCCCGGTGTTCCGGAGCGCCTTGAGCAAACACAGGTGCTTTCTGCCGTTTCCGATATACACCACGAATTCACAAGTTTGTGGGCCTCCCGGTGGCAAAAACATGCCAACCATACGGCCTCCCATTGGCAGCGATTCTTGGATTTTGCTACTGCATTTCTCCCCCGATACTCCCTTTCCCTGCCGGAAATCACATGTGAAATGTGGCTCTGTGCCGTCCGCCGCTTCAAGCCCAGAGCCGCTCGTGGCCCAGACGGTTGGGCCAAACAGGACTTGTTGCTGATGCCTCCGGCTCGTGTTGAGCAGCTCCTTGCCTTTTTGGCAGAGCTGGAGGCGGACTCCCGTCCTTGGCCACAACAGATGGTCACTGGCTTTGTCTGCCTTCTTTGCAAGGGCAACGGTCGTACTGATGTGCACGGCTTTCGGCCGATCTGCTTGTACTCGATTGTCTATCGGACTTGGGCGGGGTTGCGCTCCCGCCAAATCCTGCGCCTCCTTCGCTCTCAGCTCCCTGACGACTTGCATGGGTTTGTCCCAGGCCGTGAAGCTGCATCGCTGTGGTATGGCATTCAAGCCGAGATCGAGATTTCTGTTCAAGGTGATGCCCCGCTGCTGGGGGTTTCCACGGATATCATAAAGTGCTTCAACAACCTGCCTCGGCTCCCATTGCTGGCGGTGGCGGCTCGCGCCGGGGTGCCGTGGAGTGTTCTGAATCCGTGGGCTTCTTTCCTCCAGCAGACTGAGCGCAGGATCGTCATCAGAGGTCAGGTCAGTGAGCCGATACGGTCTACCTCCGGATTTCCCGAAGGATGCCCCTTAAGCCCACTTGCAATGTTGCTGGCGGACTTTGCCTACCACACTTATATGCAGGTGTTCGCGCCGCAGGTTCGTGCAATGAGCTATGTTGACAATCTGGTCAATCTTGCTGTCACACCGGCCGGCCTTGCTTCTGGCTATCAGGCTACTCAATGCTTCATGGATCTGTTAGAGTTGGAGCTTGATCAGCCAAAGACTTATAGCTGGGCAACGACACCATCAGATCGTCGCGCTTTGCTGGCCCTCGGCCCCGCGGTCCTTGAGCATACTCGCGAGCTGGGTGGTTACCTGGCATTTGGACCCAAGACTCGCAATGCTGCCTTAGTTGATCGTTGTGAGGCCTTGGCTCCTGTTTGGGCCGCTCTCAAAAGATCCCGCGCCCCGACCCACCTGAAGCTTCGGGCCCTTGCTGGCAAATGTTGGCCACGTGCTCTACATGGCATCTCTGGGTGTCCCCTTGCTGCTGGACGCCTCACGCATCTCCGTGCACAGGCTACTGGTGCTCTTCGCATCCGCCCTGGAGGTGTCAGCTCTTTGCTTCGGCTTTCGATTGCTCAACCTATGTGTGCCGACCCTGGCTTCTACGAGCTTTGGACCAGCATTTGCGACCTTCGTCGCATGGCGGGGAAGCTTTCGGGTTTCCTTTGCCGGTGGAGACAATTCATGATGTTTTTCGATGGTCGTTCGCTTCCCGGACCCTTTACAAAACTGCTACAGGTCTTGTCCCGGATTGGATGGTCAGTCCAGCGGCCGCCCCTTGTGACGGACCACGAAGGGTTGGTGCTCGACTTACTTGCTGCACCACAATTGCTGCTCCGTCACCGGCTCGAGCATGGTTGGTTGCAATTTGTGGCCTTTGCCCATCGACACCGCGATACTATGCGGGACCTCTCGGGCATTGAGCCTTCTCTTTTGCATGCCGACATCGACTCTTTGACGCCGGTCAACGCCGCTAGATTAGCTTCCCTTCGGGCTGGTGCGTTCATCTTCGGACACCAGCAGGCCAAGTTCGACGTCACCCAGACTGGTTTCTGTGAGCTGTGTTTGGTGCCGGATGATGCCGAGCACCGGGTATGCAGTTGCCCCAGATTTTCGGATATTCGACGCCCACATGAATGGGTATGTGAGATGTGGCCTCGATTGCCCATCAGCTTCACGCACCATTTGTTGCCTCCTGCGAACCCGCATCTGCCTCGAGTGCGGTCACAGTTACACAACTTGGTTGATGATTCTGGAGTCTTTTTCTGTGAGGGATTCGGGATTGGTTGGCAGCACCTCTTCACCGATGGTTCCTGTTCGGACCCTGGTAGTCCGGATCTTGCATTGGCAGCTTGGGGCGTGGTACATGCGGGCCTGGCTCGGCCTGTTGCTTGCGGCCATGTTCCTGGTTTGTTGCAGACGGCACCCAGGGCCGAGATTTGGGCGATGATCTCGGCCGTCCGTTGGGCTCTTGAGTATCGGCTTCCCTGCATTGTATGGTCTGATTGCCAGAACGTGGTCGATAGAGTGGATGAGCTTTTGGCGGGCTCCTCTTTAGACCATTGCGCGGACGACGACCTCTGGTGCATTTTGGCCGGGCTTCTGCAGCAACTGGACGGTAACCAATTCCTAGTCCGACATGTTCCTTCACACTTGGATCAAACACTCACTGAAAGCCCCTTCGAGGATTGGGTGGCAGTTAATAACGACCATGCCGACACTCTGGCTGTTTTTGTCAACAACAACAGGTCTGTGGAGTTCACGGCTACCTACAGTGCGGCGCTGGAATTTCATCAACAAACCTTGGCACAACAGCGAGCCCTCACCGCCATCTACCTGGGCATTGCGGAAGCTTGTGATTCCCGGCTCTCGTCGGGCCATGTGGAGGATGACATGCACGAGGCGACGGAGCCATCGGAGCTACACTCGGTTCCCAGGCGCTGTGACTTGGAAGAGCTTGTTCCGATCGGATGGAAAGATGTAGTGACACTGACACCAAGTGATCTGCCAACTGATTTTGTTATCCAGGTCTGCCAGGCACTTTTTGTACAGGACGCCAAGGCTTGCCATGCTTATGCTATTTCGTGGCTCGAATTGGTTTTTCTTTTTCATGTTTTAGGGGGTCTGGTTTATCCTGTTGCTGGTCCTCAGGGAGGCTGGGTGTCATCGACCACGGTAGCTTTCTTGCCTGCTCCACCAACGGTGGCCGGCAGACTTTCTTTCCTGCGTCGCGCTTTGCGACTAGCCCTGAAGCAGTTGCGGCTCCAGAGCCTGTTTTGTAGTGGCATTGATTTGAGTGATTTTGGGATCTCTTTCTCATTGGACGGTTTGGTTATTGGTGTTGAGGGGCAGGCTTTGCTTCGGGCGAGGGCGGCCCTAGGCCAGTTTGTACAGGGACGCAGAGTGACTTCGCACGCTGCGTTTGCCCGGCCTCTTTAGTGCTTCACCCCTCTGACCTAACCACGAACTCAGCTGGCTGCACTGCGTCCGCCGTGCACCAGTGACGGAGCCCGCGTGAGTTGTTAAAGGGATCTATAAGGGCTCCTATAATGGGATCCTGAGGGTTTTAGGGTTCAAGGTTTAGGGAAGAGCTCTGTCCTCGGATTTCTTGTTGCAGGATTTAGGGTTCTAGGGCCTTCAATACCGGGCTGAACACAATACAAAGGAGTGTAGGGGCGTTTGGTTCTAGGGGTTTCAATACACGGCTTAAGACTTCGGGGAGTTTGATATAATCCAGAGATAAGGGGTTTAGGTTAGAAGCTGCCCCCACCCTGTAATAGTGACCATAAGGATTATATAGGATCATATTAGGGCCCTATTATATTCCTATTATACCACTATTACAGGGTGGGGGCAGCTTCTAAGGTTTAGGGCTATTGCGGTTTGAATACAGTGTTGAAGGTTTAGGGCTGAAGGCGTGTGTTAAAGTGGTGAAGATCAATATTCGGCTTGAGGTTAGGAGTTTCAACATCAGAACAAGGTCTTCCAGGCTTTCACATGTTCTAAGGAATCGCATCGGGGCTAGGAACTAAAAATCAGAGTTTGAAGGATTTAAAAGTACAAGTTTGGGGGGTTTGCGGAAGCCTCAGCCCTTTGGGTTTAGGGCTTAGGGTCCCTCCTATTCGGGCATGCCCAGAGAGCCCAATACCCCTTAATTAAGGAATATAGCTATTAGATGATAATATGAACCCCCTTATAGCTTAAGATATGTTCCTCAATTAAGGGGTAAGACCCTACAGAGCCGCACAGAGCCGTAAAGGACACGGAGGCAAGAGAGCTCTAGATCCCCGCGCTCCTGCATGAGCGCATCCGCAACAACGCCGAATGCGTGTCACACTCGAATACCCATACCCTGGAAAGTACTAGGGGTTCCTTTAAGGGTTCCTTTAAGGGTTACTATAAGGGTTCTATGAGGGATCTATTAGGGTTCTATAAGGGATCTATAAGGGTTCTGTAAGGGTTCTATACCCTAAGGGTCCATGTACCTAAACAGCATATTGGCCTTAAAGTGGTCCCTACAGAGGTACATTGGGGCCAATGTATATACTATTTGGGACCCTTAGGGATTGAGCCCAGCATCCCTTAATAGAACAATGGTACCTAAATCACAAGAAGCTTTGCTGATTTCAGGTATGATCCTCGATCGCAGGGTTTGGGCTCTCTGGATACTTTGGCAGTATGATGGCCTGAAGGACAGGCATACGACTCGCAATTCATGGCTCTTCGTTGTGCCTGCTGTGACGTTAGGTTTTACACTTTGGGGACTCGCAAAGAGCCTAACACCCCCTTGAGGAAAGAGTAACACTTAAGTCATAACAGGCCAGTCTCTCTCTCTCTCTCTCTCTCTCTCTCTCTCTCTCTCTCTCTGTATATATATATATATATATATACACATACAAATATGTATATACAGATATAGAGTAACATCGTAATTGAGCGGCATACCAAAAGCTAGCCCCTTGAATCTTACCCCAATGGCCCTAAACCATAAAGCCCTAAGTCAACCCCCAAAACTCATGAGAATGCTCAGCACATGAGTAAGTGCTCGGTAGTGCAAGGAACACTTGATGGAATTCAGGTGCTTTGGTTAGGATCCTGGAATAGAAAGTGGTGCAATCAAAATTCGCAACAATCCAGGTTGTAGGTAACGTAGGGGTCGCAAGAATCGTAGTTGTACTTCTGCTTCGCTATGACTTGTACATTATAGTCTAATGTGCCTCAAAAACCATATTCTAACCCTAAACCTAAGAAACCCTGGGCCTTTATTAGGGCTCCTTATATGAACCCTGCTAGTTTGGGGATTGTAGGCCCAGGGTTTCTTAACCAGGTTCCTATATGGGAGTTTCCGAAAATAGGGACCCCAATACAGTATCCCAAATAGTAAGATCCTTACTGTGGGACCCCAAATTTCAGGTACCCCTGTTTTTCGGAAACTCCCACATTAGCTTATGGAGCCATCGGTCCCTGCGAACTTCCCGAGCTCCTGGCTCCGCACCCCAGGCACCTCAATACAGAGAGCCGATTGGATGAGGTTTTGGGGCCCTCTAAGGGGTTTCAAGTTTTATTTTTTGCGGGCCCTTTTCCAACTGCGATACAGCAGGGGTTCAGGGTTTAGGGTTTAGGGGTTTGGGGTTTAGGACCCAGGGTTTTGAATGTAGAACTTGCCGGATCAGGGCTGCTTGCGTTCCTGCACCACGACGTGGGAAGTATATTCTGGCCGATGTAGGCCGCATGAGATACGAGAAGGACCCGGGCTAAATTACTGGCTAAGGCAGGGCGGCCGCTCGTAAAGCTTCTACATGGTTACATGAGAGCTTCAGAGGATAGGGGATCCTACGTCCAGCTCCCAAACGCCAAGCCTTGGGATCCCCCTAAACCCTAAACCCTAAACCCTAAGAGACACCAAATAAACTGCACTGTTTACGCCGCTGGTCAGCAACCTGATCTCCAACTTCCTGGGTTTAGGCGTTTGGTGTTCAACAGTTTACAGGGAACTCCAGAAAGTTGGAATATGGTTTCAGGGTAGGATCCCCTATAATTTACCATAAAGGGTTTAGGATAATCATATTCCAACTTTCTGGCTTTTACTGTAAGGGTCTACATAGGGCGTAGGGTTTAGGGCTTCTGGGGTCTGGAGGTTTCGGGTCTATAGGGTTTTTAGGGGTTTAGGGGCGTAGGGTTCAGGGGTTTAGGGTGGAGAAACGAAGGAAGGCTACGACTGGTAACCCACTAGAACTACAGTAAACCCCATAAAGTTGGAAACCGGATTAAGGCCAAAAAGTGCTGGGATACCCTATATACATTACTCTTAAGGATTGAGGCTATTGGCTTTCCAACTTTTGGGCTTCTACTATATGGAAGTTTCCTTATTTTGGGGTCCTTATAATAAGGATCCTACTATTTAGGGCTAGATCCCCTATTTTCGGAAACTCCCACCCCTAAACTCTAAACCATTATAGAAACCCTTAAAGGAACCCTTATAGATCCCTTTAAAAGGAACCCTAGGATCCCCTATTTTCGGTAAACTCCCAGATCTGAAAAAAGGACCAACTTTGGAACTTCTTGTGACCCGAAGCCTGTGCCACATCGCCATCGCCATCACCATTAGAATAGGGCTCCTTTTAAAGGGCCTACGAGAGGGGTTACTATAAGGGATCTATAAGGGATTAGAATAGGGCCTCCTTTTAAAGGGCCTAGGAGAGGGGTTACTATAAGGGATCTATAAGGGATTAGAATAGGGCTCCTTTTAAAGGGCCTAGGAGAGGGGTTACTATAAGGGATCTATAAGGGAGGCACCACCACCACCACCACCACCACCATCATCATCATCACCTATAAACTCACGTGAACCCCTTCCCCCACGTCTCCGCAGAGCCTTTGCCATAGCCCCACATGACCTCCAGGGGGAGGCGTTAGCTGTTCTTGGTTTGGGGTGGTTTTGCTTAGAGCTTGTGGCTTTGAGGACTCTGGATGAGTGGTTTGGGGATTCCAACTTTGGGTTGCTAAAAGCATTTTTGAAGCTTTACCTTAAGCCGGAATAACCTACCTTTTTAAGGACTCATATAAGGAAATCATAATAAGGAACCCTGAAAAGGTAGGTTATTCCGGCTTAAGGTAGGCTTGAGGTGTTGAGGGTTTCGGGTTAGGATGCAGGATTTTGGTTTCAAGGTTCGGGTTTCGGATTTCCTGCGCCCCTGCAGGTCGCTAAACCCAAGCGGCTTCTAGGGGGTTTCCGTTCGATGTATCTATGTTGCATTTTTCCAGAACAAACATAATCGTCCCAAAACCGGTTCGCATTATCAAAGCCCTTGTATTGCCACCCAAAAGCCCAGCTCTAACCACAAACACAGACCCACACACTAAACTAAAGACCTTAAGTTATTCGGGTTTAAACCTTGCTGAACTCCCAGAAACCTCCATGTAGACAACTCGGAACTCAATCCTAAACCAACACCTGCACCCTCACAGCCTCTTCAAAAGTCCGCTGATTAACAAGCTTTACAAATATGAAATCCGCTATAGTACCTGACACCCTTTATGATCATATCCCTGCCAGCCGCCGTCACACCACAACAGCTCTGACAACAGCCACGTAAACGAATTGAACTTAGTAACCCAGCGAGCCCACTACCTCAGGAGTCATGAGGAATGGACCGTAAGTTATAGGGGCTCTCATAATATATTATGATTTAAGGTATACCCTTCAGTAGGTAAAATCACGGCCCAGCTTATGAAGGGCTATCCGTCTACACTGTTGTGGTCCTGGCATTGCTTAATCAAGGTGCTATGATTTAGGATACGTAAAGATACATACATACAGTTATATGTATATACACACTTATGTCAATCTCTTGTGCTAAGTCTACTCAGATCGCAAGTCAAGTGGCTTCAAATATAGGATGAAAATAGGAAGAACATGGGATTCTTGGTTTGTCGGAAATGGAAACAAAATAAGGAAACAAAACACATCTGGACAACAAAATCATTGGAATCCCTGCCCACGCTCCCCGCGCCACTCGCCACCCTGCTACATTTCTAATTCTTACACTATGTTGCTACAATTTTCTGATATTTTCTATTATGGTGTTCATACTTGCTCATATTTTTCATATGTTATTTTGTAGTTTTCCTATTCTATTCCTATTTTCTATCTCCTCGTCTTATCATATTCTTGTTAGTTTATTCACATTCTCTCATAACTTTCCATTTGTCCCGTATTGTTCAAATTCACATTCTCCAATTTTCCTGCAAGCCCCTTTAAACCCTAAACCCTAAACCCTAAACCCTAAAACCCTAAACCCTAAACCCTAAAACCCTAAACCCTAAACCCTAAAGTCCCTAAACCCTAAACGCCTAGATTTGGGCCTTGACGGTTCTCTAGGATTCGCCCTCTTGAGCTTCTTTTCCGATTTTGTTGTTCAAGTTTCTTTCCTATTTCCTGTAAACCCTTCAGTCCTACTTACTTCCTAATTTATCTCCTATTTCTGGAAATCATCCTCTAGACTCACTCCTGAGATTGACATCAATATACACATATCTTAATTAAGGGGTGTTGGGATGGCATGCTATGAAGGCCTGCTCCCTGGACAATGATAGTCGGCGGCCAAGGTCAAAGCATTGAGCTTAGGGCTTAAGGCTTAGGCTTTGGGGTTTGGGGGTTGGTGGGCTTGGGCTGAGGGCTTGGGGATGTTGTCGTTTACAGGCTGGTAGTGATTTTGGCTCCGGCTGCGTAAGCTTTCGGGCTGCGTGTAAGTGTCTCTGAGGCTGCATGGTGTTAGGGTGCGAGGGTGTTGGGGGTGTTCAAGGAGTAGGGGCTTTTGGGGCTCTGGGTGTTCCAGAGTGGGTAGTATCAAGATTCTACAGCTTTTTAATTTGGGTTTCTGTGAGAACTGCAAGTTCTATAGGCGATGAAAAGCTTCAGGGTGCGCAGCGTGGCGGCTTTTGGCTTTGGGCCGGAGTTGCTGTTGAAGCTTTCGGTTTGGGGTGTGCAGGGTGCAAGGTTTAGGGCTTCGGGCTTGAAGAAAGGCCGCGGTACATTCTGATGCTAAGTCCCCCTGCTGCTGACTCGCAGCTTGGTCTTGACGCAAGGTTTTAGGGGTTTTGGGTTAGGCCCTTCGTGAACCTTAGACGCCATTCTAAATACGACCGACCTAGGGCCTGGGTTTCCGTACGGAACCCGCAGGCAAGCGACTCTTCTATGTGCCAGCAAGAAACCTTTGTGGTCTTTAAACTTTAGTCGGCGATTGACTGCCGGCGCTTGTGCCGAAGCATTCAAAACGTGTGTGTCTGTGTGTGGCGTTGGTATTCCCTCAACCCTAAACTCACCTTTGCTTAGTAGGCAATGGAGGAATGGGTACCATTATAACTACTTCTCTGGCATTCATTCTTCCATTCCCTACTAACCCTGGCTGTAGTAGGCCTCTCTTCGGATGGACGTGCTGGTGAAAATCTCTGGTAGTGCGCCAGTTGGAGAGATCTCATGTGAACAAAGATGCTACTATCCCACTGTGTACTCTTCGAGGTGAGGGTTATTTATTTTCACCAACTCCCATTTCTGAGCAAGTTTAGGGTTAATGGGGTTACCTGAGCAAAACGGGATGTTCACAGGTATGAGGTTCATTCTGAATCTCATAGCAAACTCACCAAAGCCGGCAGCAAAGAGCGGCGTCTTTCTCCCGACAACTCAGACCGTTTCCCAACGAGGGAGTCGACCAGGTCCAGCGCCCGACGTCTGCGTTCGCTGTGCCAGTCTCGCCTGTGCTAGATCGCGTAGAAGTGACCGCACGTGGGAGTGTTTCGGGTTCGGGAACTAAGCAACCCCGACAGATAGTGACCCTAACTCCTTCTGTCGTGGTGGTCGTGGATGCCTTGGTCGTCGTGATAGTGGTCGTTTGCTCTGCCATTGTGTGTGGGGGATCGATGCTGGCATAGTTTAACTACACAGTTCTGGAGTCCGCACAGCACCTATGACAACTCTTCGACCAAAAACAACACAAACCCGAAAATGCACTGGCTTTGGGGAGTTTGCTCTTTTGCCTGGATGTGGTTTATTCTGGTCTTCCAGGCTTTTGACACCTGGAGGTGCATCACAACACGTGTTGCTTTGGTAGCCATAGATGTCAGGATGAGCTGGTTCCTTGCAGGGCTCTATTAGCCCATAAAAGTCCTACGTGGGCTTATGGGTTTGGGAGCTTAGACTTAAGAGCTTAGGTGCCGACGAGAGCCCAATCCATCCCTCAAACAAGGAATACACCGAAATCTAACTGCAACATGCAGGGCTTCTTCGTATTGCTGGGAGAACAGTGCCAGTGATGGCACATCCCAGTTCATGCACCCTGACATAGGCCCGAAATCGGAGCATCGTCATTACAGGAACCCCTGCAGAAGGTACCCTAACCCTTATAGCAGTCCTCAAACGGGACCCTAGACCCTAAACCAGGGGTTATAGAAACCACTAGCATCTAAGAAAGCCCCATGTGCATGAAGGCACGAAGAATATCCCTCGTGATTCACTTGCCAAAGAAAGGCAGGTAGAGGTCAGCGATGCCCTACACCCTACACCCCTGAAGCACAAAGCATCCTAAGCCAGTTTTACACTTATGACGTGTCATTGTCCTCAGCGCTGAGAAGCACTTCTGTCCACCGTTTCACGGTGGGTGCATCAGAGCTGTCCATGAAGCGGAAGACTTTGCTTTTTAAAGTCTCCTGTGGTGCACTAAGCCTCCGCGCGGCTTGTTGAGCTCGGAGGTCGAGATCCTCACGGCTGAAGCTCTGCGGAAGGAAGATGACGGCAATGTCTTGAAACAAGACACGGATGAGTACGCCATACAAATGTAGGTCGTCTATATCCAAGGCCGATTCGGGAAACTCTGTCGACACGGAACTGGCGGCAGGCACTCGAAAACTATCCTCAGCAAGCACTGGGATCATGCAACATGATGGTGCCTGGTAGGCTTGAAGTAGCCATTCTTGGACGTGCTCGGATCTGAAACAATTCTCGCTGCACAGCATCAGAGACATCTTGGTGGATACCGCGACTCTGGAGCCTTTCAAGAGCACCGAGGGAACGGGCATCTGTGTGCCCAAGAGAAGTGGCTTCAGCAGCGTGGAGAGAACCAGAGCGGATGCCACGGCTTCCAGGTTATCGGGATCCACCAACAGGGGAAACTCAGAAGACCCACCTGGGCATTTCAGAAAATTCCGGTTCCCAGTTTAGGGTGCGAAAATGTAAGGTTCCCGCTAAAATAGAATCAGCATGGTTACAACTACTTGGCGGCGGCTTCTTACGCGACCTATACTTTAGGAGAACAAAGGGACATCCCCCAAACCCCATTCTCCTGTTAAGGCCCCTTTGCTCTTTCAGCTTACCTCATCTGGGTGGTTGTCAATATTAGGGTCCCTTTTTGGATCCTTAATATAATACGGCACCTAATATTTAGAGTGCCCAAAAAGGGACCATACTTTTGACAACTACCCATCTTTCAGAAGCTCACACCTCTGCTGCTTGATCGAGGTCCTTTCTGGCCAATGCCGATGACAGAATCGATCATCTCAGCCATGTGTGCAGGGTTGAGCTGCCCAGGGAGGCGGACCTTCTTCACCGAAGTCAACTGCCTGAGCAGGGTTCAGGCATTTTTCGGTCATTTTTCTATCATAACCTAGTTCATACTATCCGGCGCTGTATCAAACGGTATTTTTATTAGCTCTACTTTACATTCATGAGGATCTGGGGGTGGAGCTTTGTCAGTGTACGTCGCGTGTTTGTGGTCGGCTGGAGCTCGCAACGAAACAACGAAAGGAACCCACAACGATCAAGGCTGCTATCAAAAAAAATGCCGCTGTTAAATCCTAACCCCTGAACCCCTAGACGCTAAACCCTCAGTTGTACACCCGTAGACCCTAAAGCTTACAAGGCAATACTAGCCGGGCTCCTTCGATTCCTAGGACCTGCAGCGACCAACCTATTCTAAGGTAAGCAGAGCTATGTCTATATTTCTGTATCTGTATCTGTGTATGTGGTGTGCGGGCATGCTCTCTGGACAGAACCAAGCCAGGTACCTGAAGGTGTCCTGGACATCGGCCAAGCCAATCCCAAACCTTACCAGCTCGTGAATATCTGGCACCGCGCTGTCGACACTCTCTATGAAAGCCTCCTCAGCAAAAGGGCTTCAGTGGCACTGCAACCACCACATTGCAGATGAATCAGGAACCCTAAGCCCTAAATCCTAGAATCTAGAACAGCCGTAGAACAGCCTCCCATGCTATAAGGCAACCCCAAAAAGGAACTACAATGGAGACTATAGGTAACTAGGGTTGCTTTAAGGCTTTAATTAAGGTTCCCAACTCACGTCCCAGTCTCCTCAGGCGGCCTCCAGTCAGGCCATTCCAACCTAGGTGGGGCTTTTAAAGCCTTTGAAAAGTATTAGTTAATAAGATCCTCTTTTTTTTAGTAAATAAGATCCTCTTAACCCCAATAAGGGAAAATATAAATTGTCCCAAAGCCCTACCTAGCAACAGCAAGCTTCTGACGCCACTGGCTCGAGCGGTAACCATCTCACCTCAGCGTCCCGAAAAACCCACATGCGACTGGAAGAAATGCAGGACGTGCGACCCCAATGCACAGAGATGCGCGTTGAAATCTCAGCATGCGTGGGAGAACTGGCAGCGGTGGCAGTGACAGTGGTGGTGTTGGTCGTCGTCGCCGTTGTTGGCGTCGCAGCAACGGCAGCAGTAGTAGGAGTGGTTGTGCTGGTGGTACCAGCATTTAATTTGACGCCGTAAGCCAATGTTTCCAGAAGCTGCTCAAGGTTGCGCCTTTCTCGTGTTTCGCTTCTGTTGGCTTCGGGGGATTGCGTTTTCCCTCGGTTCTGTTGAAACTTTCAAAGGCAAGGACTCGCATGTGTCACTCCTTATGCTCAATGTCAGCTTCACCTGAACACGGCCAGTCTCCGCACATACTTCTACGTGTGTGTGTGTTGTGTGTGTGTAGGTGTGCGTGTGTGTCTGTGCCCCAAAAGACTACTGTTACTTCCCCCCATGCATGTACATGTGCGGGAAAGCAGGCAGCCAGGATAACGAGTTCAGCAACACAAGAAGATCAACAAGGAGGATCCAACATTGGGGCCCGAGAAATGGAATAGGGTTTGGCGTTATGTCAGTCTTTGCGTCATAGTAAGAACACCCAAACTGGTATGGTAAGTATTTAGGTCCCTATAGTCAGCGAGACATGCGGTCACGGCCGGGGTTGTGGCCTCTGACCTCACGGGATGCTACAGCTTAAGCCCCAACAACGCTGTTAAGTCCTCCATACAAGTTTATGTAGAGGAATCAAGTGTCATTAAAAGCAGAGCTCAGCAAACCATTGAAAAAGAGAAGCAGCACAGTGGAGGACCCAAGTTCAGCCAACCTCAGGTCCAGACAAAGCGAAAATTGACGAGTGCAGCGCAGCGTAACAAATACGCAGTAGTAGTCGTCGTGGTCGTGGTCGTGGTTGTGCCAGCTCCAGTGCCCGTAGTAGCAGTAGTAGTAGTAGTAGTAGTAGCAGCAGCAGCAGTAGCTGGTGTTGGTGTTGGCTTTGGTGTTGACGTTGCTGCTGCTGCTGGTACTGTTGGTGCTGCTTTTTCTGCTGCTTCTGCCGTTGCTGTTGCTGCTGCTGCTGTTGTTGCTGTCGTTCTTGGATTTGCTGTTGTTGCTGTTGCTCCAGTTGTTGTTGCTGCTGTCGTGGTTGTTGGTGATGGTGGTGGTCGTCATCGTGGTAGTGGTGGTGGTGGTGGTGGTGGTGGTGGTGGTGGTGGTCGTCGTCGTTGTGGTCCTCGGGTTGTCGCGGTGCGGTGCGGTGCGGTGGTGGTGGTGATGGTGGTGGTGGTGGTGGTCGTGGCCGGGATAGTGATCGCGGTCGTCGAGGCGGAGGAACAGGTCTACGATGAAGGGAGAGATAGAGCATCTTGCTACACTCTAATTTAGGAACCTGATTAAGAAATCTTGTGTCATTATTAAAGGGCTCCTTATATGAATCCTATAATAGATTGGGGTTGTAGGGCCAGGGTTTCTTAATCAGGTTCCCACATGATGCTGAGTAGACTGCCCCAAAACACCCGAAACCCGAAGCCCCTAGTTGGGTACGGCCCCCATGAGAAAAGGGCTACTATTAAGGGCCTTATATATCTATATTATGAATATGGGGGGTTTCCGAAAATAGGGGACCCTAATATAGTACGCTAAATAGTAGGATCCTTATTATAAGGACCCCAAAATACGGTACCCCGAATTTTCGGAAACTCCCATATTATCCAACTGTTACTGAGTCGGGGCCGTACCCGACGCCCCTAGCCTTGATAGATTTCCTAGACCCAGTCACCGACGCACCACTTTCGAAGGAAGACCTCCTTTGTACCGAGAATCACAAAGGACTCGGTATCCTGAAGGCCACGGATTTCAAGGAGTCTGGAGTCTAGGGCCTGGGAGGGCTTGACTAAGGCTTGCTTCTAAACAGCGTTCTCCACGGGTTAGCAGCATTGCGTTAAAGTCTGTCAGCGGTTTTACTTTTTCCCAGAGCTTTAGCAGTGCTTTGCAGGGTCTTCAAACGGGCTTGCAAGGTCTTCGGGGGAGGTTGAAAGTAGAGCGGCAGAATTTCGGATCATGAACAAAAATGACAGACGCCTGCACACATTTCTGAGGATCTTGCCTCCCATTGTCTACACTCTTGTCATCATGACCCACGTCGTGGTTTGGACTTGATCACTGCCAGCTAGATCATGGTGCATGCCCTACCCTGGGGATCAAAATAGCCCAAAAGCCTTATATAGTATGGTCTTTGGGCCCAAAAGCCTTAATATATGAGTCCTTAGATCCCTAGGGCTAGGCATGGCTTGAGTGCTCCTTTACATTCAGTCTTCAGCGCTTGGCCTCTTCCGTCGGACAAGTCTCCTAGCTTTAATAACCCCCAGTTTTAAGATGGAAAACCCAAGAGATGGAGTCCCTCAAAAGTAGGTGCGGTATCGGGGTCCTTCTTATTTAGAGTCATCCTGCTATTTGGAGTCTTTGTTGATGCTTCCTTAGTTGACGGAGCCTCCCGACAGCTTGTGAGAATTGTCAACTTGGAAGGGCAGGGGACTTAGTAAGTAGGTTCTAAGTAGAGTTAGAAGTACCCTAAAATGGAGTTACCCCAATTATAACCCTACTTATAACCTACTTACTAAGTCCCCTGCCCTTCCAAGAAAGCTTTCCCACACCAGCGCGCAAGAGCCTTGCATCTCGACAATCCCTCTAAGGTAAAAGCCAGAAAGTTGGAATATAATTATCCTAACCTTTCTATGGTAAATTATAGGGTATCCTACCATGAAGCCATATTCCAACTTTCTGGAGTTCCCTGTAAGCCCTAAACCCTTAAGTTTCCATGGGCCATATGGGAGTTTCCGAAAATAGGGGACCCTAATCTAGTACCCTAAATAGTAGGATCCTTATTATTATAAGGACCCCCAAATAAGGTACACCTACTTTTCGGAAACTCCCATGTAGCCCCACCCCCCCACCAGCTCCAAACCCCGAAAGCCCGTTCAGCACTGCGTAGAAAGCTTGCGAAATGTCCAGTGAACCTGCAAGCGATGAGGCTACCCGGTTTCCGGTAAAGGACCCTGCAATCAATAAGGGTATCAGGATCTTGCTGAGAGTGATCTCTGTCTTGCAGAACCTGCTTACAAGATCAACTGATTTGGGGGCAATTCTGGAAAGAACTCATGACAGTTTATCACTCGCGTCCTGGGCCACGTAGCTGAACAACTGGGTTAGGTCACTGAGGTCATCGCCTGGGCTGTTTTCGGATACAAACAAGTCTGAGTATTTAAACTGGGGTGTTGGGGGTTGTCTATAACGTAAATAGATTTCGGAACCCCGGGGAACAGTATTACAAGGTTACGAAGTGTTGGGTTTAGGGTCTGGGTTAGAGATGGAGGTTCGCAGTTTCCGGATTCGGCCAGGATCGGGGCGTTGGGTTCAGGTCGCAGTTGTACAAGGCAAGGGGACCGACATGCAAGCAAGCGGAAAGACTTTAGGGTTTAGGGTGCAAGGGTTGAAGGGTTGAGGGTTATTATTTAAGCCCCTATAGTATGCCTCAAGCGGTGCTCCTTCAGGATCCGAGCCACAGTCGATGAAGGCCCGGGTGCCAGGCAGCCTCCGTTCCTTACTCAGGGATATCGGAGAACGAAATAAATGGAACTTTTGGTGTTTCAACGCTCGATAAGGGCGAACGGAACCGTAGCAAGTAAGTTGAACTTAGGCTTAAAATCTGTCTGGCTGCCCTCAGTCAGGGTACCTATAGAACTCGTCAAATATGTCGCGACACGCAGGCAGTTTGTCTGGCTGTGGTGGGTGCAAACTAGCAGGCTTTTCTGGGTTCTTGTTAAGGAACTTAGTTTAAGTTACCATAATAAGGAAACCCAATTATTTACGATAGATCCCTATTATGGTAGCTTAAATTAAGTTCCTTAACAAGAACCCAGTTTTGCAAGCTGTAGACTCCATGCTCGAGTTTCACCGATTGCTTGAGTATGGGCCCTTCACCGAACCCGAAAGGAACCTCATTCCCCTTACAGAGCCTTTAAACCCTTCCAACTAAACCCTATACCCGAAAGTCACCAAGAAGGGAACCTCAAAAAGGAGCCCTACAATCCCCCTCTATGGCACACTAGACCCTAAAGACGAACCCTAGGAGCCCCCCCCCCCTAAACCCTAAACCGCCCCCCCCTCCCCGAAAGCTGTAGAGCTTCCAGCTCCATCTTCAGCAACCGAGCCATGGCCCCCGCGTCGCGCTTGTGGTGACAGAGGAAGAACTTGAAGCGCTTGCCTTGGGTTTGAGGGTTGAGGGTTTAGGGTTTGGGTTTAGGGTTTGGGTTTAGGGTTTAGGGTTTGAGGGTTTAGGGTTTAGGGTTTAGGGGTTCAACCTCTACGGGTTTAGGGTTCAGAGCTTAAAGGTAGGGTTCAAGATTCAGCCCCGAGCGGTTGAGGGTTCAGGGTATAGGGTTTTTGGAGGAATTCCTTGGAGGAAGCTTGGGGTTTGGAGTTTAGGATGATTACTAGTTCCTTACATCCTTATAGAACATTATCTTTGTAGACTCTCTAAACTCTGCCAGAAACCTAAACAAGCCTTGTGGAACGCTTACAGAAACCCCAAGCCCCATACAACCCCGATGAAATCCTGAGCCCCGTAGAAACCCTCATGCAAGCACTATCCTACAGCCCTTGAGCCCCCCCTAAACCCTAAACCCCCGAGCCCCAAACACCTCAATCCGAAATCCTAACCCCCCCAAGCCCTAAACCCCCGACCCCTAAGCCCTCATATAAGGGCCTTAATCATTAAGAATCGGGTTTTGGGGCCCATGATACTATTTTATGGAAAAAGCCACCAACATAGTACTGGTAATTATCCAGGATGCCCAGTAACCTAGGAATAAAAAGGGCTCCCTTGTTGGTATTGGATAACTTTATAAGGAACCTAGGACTACAAAAAGGGAAAAAGGGTACTACTGGGCATCCTAGTTGTTTAGGCCCCCAAACTGTAAACCCCTTCGGAGACGAGCTTCGGAACTTCTGCTCAAGGCAGCGGGACATTCCCACGCAAAGCGTCCCGAGCGAAGCAAGGAACCTTGGGTTTAGGGTTTAGGGGTTTAAGGGTTTAGGGGTTTAGGGGTTTAGGGGTTTAAGGGTTTAGGGGTTTAGGGGTTAGGACCCAAGAGCAACCTAGGAATGAAACCCTTTCAGTCTCCCCGAACTCTTGTGAAAAAGGACTCAGTTGAAATTATCATAATAGGAATCTAGGGTAAATAATATGGTTGCCTTACTATGGTGAATTACATTAAATCCCTTAATCTAGACCCAAGAAAAGCCTAGGAATAACAAGGTGCCCTATTTGGTTTAAAGGGCTTACAAGGGAACCTGAACCCTACGAAAAGGGGTATGCTGGGTTCCTGCTAAGGGATTTAATTTAAGATACCATAATAAAGAAACCGTATGATTTACTATAGACCCCTATTATGGTAACTTAAACTAAAAACCCTAACAAGAACCCAGTTTAGTGTAAGCTTTATTATTTAAACTTTAAGGGTACTGTAAGGGCTACGACTCGGAGGGTCTATCTACGGTCCATGTGGGATTTAGGGTTCGGGGCCACTGAAGTTAGGGGTTAAGACTTTAGCTGCAATTGGTGTTGTGGGGGTTTGGGGTTCTACAGGGGCCAATGTTTGTCGTTCTTTTGTAGATGGTTGTGTGTTGGTTTGTCAGTTGTCTTTGTGGGGAGGATTTTCGACTGCCTGTTGTCCTTGTCCTTGCAACGCCCTAGGGTCTATGAGGGTTTAGGGTTTAGGGTTTAGGGTTTAGGGTTTATGATTGATTTTACACCAGATACACGTTACTGAACCCCTAAATTTGGGGATCAGGGTCCAGGTGGGGGCTCGCTTGGCACTAAAAGGGGTGGGGGTTTGGGGCTTGTGGTATGAAACTCCAGATCGCCAACCGGTAACACAGCTATTGACTGGGACCATGGACAAAGAGAATAGCCACGGTTTAGGGTTTATGGAACCACGTAAAGACCTGGATTCTGCAGAAGAGACAGGGGTTCTTGAATTCAGGCTCTCATGGGGTCCCTTACGAATGCTGCAGTTCCCCTGTTGCTGCTCTACTTGCCGAGCCATTAACCCTAGACCCTACACCCTGAACCCTAAACCCCTACACCCTAAACCCGGCATGGAGATTGCCCAGTAAAGCAGGCAAGGATGCTCATGAACCCTAAACCCGTTAAAGGCCTAAACTTTAAACTCTAGACCCGTAAGAAAGAAGAGACACACTGCGACAAGGGTTTCCTGTTTGAAGAGAAGGGTTTAGGGTCTACCTATAGTATCCATTGTAGTTCCTTTTTTGGGTTACCTTTTGGTATCCTTAATAAATTGGTTAAACCCAAAAAAGGAACTCCAATGGGGACTATAGGTTGGTCCTAGGGCTTGGGGCTTGAAGGTCTGGGGTCTAAAGTGCAAGCGGAGCAGTGTATAGAGACAATCCTGGCCAAACCGGCCTTGCTCAAATGAGCTGTAGCCGGTCTTCCGTTCCTACTCCGGAGTTTTAGGCAAATCACGGACATTGAAACAAGCCCTAAACAGTAGGGTCCTGATTGCAGAGACTGATGAGTAATAAGATACTCCTGTTTAAGTCACCCCGTGTTTCACAACAGCCCTGGATTATTGGTAGTAAAGGTTTCCCCCTTACAGCCCTTTGCAGTCACACCAAAGCCATGCGTCTCCCAAAGACAAGGCACATCAGTGAGATGAAAACAATCACGATCTGGGCCGTGGCTGTCCTTAATGCAAACTCCTGATTCTAAAAAGTCTCCCCCTATTTGCGATTTAAGATACCGGTTCACGGCCCGGTTCCAGCCCCACATGGTCGTAGTCCCGCACAGCGATGCATAAGAAAATCACCGTAACTCAGAACAACATCCTCCAACAAACGTCAGAGCCCGCCCTTTCCTCCCAATGTGCAGGCGCGTTTGGGTTTGCATTGAGAGAATCCCCTTCCCCCCGTGATTGTGGGTGAGTTTGGCTTTGCCTTTGCTCAGTCCTGCCTTCTTCAGCAAGAATTGGGCACATGGTGTCAAATCATGCGCAGTGATCTGAAGACGGTGCATGTGCCTGACTGCAGTGCGGGATGTTTGCTCGGAGTATCTGTGAAAAAGAACTCCACTCCGTCCCAAACTCATACGCCATGAGGGTCCTCGTATACGTATGGTGAGGAGTCGGGATTTGTAAGGCCTGCAGCATCCGTACTAAAATTGAACACAACACCAAAGCATACCCCTTTGCCTCTGAGACTCCTGTCTCTGTCTTGGACCGTGACAGCACCCATGTCCAGGATTACCAGCATACCAAGCAGAATGGCCATGTCGGAGGAATTACCTTGGTCGGATCGGGTTTAATGTAGGGGCTTCGCACTTGGAATAACAGGCTTTTGAGGCATACCGCGGTATGAAATGGTGTGAGTATTAGGGACTCGAGGTACTGATACCTACGCATATACTGACTAGACCTCACAACAGTCTTCACCAAAGCATAGGGGTCTCTTGTCTCCAGATATTCTTGTGAGGCTTCGACTACAATCCTGCTTTGGGGCTTGGGATTCCATTTGCTAACCATGCCTGCAAATCCTAGGATAGGGCCTCCATAGCTGAAAAAACAGAACGGGCTCAGTACTTTCCCAAAGGTTCGAGGTACCATTATTCCCAAGTTTAAGTAGTGATTCCTACTCTCGAAAACCTACATTATTACTCTGTCTGGTTCTAGTCGGGAATGGGGGAATGGATTACGGAGACTACTGTTGGGGATTAAATAGGGACAACTATAGGGATCCACTCCCCCATTCCCTACTAAGCAGCAGACAGTAATACTATACTCCTAAACCCTAAACCCTGAATCCCTAAACCCTAAATCCCTAAACCGTAATACTATACTTCAGACCCTTTGGGTGCTAGGGGAGCTGCAGACGGCGAATCGCCAAGGCCGCAGCAATGCCACCAGAAGCAGGTTCACGTAGAGAACCAGGCCTAGTTCGTGAGCTAGGAACGGGCTTTATAGTAGAAGCCCAAAAGTTGGAAACCCCAGAGCCTCTTTTCCTAAGAGTCATGTATAGGGAATCCCAGCACTATTTGGCCTTTATCCGGTTTCCAAGTTTATGGCTTTTACTGTAGAGCTTAGGGACTGTTGGGCTTGGGGCTTTCTTAGGGCCTTGGAGGGTTTAATTAGGCATCAATAGGACAAACTTGGATATGAAGCAGGAGCTGTTAGCCCACCTACTTTATTGCGCTATTGGGGAAATCTGCGCTAAGGATCGACTACTTATTCGGGCGAAAAGCCAACAGCCCTTCAACAGAAGCGCAAGTTAAACTCAGTCAGGATCGAGACGGGAAGCCCGAAACTCTTGAAGCCTTAACCCTAAACCCTGAACACGAAGAGCCCTAGCTGGTCGGGAATTGATATCTGCGAACTACTGTCTACTCCGGGTTGTGGTTGCGAGGGTTTTTTTGGATCAGGGTTCGGGGTTCCGCATCTACATGGATTCGGGAATCAAGGCGAAGTCCGGTCGGTAGCGCCGAGAAGCTCATCATCATGAGCTTTGTCGACTGCGCGGCCAACATTGGACAAAGCGCCACCTGGAGGCTTCCAAAAGTAGGGGGCACTAATACTGAATTTCCTATATAAAGTGTAGGATCCTTATTCATAATAAGCACCCCCAACTTAACTTTCGGAAACTCCCACCAGGGTATTTCGCACCAGCAGCACCACAGCAAAGAGCTCTGCACCCGGACGGAAGCCTGGGCTTTGAAGTAACCCAAGGAAAAACTCATACTGTTATCTCACCATGGTTCCTTGAAGGAACAGGTCCAGAAGAAAAAGAAAGTAGGGTACTCCAGTGGTCCAGAAGCGTATGATCAAGAAGGAGCAGGCCCTCACGAAGCAGGCGTCTGATTGAACCACACGTCTGGGAAGCTCCACGGTCACAAGCCAAATGCAAGCCTGAGTCGTCCACCATGTGAAGGGGAAATGGCGGTATCATGTAGACCTCAAAATAATAAGCCCCCCCTCGCCATCACACGGATTCCAGAAGCTCGGAATATCTTTATTAGGAGGCCCTGAAGAAACTCTGAGTATTGATCAGGAGTCTACATTGGGGGATGCACTAAACCCTCAACCGCAAACCCTAAATCCTAAACCCGAAATTTAAATCGTAAACCGCTCGCAAGATAAAGGCTGCTTGCGTGCCTTTGCGGAAATCCTTGCGGTCCTCAGCCCTCAGCGTCTGCCAGGAAACCAAGACCCACCGCCCCCCAAAGCAAGCAAAACAAAAGCAACACAAGACAACGCAAAGATACACCTTCTAGACATATGTAAATAGATACATACATATATATATATACATACGCAAATAATATGTAGATAATTGACATATATAAGTATGAGTGTATATATATATATATACATGTATGTATGTACGTAGGTAGGTCGGTCGGTATGTATGTATGTATGTATGTATGTATGTATAACGTATGCAAAGAAGAATGCTACATGCACGATGGGAAGCTGCCAGAAAGGAGATCGGCATGAGGCAAGCCAAACCTCCGATGACGAACATCTGGAGGTGTTCGTGTTGCCTTAGTCGTCATAGAAGGGGAACCCAAACATCATGAAAGGGTACCCGTATAGGACCAAAAGGGAACAATTCTAGGGAATGGAACAATTCTAGGGAATTCCAAGAAATCCAACAGTGCCACCTGGCTGCCCATCGCAGTGCACTGAAGGATAACCTTGAACTGTAAACCTCCCATTGGGGTGCTCTTTGCACCTGAAAGGAGCCAGCAGCATGGTGAAGAGAATGATGAACAATAGCAAGAAGAGGCTTCCAATCGTTCGCAGGAGATGCCTCAGGCACGATTTTCAAGGCAACTTGGATGTTGTTCGGACTTAGGAACTCCTTATTTTACTGGGGCATCTTTCTTTGGACAACTATTCATAAGAACCCAACACTGTTACACAAGACTTACATTCACCCATCGCTGTGCATATCCCTGGTTTCGAAGAGGATGCCTATGCGCCGGAGCTGATGGAAGTCCTGATGTGGGAGCTTCCGAAATTGGGGGGGTACCTTATTGTGGGGTCCTGATCATAAGGATCCTACTATTTAGGGTACTATATTAGGGTCCCCTATTTTCGGAAACTCCCATGTCGGACACTAAGGACTGACGAACAACACCTCAAAGTTGGATACTGCCCCCATACAGTAACAATCTATAATAGGGCTACTATTAAGGGCCTAATATATCTATATTATGAAAATTACCCAACTGTTACTGAGTGGGGGCAGTATCCAACCTCAAAGCATGTTATGGGCCTCTTTGTCGTTGAAGGTATCGACATGCGGGGCTTTGGAGTCTCTGACTTAGCCCTCACCTTTTGATATGCAAACCCTACCCCTTATAACTTATAATACACACATATATATATAAACAAAAACATCTATAAATATACAAATATATTGTATACACATACGCAAAGACATGCTATGTATTGTGGAGTGGAGCCTGTTTCTGTGAGCATATACCACAGAACTTCATAAACGTCCTGCAGGATATGTAGGACCCCTTGTGAGCAACAAAAACCGTCATTGCCAACACCATCCAGCACCCATTCCACCGTAAAGCATCCTTGCAACACCGCTTTTAAGTCGAAACCTCAAGAAGGTATAAATTCTAAACGCCAAACCTATGAACAAACATGCCTGGAGTAAAACCTAAAGCGCACTAACACACACACACACACAGACACAGACACAGACACACAGACACAGACACACAGACACAGACACACAGACACAGACACACACACACACACAGACACACACACACACACAGACACACACACACACACAGACACACACACACAGACACACACACACACACACGCCAGCCTCCAATATGGAAATTAGGGGGTACCTTGTCTTGGGGTCTTTAGAATAAGGATCCTACGATTTAGGAAACTATATTAGGGTCCCCTATTTTCGGACACTCCCAAATATGGAGCTCTCAATGTTACGAAGACAAGAGACCCCTTTAACTACACACCAGACCCTGCTCCCAAAACCCACCTCGAATGACTTATCAGCTAAGCATAAAGAAAGCCCTATCATAAAGCCCCGGCAAGGCTGTTACAACTTGCTCAGCCTGAAGCTAAACCCCAAGCCTAAACATTTGGCAAACCTCTCCCAAAACCCCTGATACCCCTTAACCCCTGTACGAAGGCCAAATAAAACCCCTGAGAGGAACACTCAAGGGAACCGTGCACCCCCTCCTAAAGCCCTGACTCTGACGATTCAATAATCGTCCACCTTCAGAAATCTGCCTTTGTAAGCCCTTCTTAAACTCCAAACCTCCAAAGACCCTAAAATTCCTAAACCCCTGAAACCTAAACCCTAACCCCTAACCCCTAAACCCCCAAAGACCCTAAGCCCTAGAGAGATTTGTTTGTCAGCGCGCGCCTGAGGTCTAGCTGCCTGAGGTCGAAGCCTCGACTCACCAGCGGTGTCGTTTTAAAAGCTTTCTACGCAAATATGTCAGGCTTCCTTTAAGGGATCTATACTATACCACCCTTAGAACCATAATAAAAATGACATTTCTAATATTCTCTTGGGGTTTATATGAACAAAACTGAAAAAAGCATACTTCCTAAGAAGACTGATCTAAGGTTTCCTGCAAAAAGGGTTCTAGGTCAAGTGATAAGGGTCTCTATATAAGGCTCTGCACAGGGTTTAGGGTTTAGGATTTCAACTAAGGGGCCGCAGCAGTCACAAAGGATCTGGGGTGAGGACTGCTGCAACGGTGACTAACGGCCTGTGTTTAAGGTTTAGGGGCTTAGGGTTTAGGGTGTTTGGGCTAAGGTTAAGGGGCTTGGGGTTTAGGGTGTTTAGGTTAAGGTTTAGGGGCTTAGGGTTTAGGATGTTTGGGCTAAGGTTAAGGCGCTTAGGGCTTAGGGTGCTTAGGTTGAGGTTTAGGGGCTTAGGGTTTAGGGTGTTTGGGCTAAGGTTTAGGGGCTTCGGGTTTAGGGTGTTAGGTTTCCTTCCACGAGCTTCAATACAGGGGGGGTCCTGTAAAGGACCTTTACAGGGAAAGGGTTCTTTCAACCGCGTTTTCAGGCAAGGATTCAGGTAAGGTGTAGGGTTTAGCATTTGGGAGTTTCCGAAATAGGGGACCCTAATATAGTACCCTAAACAGTAGGATCCTTACCATAAGGACCCCAAAATAAGGTACCCCTATTTTCGGAAACTCCCATTTAGGGTTTGAAGGTTTTCAGGGGTTTAGGGACAGTGGAATTCTAAAGGGTTCCCGAGTCGCTCTGTCTCTCTCTCTCTCTCCTCTCTCTCTCTCTCTCTCTCTCTCTCTCTCTCTCTCGCTCTCTCTCTATATATGTATATATATATATATACATGTATATGTGTGCATTAGCATAGGCGCCTCATTAATTTGAATAGGGTTGTAAGGTTGATAAGAGGGCTCAATTTTCAGGGCTTCTAAACGTAAGGTTTTGTAAGCTTTAGGATAGGGGCCTCAAGTTTTATCATCGGTTTTGGAGCATAGTCACTGTAACTTACCATTACAAACCTGAGGAACTACATTACTGCTTCTTCAGCATGGTATACTATTCCTTTGAGTCCGAACTCTACACCCTACAGAAATCAAATCGAACCAAAAAAAAGGTCGGAAAGGTACTTGCAAGCAACCACAAGCGCTCTAATCCCGTTATACAAACCATGCTTGAACTTAGTAGCATTGGGCTTATCTTATAAGAAAACGAAACATGCTTCCCAAACCCTGGGGTTGATGATGTAATAGCTTCTACAACATTAAAATCCTAAATCTCTTGGGTTTCTACTATGACAACAGACCGCAGAAGAACCTCTAATGAGTCTTCCACTGGAAAAATACGAAGCAACCGAAACCCAACACCTTAAACGGCTCTAGTTTCCTAGTTCCGAGACCCTATTTCCTGGTCCACCCCTAAAACCCTAAACCTCTGAACCCCTAAAGCCGCTACGCCCTAAACCCCAATACCCTAAAGATCCCTTATAGGAGCCCTTATAGATCCCTCTAAAGGCACCCTAAATCCCTGAACCCCAATACCCTAAGGATCCCTTACAGGAGCCCTTATAGATCCCTTTAAAGGCACCCTAAACCCCTAAACCCCAATACCCTAAGGATCCCTTGCAGGAGCCCTTAACCCCCCCAAACCCCAATACCCTAAAGCTCCTAAGGAACACTCTGCGCCCAGAAGCCAACCAAAGCCACGAGGACCTGGGCTCCAGCCTGGCCGGACTTCCGGGGAAGCTCCCAGTTGAGAGAGTAGGATCCACACAAAGTGAAACAAACTAGGGAAGACGGACAGCTGCATAGAGCCCAGAGGCTACAACGCCTGTGGAAGAAGCTCTGGAATTTAGGATTTCCCGAAAATGGCGGACCCTACGGTTAATGATATAGATCCTGCATTACCTTAAGGACCCTACGGTATGCGAATTATGGTACATTCCTTATTATGGGTCATGCAGGATTTTACCATCAACCGTGGTATGTAGCTGAAATAGTAGGATCCGTAGTCTAAGGACCCTAAAATAAGGTACCCCCCCCCCCCCCCCCCCAAAGTTTCGGAAACTCCCCATTCAGGTTGCAGAGGTCCCAAGGGTGGAATATCCTTTTGTCTACTGCTCAGGACCGGAGATGAAAGAGTTCTGGCGTGGCCTGTAATTGGGCGTTTAAGTAACCAGAGAAAAAAATACAAACTTGTATTTCATAATGGTTCCTTAAAAAAAGGAAGTATAAACTTGTACTTCATAATGGTTCCTTTAAGAAGAAGTATAAACTTGTACTCCATAATGGTTCCTTTAAGAAAACAAGTATAAACTTGTACTTCATAATGGCTCCTTTTAGAAAAGAAAGTATTAAAGTCTGGTACTCCAAAGCCCAGGTAATCTCAGAGCTGACAGTTCAGGGTTCCCAGTTTGGGGCATTAAAATACGTACACAGACCCCTCTGCCCTATAGGTCCTCGCAAAAAGAAACCCAGACACTCTAACTTTTACTGAACCCTAAGTCCGAAAACCTCCGAAGCCCTGTATCCCCAACTCATCAAAGCCTTAAGCCCCAAATCACCAAAACTCTCAAAGCCTTTTTTGAAACCCTAAGCCTTTTTTGGAACCCTAAGCCTTCTTTTGAACCCTCCATTACGTTGGGTTCAGAGAGACCCTTCTGTATGGGGTTGATGTTTTTGGATCCTGCCGGCGGCCTCGGCCCTGAGCTTAACCCCTCTCGGGCTACCATAAACCCTAAAAGCATGAAAAACAACTAAAACCCTAAACCCTAACCCCTAAACCCTATGTATTCCGGGCTACCATAAACCTTAAAAGGCATTAAAAACAACTAAAACCCTAAACCTCAAACCTAAAACCCCGAAGTCGGAAGTCCGAAAACCTTCAAGCCCCAAAAAACCCAAGAGCGCCAGAGCCCTCAAACTCCAAAAACCTTAAACTAGGGACCTTAATAATCGGAATAGGAATGAGGAGCCCGCAAAATAGGGTGATGTAGGAACCTGATTAAGAAACCTTGCGTCTTTATTAGGGCTCCTTTTCTGAATCCTGCGATTTTGAGGTTTTAGGACCAGGGTTTCTTAATCAGGATCCTACCTTAGGTAAGAATTACGGCCCCTATAGTCCACTCTTAAAGCCCGAAAACGCGGCCTTCATAATCGGAATAGGAATGAGGAACCCCCAAAATAGGGAATATAGGTAATTACTAAGGCCCCTATAGTCAACTCTTAAAGCCCGAAAACGCCTTACCTTTGGTTAGTAGGGAATGGAGGAATGGGGTACAACTATAACTACCATTACTACCATTCTTCCATTCCCTACTAACCAAAGGTAACTTATAGGATTAGTAAGGCCCCCATATTATAGTACCCTTATATAGACCCCTTATAGTAATTACTACCACTCTTCCATTCCCTACTAACCAAAGGGAAGACGCGGGGGGAAGCCTTGTGAGCTCCGAAAACCGCGGAAGCAATCAGCGCCAGGACCGGCATGAAGAGTGCGCGGAGGAGAAAGGTCTCTACCTTAGCAGCGGCCCCCACCCTGTAATAGTGAGTATAAGGATTTTATTCGGGCCCTATTATATTCCTATTATACCACTACTACAGGGTGGGGGCAGCTTCTAATCTCTACCTACGGTTGATGATATGAATCCTGCATGACCTTCAGGACCCTAAGCTATAGGAATTATGGTATAGTCCCTATCATTATGGGTAATACAGGATTTGTATCAGCAATCGTGCCAGGACGCTCATGAAACGGTGATTGGAGGGTCCAAGTAGGGTTTAGGGTCTAGGCATTGTCCGGAGGAGAAAGGCCTCTACCTTTAGGACCGTTTACGCCTTTGCATTCTTGCACTCTGAGAGTTCCGTGTTTCTGGGCTTTTCACGGGATGTATTTGATAAAAGTCTATGTAGGGCGAAGCGTTACAATACCCTCTATAGAAACCCTCGAAGGAACTCTTAAAGATGGGGCCTTTAATTATACGAGCTCCTACTTCAAACCCGAAAACATCTGACCCAACGTCCCATACACCAAGCCCTAAAACCTCAAAACGCCTGGTGTAATATAGGGGCCTTAATAGTTAGAATAGGGTCTGGGTAGTTCTTCGTTATGATGATAGTATAAGTATATCCCCAAACCCTATCCTGATTATGAAGGCCCCTGTATCAGCCTCTTATTCGATCGACCCCCTTTCCCTCAAGGGCACCCTGAACAAAATCCACCAGAAAGGGAAGGGGGTTGCTTCGATCACGCGGTCTGCACCGAAGAACCTCAACCTTCAAAGCTTAAAATACCTCTGACCCGAAGCCTGATTGCCTGAACCCCAGACCCTAAACCCTAAAACCCCTGAACCCCTGCCTAAACCCGAAACCCTAAAACTCTCAACCCTGAAGCTGGACTTTGAAGTACCCAGGGAGAAAAAATAGACTTCTATTTCAGAATGGTTCCTGTAAGGTACAGGTACCAACAAAAAGCATTCAAGTATGGTACTCCAAACCCAGGGAAGACTCAACCCCTGCCTGAGCCCTAAACCCTATACTAAACCCTAAACCCTAAACCCCTAAACCCGTAAACCCCTAAACCCCCTAAACCCCCTAACCCCCCTAAACCCTAAGACTCAAAGCAGCCAAGGGGCCGGAGACCTGGTGAGACAGCTAAAGCTGACGACTTCCTGGGCTTCTGCTGATTGTGGTTTAGGGTTTGGAAGGTTTAGGGTTTCGGGGTTTAGGGGTTTAGGGGGTTTAGGGGGTTTAGGGTTTAGGGTTTTGGGGGTTAGGGTTTAGGGGTTTAGTGGTTTAGGGTTTATGGTTTGGAGGGTTTAGGGTTTCGGGGCTTCGGAACGCTAAACGGCTCAATGGCGCGTGACTTCGGGAGCCGACAACGGTGGGAACAGGAGTCGCAAAGGAAACTTAGGGTTTAGGGTTTAGGGTAATCTGAGCACGGACTGCCTCTCAAAGACGCACGCCACTGTGGTACCAGCGCGATTCACTATTCGAGCTACATTCCTCCTGGCACCGGACGACAGTGGACAGAGATGTGCACTGCACCACAACAGGATCCGCGGAACGGCCGTGCAAGCTAGCGTGCTCACTCTGCAATGGAAGTCTTCTACCTCCCAACGTAAGGACCCAGTGTTTTCCCGAGCTAAATCCACCACAAAAATCTTGGTAACACCCGATAAACCCCTTCTAACCCAACACACTAAAAGCAAGGAACCCTCAAAGGAACCCTGAACCCCCCTTAAAGGAACCCTAAAAGGAAAAACAACCTCCTTAAAGGAGCCCTAAACCCTACACACTAAACCCCAAACCCTGCTAACCCTACACACTCCTACTATACCATCCTTAGAACCACAATAAATAATACAATGTTCAATATTCTCCTTGGTTTTCTATGGACAAAAATACCAAAAATAATTCCTAAGGAGACCATAGACTAAAGGAGCCCCAGTCTCTCCCTTTGTGGTATTGGGTAACTTTATGAGGAACCTAGAACTCCAAAAAGGGAATACGGGTACTACTGGTTTAGGGTTTAGGGTTTAGGCATCCTAGACTACTAGAGGGAACTCCAGAAAGTTGGAATATGGTTTCAGGGTAGGATCCCCTATAATTTACCATAAAGGGTTTAGGATAATCATCTCCCAACTTTCTGGCTTCTACTGTAAAGGAGCAACCGAGTCTCGACGTTGAGGCTCAGCACCTCCGAGACGAGCAAAAAGCCCTTGAGCGGGTCGGCCCAGTCAATGTTGAACCTCCGGAGCGCTCTAAGAATCATAGGGTTTAGGGTTTAGGGTTTAGGGTTAAATAGGCCTTAGAATCATAGGGATCCTTAGGGGTGTAGGGGGGAGGGGTGTAGGGGACTATGGGGTTTAGGGTTTAGGGTTTAGGGTTTAGGGTTCAGCAGCTCCGGATCGAGCAGTTTTAAAGTAGAGTTGTGTTTACGGTTTAGAAATAACACCCACCCACCCTCAGAATCCCATAACATCAGGGAAATACAAGGTTTACTTCTTTCACAGCTGGAAATATTAACCCCTGAACCCTTAAACCCTAAACCTTTAAACTCTGAACCCTTCACTCAAAACCTTGAAGTCTTAAACTTTGAACCTCGCGTTCGGGTCAAGAGCTAAACCTTAAATATGCTAACGTGTCAGCACCGTCGTTGTCAAGTCTTAAGTAAAAGCCGTCCACACAATCATGTGGCTGAGCTAAACCTTAAATTTTATGCGATGTGAATACCGCTGCTTGCTTGATGTAAAAGATTGAAGTTGTTGCTGTCGCTAAACCTTAAATTTCCTATGGTGTCAACACCGTTGCTTGCTTGTTTTAAGTAAAGCAAGTAAAAGATTGAAGTTGCTGCTGTCGCTAAACCCTAAATTTCCTATGGTGTCAACACCGTTGCTTGCTTGTTTTAAGTAAAGCAAGTAAAAAATTGAAGTTGCTGCTGTCGCTAAACCCTTAAATTTCTTATGGTGTCAACACCGTTGCTTGCTTGTTTTAAGTAAAACAAGTAAAAGATTGAAGTTGCTGCTGTCGCTAAGCATCCACACTTTCAAGACATAAAGCATTGCCCGGAACAGTTGAGGCTGCGGTCACGCCATCGCTTTACGATGGCAACCACAGCTGTCAAGTTTCTTTGCGATGACCGAAAAGCTGAAACCCTACCCTAGATCCTTCGAAGCTTTGCCCAGCTTGAGGTTGCTTCGACACCTCCCCAACCCACCCTAGATCCTTCCATCAGGAATATCCAACCCACCCTAGATCCTTCCAAAGAATTTGTGCCTACCCTTTCGTGGGACGGGCCCGGGCCTGTCCCACGAAAGGGTAGGCCCAAATTCCTGGGTTTGGGCCTACTCTTCGTGGGACGGGCCCGGGCCTGTCCCACGAAAGGGCAGGCCCTACTCTTCGTGGGACGGGCCTGTCCCGCGAAAGGGTGGGCACAAATTCGTGGGTTTGGGCCTAGATTCGTGGATTTTGGGCCTGGGTTTGGGCCTGGATTCATGGATTTTGGGTCTGGTTCTGGGCCTGGATTCGTGGATTTTGGGCCTGGATTCGTGGATTTGGGGCTTGGCTTTGGGCCTGAATTCGTGGATTTTGGGCCTGGTTCTGGGCCTGGATTCCTGGATTTTGGGCCTGTATTCGTGGATTTGGGGGCTGGTTTTGGGCTTGGATTCGTGGATCCTGGGTTTGGGCCTGGATTCGTGGATTTTGGGCCTGGATTCGTGGATTTTGGGCCTGGATTCGTGGATTTTGGGCCTGGTCCACGAATTTTGGGCCCAATTTTGGGCCTGATCCACGAATTCCATTAAGGTTTAAATTACTATATGATAAAGAAATTTAGGGTTTAGGGTTTAGGGTTAAATAGGCCTTAGAATCATAGGGATCCTTAGGGGTGTAGGGGGGAGGGGTGTAGGGGACTATGGGGTTTAGGGTTTAGGGTTAAATAGGCCTTAGAATCATAGGGATCCTTAGGGGTGTACGGGGGGAGGGGTGTAGGGGACTATATTTCCTTGAATAGGCCTTATTAGTCCTTATTATGGGCCTTAAGGCCCCCTACCCCCCCTCCCCCTACACCCCTAAGGATCCCTATGAAAGAAGGTCCAGGGCTAGGGCTACCCTGACCTTCCAAAATTCCTTAATTCAGGAATCTAACTTAAATTATAATACGGTCTGAAATCCCCCTTAGTTAAGGAATATACCTTAAATCATGTTAGGGACCCTGTTTTAATTTAAGGTATGTTCCTTAAGTAAGGGATTTTGGAAGGCCTAAGGCTCCTTTTATGCCGCTTTCCTTTAAGGGACCCCTTTAGGGGCTCCTTTATGGCCAGAGCCCCTTTTCATGGGCTCCTGCTTTTGGGGGAAATTTATATTTCAGTTACCATAATGGGGACATGTAAGGGTTCCTTTAAGGGCGCTAGGGAACGGCCAATGGCAGGGATCCCCCTTTTTTGTGGCATTCCTATAGTCCTTTCGGTGCCCATTTAGGGGGTTCCTTCAAGGGATCCCTGCCGCCTATACCCGAAACCCTAAAGAGCCCTAAGGATCATGGAACTTAGAAAGTAAGGTTAGAAGCACCTTAACTGGGATTTTAAGCAATTATAAGTTGAGTTACCTTATACAGTTTATAACCCCAGTTACTAAGTGCCATGATCCTTTAAGGTAGTACATAGCATTGGAGTTACAACTCCGCACCTTTTGATCACGGACAGCATCTGGAGCCAGACCAGGAACCTGGTTCTGTTTTCTCAGAGACTTCAAAATCTTGTAATTGAGGAATGTAGCCTAAACCATCGTAAGACTCCCCCTGAACTCCTAACCCTGAATCCTACACCCGAAATTCTCAAACACAGAATCGTACACCTTGTCCTTTACGGCGTAGCTCTCGCTTAGAGAGGTCTCCGGCCTGTTGGTGTGGAGGCTGCCGCGACGAAAGACGCAGGTTGTTCCAGGTCATGTAAGGGTTTCAGTTTCTGGGCCTTGAACTAACACGTGAGCTCTTGGGTTTCCAAATAGGGGTTTAGGGTTGCGGGTTCCAGACCAGAACCTTGAGAGAAGTGTTCAAAACAAAGGCCTGGATTCAATAAAGAACCCCAAAAACGACATCGACGTAAAGATGAGTCGCCGAGCGACTGTGTAAGGCTAAAGACGACCACCAGCACGTGACGACTCTGCTTGGCTTTGGCCTCCTTCAGCAAAGTGATGTAGAGCGCTGCAATGCCAATGAAAGCAAGGAATGGAAGGGACAGCAACAGAAGGTAGTCAGAGTTGTGGCCTTGGGTAGCTGTAGAGCGGGTGCAGGCATGAAGCCTTTTTGAGTTAACATGATGCATTGTGAAGGGTTTAGGGTCTAGGGGTTTCGAGTTTGGGGTTTACCAGGGTTTCTAAAGTCTAGGGCTTAAGACGTCCCAGCTGCACATGTGACAAGTACCATCTCGCCGTGGATGATGACCACCTGGGTTCTTGTTGAGGAACAAGTAGGCTGCCATGTTGATATCTTTGTTGTTGTGATTGTGGTTGTTACTGGCCCTTAGTTGCTATTGCTATTACTAGTAGTCATATACCATGGCAACTTAAACCAAGATCTCTCGAGCCATCTAACACCACAAATTATCCAAAGCAAGCGAAGACCCTCCCTGACCTTTCACCTTACCGCTAGTTCCATGGCGACGAAAAGAGAATCCTTGGGATGTCAGAAGAATGTTTTACACTTCAACGAACCCCCTTAAACCCTCATAGAGGACCCAGCCACTTAGGCACAAGGAGCAGGCCAGGCTATGAACATCACGGTGTTCAGCACAGCTTCCTGGGGGCCCGCCTGGGCAAGCATTCTCCTCGCAGATGTAAACTTCCTCACTGGTTCAAGGTGTGAGGTTTTTCATGTACCTTAACCCTAAACCCTAAACCCTAAACTGTTGACGGCTGCAGGGTCCATGGGCCTGGGGTTCCTTGCTTGTGGCTTCGCGCCATAACCGAAAGCTTCAAAAAGAACGATGAATCTCATTAAGCCCCAGTCGTTCTATATAACTACAGGAGCCCACAGCATTCCCAATAGCCAGAAATACGAAATATTCATAACCACAACAACACAAACAAGTAATTTCGATCGCAAGAACAGTTATTAAACCCTAAACCCTAAACCCTAAACTCTAAACCGTGACAGAAAATGATGATCAAGGCTCAGCTGGCTCCTCGGGCGATGAGAAATAGCCGGGGCGAAGTTCCAACTGGTTGGAACCAGGACACAGCGTTCCACGAGGGCACGACCAACATCGGCCCTCCCACAAGAAGCTTCCCGATGCACATGTGCCTGAGTTTCTGGGATCCTTTACTGTACCTTTACCCCAAAAGTATGTAGAATAATAGCCGTTTAGAGGTTTTGGGCCATTGTTTCACCTTCTGGTACTTTTAGGGGTCTAGGTAGGAGCTCCTTAAGGAGCCTAAACTATAGGAACAATGGTACCTTCTTTATTGTGGGTAATGCAGGGTTTATATGGGAGTTTCCGAAATTGGGGGTACCTTATTTGGGGGTCCCTATAATAAGGATCCTACTAAAGGGAACTCCAGAAAGTTGGAATATGGATTAATGGTAGGATCCCCTATAATTTACCTTAAAGGGGTTACGATAATGATATTCCAACTTTCTGGCTTCTACTGTATTTAGGGTACCATATTAGGGCCCCCCATTTTCGGAAACTCCCATATCATCAACCGTAGGAGCTCTAGGGTTCAGGGAAGTCTGGGAGCTTTAGGGTTTAGGGTTTAGGGTTTAGGGTTTAGGGTTTAGGGTTTCGGGTTTAGGGTTTAGGGTTTAGGTCGGGCGTCTAGGAGCCCAGAAGGAAAGCTCCAAATCAGTGCCCTGCTGGGCCTCGAAGTTTCACAACCCTCAACCCTAAAGCCTAGATCCTAAACCCTACACCCCTAAGCCCTGAACCCTACACCCCTACGCCCCGAAACCCTAAACCCTAAACCCCTAAACCCCTAAACCAAGAAATCAAGGCACAAAGAGACGGCGAGGCGGCCCCCTGGAGCTGAATAATCTGGCTCCCCGAGTCGGTTGTGACTTCTTGGCTGGTAGTCCAGAACTCTTCCTGGGCTACGATTACTATTACTATTACTATTACAAGAACTATTACTGTTACTACTACTATTACTATTACCATTACTATTACTATTACTGTTACTAATACTATTACTATTCCTATGGTTACTATGATTACTATTACTACTACTATGAAAGCTACTATCTTAGTATTAGTACTGTTGCTACGTACATAAGTCTTAGAGCATGGTAGGCGTTCCAGTAAGGCTTCAAATGCGAACCTATACTCTTTCGGGAATTATGGTCATATTATTACCTATACTATACTAGTTTGGGTATAATCGTATTATATCCTTATACCTAATATACTCTTTCGGGAATAATGTAGTATTCTTCACTTCAAAGCCTTATCCCCTCTGTAAGAGCTTATCGAGCCCTTACGTTTTGCAGGCCTCTCTTCAAACGGAAGGGTTTAGGGTTTAGGGTTTGGGGGTTTATGGGGTTTAGGGTTTGGGGTTTGGGGTTTAGGGGTTTCGGGGTTTCTCCTTGTCAGGATCCTGATGGTGAAGATGGCTCAACCCTAAGCCCTTCACCGGGGGTCCCCCCTTTTCTGAAGACCCATGCTGCAGTGTAAGGCTCAGGGTTCTGGGCTGCGAGCGGTTTGGTTGAACCCTAAGCTTCCATGATTGGGCTGTTTCGAAGGGTCTTTATATGAAGCCAACAAGACTTGAAAGGGACTCTGCAAAAGGGTATCTCATGGTAAGGTATGCTGGGGTTGAGGGTTCAGTGCTCATTAGTTGGATCAGTCCGAAAAAAGCTATGAACCGAGCTGCCTGACCAGAACCTGCGTCGGCACTGCAGCGGAAACACTTGCTCATGCCGGAGCTGTTGGCAAACTCTCCCAACCTGTCTCAGGGAGCTCCCTGGCCCCACCTAAGAATGGAGACTATCAGTAAACCTCCAAGCCCAAAACCCTGCGACCCTAACACACGCGAAAGGGGCCTGCAAAGGCTGCACTGCGTCGTGCCGGGCTCCGCTGCCACAGTGCCCGGCTCGCAGGAGAAACACGTCGTCGAACCCCAGGCGTTCCTTTTTTGGGGTTTAGGCTTTAGGTTTTAGGGTTTGGGGTGGTGGCGGGGTTCCAGAGAACAGTTTTCCCAACAAAGCCCCGGTGGTCAGCTGTAAAGACGCATCGAAGGTCTCAGGATGAAGGCTCAATTTTAAGGTTTATCAAAGGGGAAGAGGAGGGACCCTTAATGGGGACCCCTACCCTATAATGGGCTATATAATGGGTATATACTGGCTATATTAAAGGTATATACCTAGGGGTCCTTAGTAAGGGTCCCTCCTTGTGCCCTTGGAGTTTAAGGTGCGGGTGTGACAGGACAACTACTATAAGCACAAACAACAGCAAGAAAAACTCAATATGGGAACCAGCTCAAGCCCCAAACCCCAAGGACCTCCGAAGGAAGGTAGGCGACGTAGCCCGTAAAAGAACCCTTCTAGCAACCCTTATGGGAACCCATCGTAGGAACCCTTGAAGAGCCACTCTAAAATTGTAATATCTTACATATTTCTTACTTAAAAATGAAGGAAACCTCAAAGGAAGCACAGCTTCTGATAGGATCCAACCGTGCAGTTGGAGCAGAGGAAGGTCCTGATCTCAAAAGAAGGCGCTTTGCAGTTTGACATAAGGGCTTTGTTGTGTAGGCGGTGTTTTCAGCATCTCATGCTGAAACTACATAAATTATGTCAAGACTGTAAAGGGATATCAGGACAAGGCTATAGTTGAAAGCAGCGGGCGAGTTTCCAAAGTATCAGGCACAATTCTGGTAGGATTACAAGTCGCAAGCCCCACAATACAAGTTCAACAGACCTTAAACCACAACTCTTTTCTTTTCCAGATCGGCAAATGGTACCTCTATCATCTACACTGGGGTCTTCTGCTGAGCCTTGTCCTTCTGCGACAAAACGCTTAGGGATCGGGATTTAAGGGTTTACTATAGAAACCTAAATAATTACCAATACTATTTTGGGGGCTCCTTAGATTAATTATAGTATTAATTACCCCAAAGCCCTATTCTGATTATTCAGGCCCGTATATTCGGGTGTTCGGTGTCAGATGTCCTCTCAAACTTCACCGATGCTCGCCCAGGTGGGCAAGTGGCACAATCCGCGGCATTGGTCGTAGAAGTGACCTCGGCATCTCTGGCAGGGAGGCGCTTGAACAAGCATGTACTTGTCCTTTCCGCCTCGCGAAACAGACCTGACAATAAACCTGATTGCAAAATAAGTCTGCTGATCATTTCTGGCCCCTCTTATGACTTATATCATGGTTGAACCTGAAAAAACAGAATGGGTAGCAGCAACAGCCTGGCTACAAAGTCACCAGCCACGTTGACCAAGCCTTTACTGACCAGGCATTCTGTCTTCGAGGGTATCCTTACTTGCCCAAATTGCCGCAGGGGACAGCTGGTACTTGTACCCTATATAGGGTTTAGGGTTTTAAGTTTTATCCTACTGCAGGGCGAATAGGGAAATCCCAAAACCAAAAGGATGTAGGGGTACCTTCAACATGAAGCCATAAGCGCAACAGACACGCTTTTAGGACCAGAACTCTCATCATACATTACATGTATATGGAAACCCTAAATGAACCCTAAACCCCCTCAGCCCACTTTAAGTCCCGTAGACCCTATACCCTATTTCCCTTCCAAAGGATCCAATTTGTCCATTGGTCTTGGGAAGCGCGGAGCCATTCGCATGCAGTCAGCCGGGGGTTGGAGCCCGACTGCACGTGAAACCGCAGCAAATCCGATACATCGCTGTCCTTGAGGTTTGGAGCTTTGGGTTTGTGAGCCCCGCAACTAAACGCCCTTTACAACCATAAGCCAAAAAATGAAGATGATATATTCGGTAATCCCTTGGGTTAAAAGACAAAAACCAACATGAAAAAGGATCCCGAAACAACACCCCAGGCAACGATGAAGCGCAAAACTCCTGAAGCCTAGAACTAGCTGCCAGCTGAATCATGGAACACTTAAACCCCTGAAGCTTCACCAGAGAGCCTAGCCCCCACTCATTACGGAATAGAACTTATACCATACCTAGCGGCTCCATGGTATATAGTTTTTTGCGGGTTCATATGTAGAACCCTGTAGCGTAATCCCAAAAAAGAACTACTACGGAGCCTATGGGTAATATATTAAGTTACAAGTCAGGGTATGCTCTTACCTGCGTGTTTTCATGGCTTCAACAAGGTTTGGGGCAGACTATGCTACACTACAGGCCTCCTAAGGGGAAACGATCGCCAATCATTCAAACCTCTGTAGCCCGTCCTTGATCTGCATGTTTTCCTGGGCTTTGAAGTAACCAGGGAGCAAAAAGTATAGACCTTTTTTCACAGTTAATTCACTTCAAATAACAGGTCCCCCAAAAAGTATTAAAGTGATATACTTCACAGCCCGGTTTCAAGGAGACGGTAAGCCCGGCGCGCAGAGGTTTCCAAGCCAGAGGAAACCAATTTCAGTACTGGCTCCGTGCTCGGCTGGGTCTTGTAGATTCCCTGCCTCTCTACTATAGTAATCCCTATAAAGTTGGAAAACGAATTAAGGCCAAATAGTGCTGGGATTCCCTACAGAGTACTCTTAAGGATTGAGGCTATTGGGTTTCCAACTTTTTGGCTTCTACTGTATGCTGTACTCGAGTCTATTCTACCCCTGTATCTGCTATAACTCTACTCTCCTTTGCTCCTATGTCCTATGCGTTACCCTCTTCTCTGCTGAGGTTCCCTGAAATAACCCTCCACCCTAAACCCTGAAGCCCTCAATCCTAAACCCCAAACCCTGCAAAATAAATCCCCAAAATTCGAAATCCCCAAAAACCTCTTTTCGCTTTTTGGGGCCGATCGAAGTAGTTTGGGCTTTAAACTTGAAGGTAATTCAGGGGCCTGAGGTTAAGGGCCAGGCAGACGCAAATGGTCGTGGTTAATAACTTTAAGAACCACAGAAACCTGAACCCACTCGACGCCCCCTCCCCCCTCTCGACTTGAAAGAAAGAAGAAACCCAGGGCCTGTGTTCGGCAGCGTTGTGGGGCGGGAAAACAACAGCTCTGGTTTCGAAGGCTGCGAACGAGGGGTCGGGACTCCACCTGCCGGAGAGCGGCTTAAAAGGGATATGCTATAGGGGCCTTAGTGATTAGAAATAGGGTTTTGGGGCACCTTATACAGTAGTTATAAACGCTCCGACGCCCTGTTCACGAGCGCGCGCGCGCGTGAAAGGACAGGAAGGTATAAAAAGGATCCCCTTACACAGCTTTAGGCTGCTATAGTAGCTGCGCCTACAGGCGACTCCGGGGAGTGAATGTTTCAATAACGGTTCCTCGGCCTTTCATTCATACGGGTAAACAGGGACTCATAGAAGCCTTTACAAGAAAGGGGTCTTATACATTTCCAGAGAAACGGCTGAAAGCTTGGCTTGGGGTGTGGGGTCCCATATACATGTACATATACCTGTACATCTATACATACATATAATTATACATTTACATATACATCTGCATTCATGCGTGTATGTATATATATATATATATGTATGTATGTATGCATGTATGCATGCATGCATGTATGTATGTATATATATATATAAACAATTACACATTCTGCATATGCATGTATGAGGTCATGTTGGTGCATGAATGCACAAGGTCAACCCTAAGCCCTGATTTTAAGAAACTCCCACCAGTAGAACACGGACTGGAGCTTGCGATTTATCTCCTCGTAGGTAGGAGTATCCAAGGCTGATGCGATTGCAAGAGGCATGTTGTGAAAGGCTGCTTGCTGCACCATATAAGGCATCCCCCACGCCTCCGGGCCGGGTTTCAGAGTGACAGGTTCAGGTGTAGGGCGTTTGGCTTAGGGGTTAGGGCTTGGGGTTTGAGCTCAGCGATCTAGATTTACGCCTTGGGGTTTAGAGTGTAGAGAGCTGAGAGCTTAATATAAGGGCCTAAATAATATTGATTGGAATAGGGTTATGTTGAATAATATACTACAATTATACTTAGGAACCCCCCATATAGTCTCAGTAACCATTAAGGCCCCTATAGTAGCCATGCCTCTGGCCCAGTCACGACCGCAATGCATCTGGAAGCGTTGGATCTGCAAGCAGGTGCCAGCCACCACTTCTCTTCCCAGCACTTAAGCCGAGCAACGCCATTCACAAACTCCACGGAATCTGAGTCCCCAGTTGCACTGAGGTACTGGTTTCCAAGATCCGGCCACTCCACGTAGAGGCTTTCAGAGCAAGGGAGTAGTTGGTCCATGTCAACTGAACCGATGGTAGCCAAGTAGTTCTCCGGATGGAACCAGGAAGCATTGAATGAAAAGAAGTAGGACAAGTCTAAGCCGGTTTCCTCGAGACACTTCTTGCGAGGCTCCTCGAAGATGAACATCCCTTCATAGCCTTCATAGCCCAAGGTTCCCAAGTCCTTTGGGGCTAGATCCCCCAGCTGATCCACAGCTGTAGACCATTCCGACAAGGTGGTATGAATTTCCATGACCTCCAGAGCAATGTGATAGAAAGATGGATAGGCACAATTGATACCAGTAAAAGCCATCGAGCAGCCAGCCACACTGAGCAGCTTTTGCAGCTCTGACCCTGTCACGACTTTCGCAACATTATATCCCAGCACTTCCTGGACTTTGAAGTAACCAGGGAGAGAAAGTATAGACCTTTTTTTCATAATGGTTCCTTTAAGGAACCCGTACCAAAAAAAGTATTCAACTATGGTACTCCAAAGCCCAGGCTTCCTCTAGCAGTATTGCAACGAGATCCGCAAGGATGAGATTAAATTGCCAGTCTCCGGACGCTATGCCAATCGGCATAGAAAAATCACCTGGGGATTTATCTAGGGCCCTTGCTATGACATGGATTCTGCTTAAGGTCCCCATGTTTCTGAAGCTCCCGCCTATGGTGATGTTTGTCCTCTCTTCCGCCGGTGTTGGACGGGCTAAACACGTCGGACTTTCTGCACTCACTGAAGCGACGAGAAGAGTCAAAGGACCAACGGCTCGAAGCATGAAAGTTTGTGACAGCATTTTCCTGGGCTGTTGCTCTCGAAAGTCCTGCGCAACATCATAACTGCTTGCTTTTCGTACTAAAGTGCACACTATGCAAAACTATGCTATGCCATGCTGCTATACCATGCTAACTATGATATTGTATACCGTAACTATAGTATAATACACTATATACTGGAACCAAAATGCAAGAGCGGCCAAGATTCGCTTTCATCCAGGCTTCGACATCGGCCGATGCTCAACCACATGGGAATGCCATGGGATTTGAGGGGGTTAGGGTTTCGGGACCGTCAGAGTCTGAGGGTTTAGGGTTTAGCGGTGTAGTGGGGTTTAGGTTTAGTGGTTTAGGGGGGTTGGGGTTTGTCAAAAGTTCCCCGCTGGCCTGGGGTGTTGCATAATCCAGGGGCCTTCATGTTCCGAATATGGTCTTCGTGGCGCTCTACAAGGGTCTTACCATCAGGATATGGCTTTAAGGGCCATTATTGCAAAGAATAGTGTTTCGCGATATGTATGTATATATATATATATACATATACACACACATATTATACTGTAGTATATATTGCATATATTATCTATTGTATATTCTATGCACTACAAGAGTGTATATATATATATACACTATACACTGTACAGTATATAAGACATAATATCAAATATATTATAAATGAGTACATATGGACTCTAAACGTGGTGTAGCGCAACGCCCCTGGAGGCTCCCCCTTGGAGCTTCCCGGAACTTACATGTAGGGTTTCTAGGGCATCGGGTTTAAGGCTAGGGTGAAGGCTTTAGGGTTTAGGGTGTAGGGGTTTAGGGGTTTAGGGTTTAGGGTTTAAGGCTAGGGTTAAGGGTTTAGGGTACGTGTAGGGTTTTTTTCGGGTATATGTAGGGTTTAAGGCTTGGACTACACGGGGGTTGGGGATTCTGGCTTCCACTACAGCATCATGATATCGGCCCCTGCAACCCAGTTGCAGTATGCTCCTGAACCAGTTACCAAGGGAAAAAGCTGCCATCTAAACGCAGGTTTGACTGTGTTCTGACACCCTATTGGGCTAGCCCCCCCCTTTTGGAGCCGCTGAGGTCAGAGAATGAAGAGACTCCCAAACACCTACAACTATGTTCTTTTCATGAGACTTTGCATTTCACGTGTATCAAATTTCCGAAGGGCTTTTGCAAAAGAAGGGTTCCTGGCTCACATTGTTTTGTAAGGTGCTTGACTTTGGAGATTATGGAGTGTAAGCTGGGAGTTCATTGTTCAATGTTCAGGCTCACTACTCAAGGGTTTTCGTTTTCAAGGGGAGGTGCTGCGCGAATGTGTAAATGCCCCTGAACCCTAACCCCTAAATTTGCATACTTTCAACGTTTCGGGTTGGGTTTTGGGCTTTGCCAAAGAGCTGCAGCGGCACAGGATAATGACAACCTAAAGGAACCTGTCAAAGACTCGGACTACTTCCTCATCAACAGCTGCAGCTTGTTGATTTCGGCAATAGTAGCGAAATTTACAGTCTGTGAATTGCACGAAGTGCCAGCCGTCTGTTGAAAGCCTAGGGCAGAAGCCGAATCTGGAGGCTCCACCTGGGTTTCTCCCTCTTGCGGTGGCCCAAGCCCCATCTAGGAGATGCTAGAAGCTTGTCTGAACACATGGGTGGTTATCAAAATTAGGGCCCCTTTTTGGGTCCATAGTATAATACGGCACCTAATATTTAGGGTACCCAAATAGGGACCAAAACTTTGACAACCGCCCACATAGAACCCGTAAGCAATCCCTCACCGCTCAACCTTCGCCCCTAACTAAACACTGCAAATCCTGGAGACCTCAAGCCCTGAAAGGCAACACTATCACTAAACCATACAACCCTTCGCGAACCTATGAAACCCTGAAAATAAACCCTACGGCTCCATGTACCCAGGCAGTATATACATTGGCCTTGAAGTTCCTGTTTGGGGACCCCTTTAAGGCCTAACTACGGGGGTATCTTACTTCGGGGTCCCTGTAATAAAGGATCCTACTACTGGTATTTAAGCCCCCGATTTTCGGAAATCCCCACATCTGTGGTTGTCAAAATTAGGGTCCCTTTTTGGGTACCCTAAATACAAGGTGCCGTATTATAATAGGGACCCAAAAAGGGACCATAATTTTGACAACCACCCACATGAGTACATGAAAAGAACCAGCTTCCTTCCTTTCAGACCCTTCGGCGTCTGAGAACCGGGCCCCCACAATCTCTTGCGTCCTAGCAGACGGAGGGTCTTTCTCTTTTTAAATGCGGGCGGAGGGTTTAGCGTTCAGGGTTTAGGGGGTTTAAGGCTTAGGGGGTTTAGGGCTTATAGGGTTGAGGGTTTCAGGGTTTAGGGAGTTGCCAAATGTGACGGAGGTTGAAAATCTGTATGTTCGTGGCTCGTATCGGGTTTGGGTGTGTGGTGTTCAGGGTATTTGAGTTGAGGCATCAAGAAGCCACTCTGGTTCTTCGACGACCTAAACTCACAAGTGGAGAGGCCTGAATACTTGGAAGGCTTTAATTTAAGCCTTTAAGATGTAAGAGTCTGGGGATCCCCCATGGAAGCCTGCTTAAACTATTCGTTCCCCATTTATGACCATGCGGCTGCAGCAACGAAAAGTGCTGCATGAACAACTCATACAACCATAATACAGCCATGCTGACAGTTGCTATAGGGGCCTTAACAGCTTCAATAGGGCTTGGCGATGTAGTACATCACCACATACAATATGAAGATTGTCATGGGGTATTCCGACCCCATGTTACGTATGCTCAAGCAGGGCATTACCTTACAAACCAGCAGGACTTGGCTCGCGAATGTTTGCAGTAAGAACCAGTCTGCGATGTTCTGCGGCCTTGCAACAGCCTCTTGTCTCGTTGGTCCTGGCGAGGATGAGTTCCACCGAGCACGCGACCACGTCGACAAGGAGAACCGGCATGCAGAGACATCTTGCCGTGCGACGCACTTCTTAGATGTGATGCCTGTTGTTCTTCTTCTTCTTCAGAAGCGACCGCTAGTCGAACATTTGCTATAGACTGAGGTCGCAGGGCAGGCACCTGTAGCAAAGACTTCGCAGAGAAGATGAACATTGGGCAAGCACCGTACGAAAACCGGTGTTGGTTGAACTCGAGAAACCAGGCGAATTTGTTTGTTTCGCGCCAAACTTTCAACCTGACAAGCCGCCTGCCGGAGCTTGGGTCATCCTCTGCGGTTCCTTTGAGGATCGCGACTACGACAAGGGTTACTGCATAAGGGCTGCTAACTACTACAGGTGCGGATGAACACGAGCATGAATCATGTTGCAAACGTAAAGCCGTTTCAAATAGGCAAAGACATTCTAGTTCTGGCACTCATACTCGCATTGGCTCAAAGCAATCAAGAGTTTCAATTTTTGGAGGAGGATGGATGATCATGAGGATAGACGATATTTAAAGCACACACTCCATTGAACCCAGAAGAGGAGCCTTTTTTGCAGGTCGTCAGCAGCGCCACTCGGCCAGCTTACCGGCAGCTTGCCCTTCCCCGGCCTCTTTCGCCTTGCCCATCCATTGACATGCCAGCTCATCGGAGCTCAGATCGTTCTTGTACAACAGAGCCAGGTACCACATGGCAGAAGTGTTACCCCTCGCAATGGCCAGGTCGTACAGCTCTTTGGCCTTGCGGAAAGCTGCAGGTTGATGTTGCTCTTGCATGGAGGGCGAGTATGGTCCCGGATTCTTAAAGTCGCGAGCCATCTGCTGGTACATGTACGCAAGGCTAGTGGCGGCTTCAGCGCTCCCTCTTTCGATGCCCATCTCATAGAGTTCCTTGGCCTTGTCCCAATCCTGGTAGACTCCAAGGCCATCGCGGTACATTTGCCCCAGGAGTTCCGGGGCAAGGTCGTCGCCGCTCTTGATGCCCAGCTCGTACAGCTCTTTGGCCTTGTGCAAGTCTTCTGTTACACCATGCCCTTTCTGGTACAAGAATCCAAGGTTGGTGGGGGCTCTGGACCAGCCCCCTTGCATGCTGAGCTCAAAGAGTTCCCGGGCCTTCTGAAAGCTTTGGGTCACCCCAAAGCCGAAGTAGTACAGTCTCCCAATGCTACAGGCGGCAGCAGAGCTGCCCCGCTCGGTGCCCATCTCATAGAGGTCCTTGGCCCGGTGGAAGTCTTGCGCGACCCCTTGCCCAAGCTCGTACATGCTTCCAAGGCCAACGGGGGCTGCGGCGTCACCCTGTTGCATGGACAGCTCAAAGAGTTCTCGTGCTTTCTTATAGTCACGAGCAACCCCCAAACCAAACTGATACAGGTGCCCAAGTGAGAAGCGCGAGCCACTGTGACCCCTGGTGATGCCAACCTCATACAACTCCCTGGCCCTGCGAAAGTCTTGCGCAACGCCAAGCCCACCCTCGTACAAGACTCCAAGCGCGGCAGGGGCCTGCTCGTCTCCTCTTTTGATGCCCAGCTCGAACAGTTCTTTGGCCTTGCGGAAATCTTGTGCTACGCCTTGCCCCTGCTGGTACAAGAATCCAAGGCTGGTGGGGGCTCCAGAAAAACCCCTTTCCAGGCTCAGCTCGAAAAGCTCCCGCGCCTTTTGAAAGTCGCGGGCCACCCCGAAGCCGTGGGAATACATGTTTCCAAGGAACCAAGGAGCAGCAGCGCTGCCCGTTTCGATGCCAATCTCGTACAGTTCCTTGGCCCTGTGCAAGTCTTTCGCCACACCTTGCCCAAACTCGTACATGCTTCCAAGGCCAGAGGGGGCTTCCTCGTCGTTTTTTGCCATGGCCGTCTCATAATGTTTCCGTGCTTTCTGAAAGTCGCGAGCAACCCCGAGGCCGTACTGGTAGATGCGCCCTAGTGCATAGTGAGCGGCAGAGCTGCCCTTTGCGATGCCAATCTCATACAGTTCTTTGGCCCTGTGGAAGTCTTGAACAGCACCTTGACCACGCTCGTACAAGATTCCTAGCATGATGAAGGCATCTTCGTCACCTCTGCTGATGGCCATCTCGTACAGCTCCTTGGCCTTGTGGAAATCTTGGGCTACACCTTGCCCATCGTGGTACATGCTTCCAAGACTGGTAGGGGATTTGTGGGATCCTCTTTGCATGCTGAGTTCAAAGAGTTCCCGAGCCTTGCGGAAGTCGCGGGCGACGCCAAAACCGTAGCGATAAACATAACCGAGGTTGTGGAGGAAGGCCGCAGCATCAGGATTGAGGAGCTGCAGATTTCGGCAACTTCTGAGGCTCAGGTTCGCTTTGCCACAATTGCCGTAATGCCATGTGGTGGTCTCCTGAAACTTCAGCGTGTCCACTGGGGACAGCAAGCGCGCCCTCTCGTAGATGACGGAAGTTGCCGCGTGCATATCACCAGATGTGATGAAAGGGTGCGTGAAAAAGATGTTCACCTGCAGCCTGTCGCGGAAGGCCTGAACAGCAGCTTTCAGCTCACTTCTGTAGAAGACAGTGTCGAAGAGGGTCTTGTAAGACCGTCCTTCCTGCATGAGGTAGCCGATCGCCACAGAAACATTTTGGGATCTCGCAGCCCAGGTGCCTGCGAACTGCCGTGATGCACCAACCCAAAAGGCTTTGACCTCCAGGGCCAAGAGACCCAGACCTTCCAAAACCTCCTATTAAGGAATATACCTTAAATCATATTAGGGACCCTACTATAATTTAAGGTATATTCCTTAATTAAGGGGTTTTGGAAGGTCTGGGGAAGCGCTGTGCAACAAAACAAGTGTTAAATGTGTTCAAGGCAGACGCCATGTATACATACAACTATGGTATAATGGGCCCCAAAACCCTAGTCTAATTATTAAGGCCCCTATATTAACTGAGTTGCCGAGTTCATAAGCCCCCAAAAGTGTACACTTCCAGATTCATATTGGAAAATCTTATCCCAAAAAGTGTAAAGTGTATCCACTCAGCTACTAAGTCTTGGGATTACTGTGGGGGGCTAAAGAACTACCAATACTATCATGATTATCATAATAGCATAATGGGCCCCAAGACCTACTCTAATTAGCTGACTAAGTACTAACCCTGGGGCTCCAAATAGCCCAAAGTAGGTATTATTTATAGACTTTAAGCCCCCAAAGTAGGTACTATTTGTATACCTGGAGCCCTAGGGTAAGTTAAGAGAAGCCCACGCCTTCCCATAGCTGCAGGACTTCAGAGTGTTCACTCCGGGAGCGTTCAGGAGCTGCCCGAGCCGGGTGTCTGGATCCTCCTCCCACAGCTCTCGATCTCTCCCAACAACCCCGAGCCCCCATATAGGTTTAGAGTTTAGGGTTTCAGGGTTTTAGGGTTTTGGGTTTAGGGTTTTTAGGGTTTTTAGGGTTTTAGGGTGTAGGGTTTAGGGTACACGTATAGGCACCCCTTTAAGGCCTAAGTATATACTATATGGGAGTTTCCGAAAATTGGGGGTACCTTATTTTGGGGTTTTTCGTCAGCAGGATCCTACTATTCAGGGTACTATGTTGGGGTCCCCTATTCTCGGAAACCCCCATGTGGAGACACAGAAGCTGAATCAAACCATCACGCCGAGACTAGAGAACAACAAGAGCAAGAGATTTGGGGCTATGCCGAAGTTGAGGGTTGTAGAACCCGTATCACATAGAGGCCTTAATTATTAGAATAGGGCTGTGGGAACCACTATACTACTTATTTAATAAGGAACTTCCAAAATAGTATTGGTAACTACTTAGGCCCCTACATTAGGAAGACTCTCGAAGTCGAGCCTGGCTGTGCAGGACGCAGCCGCCTTGTTGTCGCAATGGCCTCAGGACGTCTTCACGCTCTTCATCTTCATAGCCACTCCAGAGCAAGAGGTGCGTCTTCTCCTTGAAGTTTAGGACAAAATACTATACCCCCTTAGAACACCAACAAAAAACAATTATGTTTAATAGTCTCTTGGGTTTTATACGAACCAAATATTAAGACATAATTCCCAAGAGGACTATAGTTGAAGTTTAGGACAGAATCAAGGCTGAGTCTTCGTTCAACACACGGCCCTTTCGATGAAAGGATCTTGGGGTGCGGTAGGTTCTCACTATACGTGGACTGGCAGGGATGTTAGGCTATACTATGTAGTGTGGACCGTGCATCTACCCTCGCGCACAGCCTACATGCCTACAATATCCTACAATTCGGGCCCATCTACCCCTAGTTGCTCAGGGGTGGAGCGAGGGGTCGAACGACCAACATCACAAACGGCCTTGCGATGAGAGGAGCATAGGACATGGTATATTTGATCCACCATCTGTTGTAGCTTCCCTGAATACTTATTCGGGCTCATCTTCTGCTATTCAGGGGTACCGCGAGGGTCCTGAAACCCACTCCTACATTCTCACGTGGACAGGGTACACCCTATGCCTCAACCTCTAAATTCCCAACTCAACAAAAGCCCGAATCCTAAACCTTCCAAAAATCCCATATCCCTAAACCCGAAATCCCTACCCCTCTGCTTAAAAAAAAGACGGCGAGTAGCCGGATCGCACTTCAACAAGCCCTGGCTCCAGACCTCGTAGTCCCCATCGTTGACAACAGCTTCTGCCTATCAGGAGGGGTGAGAAATTTTGGTCCACAAATATTCTGTATATATGCAATTACATATGTGTATATATATATATATGTACATCTATAGTTATTTCTATGTATAGATATAGTTAACCCCCATTGTGGTCCAGAGTCATGGGATAGGGGGAAAGAAAAGTTTATACGGATGATATAGGGGTCATAGTACCCCAAAAATTGTAAGCTTACCTACTCTACTGCTAGGAAACCCTAAACCATAAACCCTGAGCCCTAAACCACTACGAGGATTATATCCTCCAGGCTGTGAGTTGATCCGACCTCGGCTTCGCAGCCTCCCTCAGAGACCGTCTTCCCATTTTTCTGGTCCTGCCAAGGGTTTTGGGGGGACTTAGGGGTGCACTTTTAAGGGCTTAGGGGGTTGTTGTTTAGGGCTCTTGGGTTTAGGGTTTCAGGTTTAGGGTTTAGGGCTTGGTGTTTAGGGTTCTGGGGTGTGCTGTTGAGGGTTTAGGAGGTTCTCTTCTCTTGCGGGCCCGGCATTCAAGCTCAGGGCTTTGCAGCATTGGGACTTCAGAATTTGGCGTTGGAGGGTTCAGGAGTTGGGGGCTTGGGGCTTGTTGTTTAGGGTTTAGGGTTTAGGCTTTAGGGTTGGAGTCCTCAAAATCTGACTATCCTAGTGTTGATTATTCGGCGCGGTCCTGCTCGCAACTGTGCTGTATGCTCCTCTTGAATATTCGAAGCTCTTCTGCGCAACCTGGGCATCGAACATTCCTGTCTGATTCCCGTTCTACCAGCATACATGGGCAGCATCACCTGAAGCGTGAAGCACTTCTTGATACGTCTTGTGAGGAAAGGGGGGTGAGAGAAAGGGAAACATAAAGCGAGAGAGACAGGAGCAGAATGGTTTACGGCAAATCCTAAAACCCGAAACCCAGAACCTAAAACCCTAAACGCTGAACCCTTGAAAGCCTATAAAACCTAAACCCGTAAAGTGCCAAGGCACGGGAGGGGTCGGGTTCCAAGAAGCCGCCGTGAGTCTCCTTCTCAGCAATGCCTGGATGCAAAGCGACTACCCACAGGCTCCAAAGTAGTTCCTTTTTGGGGTTCATATTTAGAATCCCATAATGTAATGCGAAAAGGGAACTACTACGGAGCCTATGGGTACATCCCTTCACATGCGGCTCCCGGACCATAAGCCTAAAAGTAGTCTTCAATTCAAAGTTGGGGCTCTACATAAGCTTTATGGGATCTAGGGTCATCGCAGAACAATCCACTGCAGTGCCGGGCGTGCCGCATGTCCGCATATTCCGTCAATCTTTATCCTTGTGTACTGGAAGCCAGAAAGTTGGAACATCATAACCCTCATGCTCTTAAGGTAAAGCATCAGGGATCCTGGCACCAATCACTGTAAACCCATGTTCCAACTTTCTGGGTTCGCTCTACATAAACTGCAAGCCCGTGAGCTCGATAAGGCTGTGCCCAGGCTACGAATAGAGTAGTGGCCCAGGGAGTCAAGACGTCGACGCCTTCTTGGCTACCCTCCGACCCCGGAGGAAAGAGGAGTGACAGGAGCGGAGTAAACTGGGTTAAGATAGGGGCCTTAATAATTGGCATAGGGTTTTGAGGCCCAGTATACTGTAACTATGATAAGGAACCCCCAAAATAGTATAGGTAATCATTTACAAAGGCCCCTTCATTATGGCAGGTTCTATCTTCGAGTCACGATGAGATGGGCACTGAGCGACAAGAACTGTCTCTCGGTTACTGGAGCAGTACAGGGGCCTTGACAATTAGAATAAGGATTGCGGTCTCATTATACTATACTTATAGTAAGAAAACCCCCCAAAATAGTTTAAGTAACTATTAAGGTCTATAGTATGTCTCCCACGTACCTCCGGTCAAGTCAACATGCACATGTGTATTGTAGGAACCTGATTAAGAAGCCCTGGGCCTATAACCCCAAAATAGTCGGATTCAAGTAAGGAACCCTGATACAGGCCCAAGGTTTCTTAAATTTTCTTAATCAGGTTCCTACATTAAGCAGGAACACGGATGCTCCTGCCCGCTTGCGAAGTGCCGGAGAGAAAAGGCATACCACCTATAGTTTGCCGACGCGGTCCGCACAGGTCCGCACTGCAGACGGCAATTTGCCAGGCATGCTGACGCATCACATGTAGCAAGCATGGACGTGCGTTGTACTAGACCATAACTGTGGCAACATAGTATACCATTTACCCCACATCTGGTTAGAATTACTCTCAAGCTCTTATACTACCCTGTGCTACATCCTGCGCCCTGGCCCTGAGTCCCTTCCATTCCAAGCCTTTTCGCAAGCCGATGACACGGTGGCCGCTCACCAAGAGCAGCAGCGATGTGAAGACCAGCATGGCACTCATGCTTCCAGAGATATGAACACCCAGACCTTTAATTAAGGAATATACCTTAAATCATACTAGGGACCCTATTATAATTTAAGGTATATTCCTTAATTAAGGGGTTTTGGAAGGTCTGGGCAGATCGCTTTTCGCAAACAGCATGCTTGAGGCTAAACCGCTTCCAAGCCGATGGCGAGAGTCCCGTTACTGCAACTCCGTGAACTCAGCCCTCTCTCTCCGCATTCCTACCTGCGTCTGGAGGACCCTTGGGACCTTCGTCACTATCGCATTATCCCCAAGGGCGCTATACTTTCAAGGCCGCATACAACACCGCCGGATTAGACCTTTATTTCACCCTTAAACGGAACCCCATTATGATGACCAAGGACCCCTAAGCAAACCCTACGAAGCTAGCTTTTCCGAGGACAACTAAGGCAGAGACTCCAAAAACCCCGCAAAGTTAACGGCTCGCCCAGTAGTGTTTCGGAGAGGTTTTCAAGTTTTGTAGGTTTGATAGTACCGCTTTCAAGCTTCTTGTGGGTGGGCTACAAACGATCTCTTTTCTTGGGTTTCATGGCAGGGTGCAGGGCTTAGGAATTCTTTCTTGGATTGATCCTTTTCCCGTCTGCATTTCAACAGCAGGAGACCAAATTGCAGGGGCGCTTGAAAGTTAGAGTTTCAGTAAGGTCGTGTACGGCCTTGTTGGGTCGCATAAAAGTGATTACGGCCTTTGAACCGACAGTGTTTAGGGCTGGCTTTGAATAAGTGTGAGCGCTTTTTGCAGCGTCTTGAGACTAGACAAACAACTTGCTGCTGTTGCCCACGGTCATCTATCCTTCTCAGGACTGAAAGACCCTTAAGCAGCAAGGTCCCTATGCCCTTACAGTATGAATCCAGAGTAGGCTGTATGCACCTCAAACCCTTCTAGGGTTCATCTCGTCTTTATCCATAGGCTCCATAGTAGTTCCTTTGTGGGGTCCATATTTAGAATCCTATAAGGAATTCCCCAAAAGGAACTACTCAGGAGCCTATGCGTAAGCATTGAGGCTATCGTGGAAGTACTCGTCGTGAGAGAGCCAATGTGAGAGTTTCCGAAACTAGGGGGTGCCTTATTTGGGGTCCTTGTAATCAGGATCCTACTACTTAGAGTGCTAAACGAGGGTCCCCTATTTTTGGAAAAACTCCATGTCCCGTGAGCCACAGTAAGGATTCTCCGGGAGGTTCCTGTAAGGATACCCTGCATGTAAGGACGAATCCTAGCTCATAAGGAACCATTGTAGTTCCTTTTTGGTGTTGCTCTCTAGGATCCCTAATATAGGATTGGCTAAACCAAAAAAAGGAACTACATTGGAGACTATAGGTAGCTCATAAGGAACCTTGCGACTCTAGGAAGCCTATCCAGTGTCACCTACAGTCGCCACCGTTGTGATGTGAATGTGTTAGGATTGCTGTTGAAAGACGGTTGCGAAATCGCCCTTCCCTTCAAACCCTTGAAATTTGAACCCCGAAATTCCCAAACCCTTAACCCCGTAGAAACCCAAAAAACCCTAAACACCAAAACCCTACTCAGAGGCCCAGGGGACTTAGCAAGTAGGTTATAAGTAGGCACTAGGGTGTCGCTGTCGTTGCCATCCGCACTCCCTCCCGCAGCGCAACATTGAATGATACCGAACGACTTGCGTCGAAATTGAAATCTGGACAGCCGAGCCGAAGGTAGTCTGAGAGTACGAAAAAACCGTAAACACCGTGTAGAACGTAGGTGTCGTCCAGTTCTACTACTATTATTACTACTACTACTACTACTACTACTACTACTACTACTACTACTACTACTACTACTACTACTACTACTACTACTACTACTACTACTACTACTACTACTACGTACCACCACCACTACTGCTACTGCTACTACTACTACTACTACTACTACTACTACTACTACTACTACTACTACTACTACTACTACTCCTACTACTACGTACCACCACTACTACTGCCACCACCTCTGTCACTGCTACGGCCACTACCACTGCCGCTGCTACCGCTACTGCGATGAATAGGGAAGACGAGCTTTTGCGAAAACGTCCTCAGCAGCGCCATTCGGCCAATTTGCCGGCAGCCTCCCCTTCCCCGGCCTCTTTCGCCTTGGACATCCATTCACATGCCAGCTCATCGGAGCCTGGGCTCTTGTTGAGGAGCTCAATTTAAGTTACCATGATAAGAAAACATATTATCGATCATAGATCCCCATGATGGTAACAAAAGTTACCCTCTTTAACAAGAACCCATATTACCATATTATCTATCATAGAACCCCATTATTATGGTACCAAAAGTTACCCTCTTGAACAAGAGCCCAGGAGCTCAGGTCGTCCTTGTACAAAAAGGCCAGGTTCCACATGGCATCAATGCTACCGCTGGCGCCAGCAGACTCATAGAGCTCCTTGGCCTTCTTCAAGTTGGGTATCATAGGGCTTAGGGCTTAGGGTGTTAGGGTTCAGGGTGTTAGGGTTTAGGGTGTTAGGGTTTGGAGTTTAGGGTTTAGGGTGTTACGGTTTAGGGTGTTAGGGTTTGGAGTTTAGGGTTTAGGGTGTTAGGGTGTTAGGGTTTAGAGTTTAGGGTTTAGGGTTCTAGGGTTGAGGGTACCATAGGGAGCTAAAGGTGAACCTTTTTGGTTATATATGGATTATATAGGGACTATACTACCCAAAAAGGCAAAAGGTTGCCGACTCTAATGTAGGAACCTGATTAAGAAACCTTGGGCCTTTATTAGGGTTCCTTATGTGAATCCGACCATTCTTGGGCAACACGGCCAGGGTTTCTTAATCAGGTTCCTACATTACTAGGTTGGCCTTGTTGAAGTTGTAGGCTGCATCCTGATGCTGCTGTTGCATGGAAAGGTCATAGGCTTTCGGCATTTGAAAGTCGCGAGCCATCTCCTCGTAGACGTACCCAAGGTGCAAAAGCTGCTTCACAGCAAAGTCGTCGCCTCTGGCGATGCCTATCTTATAGCAGTCTTCGGCCTTCTTCAAGTCTTCTGCCACACCTTGCCCTTTCTGATACAAGAGTCCAAGACTGGCAGGGGCCCTGGCGTCGCCTCTCTGCATGCCGAGTTCAAACAGCTCCCTGGCCCTTCGGAAATCTTTCGCGACACCTTGCCCAAGTAAGTACATGCTCCCAAGGAACACTGGGGACGTAGCATCACCCCGCTGCGTGCCCAGCTCATAGAATTCTCGCGCTCTCTTAAAGTCGCGAGCCACCCCCAAACCAAACTGATACAGGTGCCCAAGTTGATAGCAGGCGCGACGGTCACCCGTTTCGACGCCCATCTCATACAATTCCCTGGCCCTGCGGAGGTCTTGGACGATGCCTTGCCCACCCTCGTACAAGACTCCAAGCGTGGCAGGGGCTGTGTCATCACCTCTTTTGATGCCCAGTTCGTACAGTTCTTTGGCCTTGCGGAAATCTTGTGCTACGCCCTCCCCGCTCTGGTACAACAGTCCAAGATTGGTGGGAGCTTTTGGATGGCCCATCTCCATGCTGCGTTCCCAGAATTCCCGCGCCTTCTGAACGTCGCGGGCCACCCCGAGGCCCTGGTCATACCTATACTGAACTTAGAACCCTAGCAAAAATTAAACATTTTAGCTGATTCTTAGGGAATATAATAACCAAAATCAAAAATTCTTTCTAAGTACCGCTAAGATACATGCACCCGAGGTTGGAGAAGAACGTAGCGTCGTTGCCTAGGAGATGCTGGGTTTGGCAGGATGCGAGGCTCTCTTTGGCACAGCCACCCCAACGCCAGGTGGTGCTCTCCTGAAACTTCTCGGCGTGCACGGGGGACAGCAGCCGCGCCCTCTCGTAGATGACGGAAGTTGCACCGTCCATGTCACCTTCGGTCATATCGGAGTTGGTGAATATGATGTTCACCTGCAGCCTGTCGCGGAAGGCCTGAACAGCAGCTTTCAACTCACTTCTGTAGAAGACAGTGTCGAAGAGGGTCTTGTAAGACCGTCCTGGATCAATGTGGTAGCCGATCGCCACAGTAACATTTTGGGACCTCGCAGCCCAGGTGCTGGCAAACTGTCGGGAGGCGCCAACCCAAAAAGCTTTGACCTTCATGGCCAGCTCACGAGCATGCGGCACGCATACAAGAGAGATGCAAAAAGACTGCTGAATGTGTTGAAGGCTGGTTTTGGCCTCTGCGAAAAACCGGCCAAAATCCCAAACCCTAAACGCCCCTAAACCCACCTACCAGCAGCCATGACTAAGCGCCAAAGGCCCGCCTTCGGAAAGCTGCAGGACTTCAGAGTATTCACCTGGGTTGGCCTTTAAACACCCTGAAAACTATTTCTATATAGGGTCCCTTATAAACCCAAATAAGGAAAAGATTTATATATAGGGTCCCTTATAACCCCAAATAAGGAAAATAAAAAAGGTCCCACAATCCAACCTAGGGTTTAGGTGTTTGGGGTTGAGGGTTTAGGGGCTTCAGGTCTTATAAACCCAAATAAGGAAAACAAAAAAAGTCCCAAAATCCAACCTCGTCACTTCCGGAGACTTCAGGAGCTCCCCAAGGCGAGTATCGGGCTCCTCCTCTCCGAGATCAGAGACTCCCTTTAAACACCTTAAGTACCTAAATTAGTAGGGATTAGGGTCCCTTTAAAGGGATCTATAAGGGCTCCTATAAGGGATCTTTAGGGTTTAGGGTTTAGGGTTTAGGGTATAGTACCTATAGTCTCCATTGTTACCTTAGCCCCAAATAACCTACCTCTTTAGGGACATATATAAAGAATCATATTAGGGGGCCCTAAAAAGCTAGGCTCCTTATAGGGTTAAGGTATTCCTTGCCTATAGTCTCCATTGTAGTTCCCCTTTTTTGTTTTAACCAATTTCATATTAAGGATCCTCAACGGTAACCCCCAAAAAGGAACTACAATGGAGACTAAAGGGAAAGGAATACCTGGACCCTAAGGAACCTGCCTTTTTAGGGCCCCCTAATATGATTTTGTTTATATAAGTCCCTGAAAGGTAGGTTATTTGGGGTTAAGGTATGCCGTAAAGTATAGGAGGATCCAAAATAAAATTTTAAGGCATATTCCCCAATAAAGAGATGTTGGAGTCTCTCCGAAACTCCCCAGAAGGCAGAGTGTCCAAACTTATCAATTCAGCCATGGGGTTCTGACTATTTCATTCATTTAACTTAGAAGGGGCCCCCACCCTGTAATAGTGGTATAGTAGGGAATATAATAGGGCCCTAGTATAACTCCTTATAATCACTATTACAGGGTTGGGGTAGCTTCTAACATTTACCGCGTCTTCTGTAGTCAAGTGGTTGTCAGAAGCCAGTCCTGGCTTGACAGGACACAGCCGCCCTGTTGCCGCAATGGCCGAAGGACTTCTTCGCGCTCTTCATCTCGATAGCCGCTCCAGAGCAAGAGATGCGTCTTTTCCTTGAGGCAGCTTACCTAGAGGCTCTATAGTAGTTCCTTTGTAGGGCTCATCTTTCGAATCCTATAAGTTATAATCCCAAAATTTCAACTACTATATGACTACCCGGCAAGGAGACGAAGCTTCCACTTCAAAACGGACCTTTCGATGAGGGGAGCTTTTTGCATAGGCGGACTACAAGCGGATGCTATAACTAACCATTCTCACAGCCCTCCATCATACCTTAGATAAACAGAGATACCTGCAATTTCGGCACACAGGACCTACCTCTGCATTCACTAGTGGACAATAGCGGCGAGTTGCCGGAGCGCACTTCAGCAAACTCTGGCTCCAGACCTCGTAGTCCCCATCGCTGACAACGGCTTCCGCCTATGAGGACTGCGGCGCACAGGAAACCAGCCATAGGTGTGGCGCAGAAGAGTTGTTGTGTAGGATCTAGTAGGCCGTAGTTGGCCTTCTCTACTGCGGCAATGGAGTGTTTTGGGCCTATAGCAGAGAGGAGGTGGGGAGCTGGAGGTCATCCGGACTGTATAAGGGCCGTAACACTTAGAGCTGGCTATAGGCATAATCTACAACACGAAAGTATATGGGGTCTTTCTTGGAATCAAAGTAGTGTAGTTATTATAAAGTCCCTAAGGGACGGTGGTTCAACGGGGGAGGATAGAAGGGATCCTTATAGGGAACCTTACGGGAACCTTAGGGAGCACCATCGAAAACTAGGGATTAGCAGGATATCTAACCCCCTTGGAGCCCCCTCCTATAAAGAAATTATTCCGACTCATCAATTATCCTCGATATTTTTCGCATTTGACCGACCTCAGCTTCGCAGCCTCCATGGGACACCGTCTTGCCATTTTGCTGGTCCTCAGGGGCTTTGTACGGTTAAGGGTTTAGGGTTTAGTTTCGGGAGTTACTGTTTAGGGTGTAGGTTGGGGGTTCAGGGGTTTAGGGCTTTGCACGGCTGTGGGGTTCTTGGGCGATTTAGGCCTTCAGGGGTTGTGGAGCTGTATGATTTTAGGGCTTGGAATGGGTTTCGGGTTTAGGGCTCCCTGATCTTAAGGGGAACAGGGAAATGGCCATTGCCTACTTCGTAGCATAGGGGACTTAGTATTCACGTAGGGTTTTGACATGCGCTAGTGTAAGTATACTAAGGAACTACGGAATCACATTGGTAGTCCTTCCGGCTTCTATAGGGGCGTTTCCGAAATTTAGGGGTACCTTATATTGGTGTCCTGATAATAAGGACCTTACCATTTAGGGTGCTATCTTTGGGGCCCCCTATTTTCGGAAACTCCCATGTTACACTTCCCGGCGCTCTCCTCCTCGCAGCTCTGCTGTATCTTCGACTTGAGCCAGCTGAGCTCGTCTTCACAGCCTGGGAGTGGTTCTGGGGGTCTGGATGGCTCTGGGGGGCTTTGGGGAGCTCTGGGTGGCTTGGGTGGCACTGGGGGCTTTCTGGGGGTTTGGGGGGATTTTGTGCGGTAGCATTCCAGTAAGGTATCCAAACAGATCAACAAGGGTTTCATAAAGTTGTTGTAGAGGGCCGTCTATACAGGTCCTGCGTCCCGCTCCACCAGCAGACTTAATAGAGTCACTTCAAACTTCAAGCATCTTTTGTGAAGAGCCGGATGGAGAGAGAGCGAGAAAAGCAGAGAGTGAGGGCAAGCTGTAGGGACAGGGAGAGAAAGTACAGGGGTTTAGGGTTTACGGTTTAGGGAGGGAGAGAGAGAGCGAGAGAGTCAGAAAGAGAGAGAGAGAGAGAGAGAGAGAGAGAGAGAGAGAAGGAGAAAGAAAAGTAGAGAGGTAACGGGAGAGTGAAGGAGAGAGAGAAGGAGAGAGAGAGAGAGAAGAAGAGAAGGAGAGAAGGAGAAGGAGAGAGAGATGGAGACGGAGAGTGCGCAGAGTAGTTTGCAGCTGCAGTGCCAAGGCACGAGAGAGGTCTGGATCCAAGAAGTTGCCTCGGGTTTCCTTCTCGGCGTTGCCTGGACGCAAGTCCGCAGCTGCAACCCTTCAAGAGCTTTCCGGACACTAAATCCACAAATGGGCTGCCTGTTGGGGCTTCACTCAGGATCTATACGAGGTTGTCCTCCAAGCCACTGAGCACAAGTATATGCTGTTGGCGGGCAGTGATAGCATGCCAGGAATCCAGAAGATGACGTAAATCTAGACCCACCGAACAACCTACTCGCAGGGCTTTGGGGGGAACATTGTCGGCAGTGCCCGAAGCCGCATTTCTAAGACGACTGCCGATCGCGAAACCTAGGTCCGACCTAGGTTGGCCTTGTAAACCCGATAGAAAAACTTGCCTCTACCTGGACCCTACAAAACTCTCCTTCTTAAGGTTCCCTAGTATGATTTCCTTGTACAATGTCCTGAAATTGGTGGTTTTGTGGGGTTGACGGCTTCAAGGTTCACGGTTACTCTCTCGAAAGATGATCCAGAATTCAACAAGGTTGTGCACAAGCAATCTAGGTGCCAGAAACTCTGCATGTTGACTCTTCTCGAATCCTCAGCCAGAGCAAACGCAATACTACAGGGGCCTTTATAATTGGATAAGGATTTTGGGATATATTATACGATAGTATTTGTAAGGGATCCCTTGAAAGGAACCCCCAATTAAATAGGCCATTTGAGAAAGAGAACGGGAACAGAGCAATGTCGGAATGTGGCCCTAAATCCCTGTCATAGCCCTTATAGTAACCCTTATAGACCCCTCTTAAAGGAACCCTGTTCTAATCATTTAGGCCCCTAATTGGACCTCCGGAAAGCCCAAAGATCTCTGCGCCCCAAGTCGTGAAAAAGTCAGCAAAATCTTTAACGAAGACATGGAGACGTGTAAAGGGCGCAGGGTGTAGGGGGATAGGGGTTAGGGTGTAGGTGGATAGGGATAGGGTTTAGGGTGTTTAGGGTTTTAGGGCGTTTCGGGTGTAGGGGATAGGGTTTAGGATGTGGGGGACAAGGTTTAGGGTGTTGGGGACATGGTTTAGGGAGCTTAGGGTTTAGGGTGTGGGCGATAGGGTTTAGGGGTTTGGGGTGTATAGGGGATAGGGTTTAGGGTGCCGGAAAGGATCGCGTACCACCCACAGTAGTTTTCCGGCATGGTCTGCACTGCAGCCGAGGATGTGCTAAGGGTGCTGACACATCGGTTGCAGCACTCATCGACGCACTGCCCGCTCACCAAGGACCCTGACCCTAACTATAGCAATATAGGTATTTACCAGATATATCACATGCCTGTTGGGGCCCCTGTGCTACATCCTGCGCCCTGGCCCTGAGTCCCTTCCATTCCAAGCCTCTTCGCAAGCCGATGACACGGTGGCCGCTCACCAAGAGCAGCAGCGATGTGCAGACCAGCATGGCACTCATGATTCCAGACATATGAACAGATCGCTTTTGGCAAACAGCATGCTTGAGGCTAAACCGCTTCCAAGCCGATGGCGTGAGTCCCGTTACTGCAACTCCGTGAACTCAGCCCTCTTTCACAATGAGGGTACGGCCCCCAACGTGATGTTGTCATAGAGTGACCGGAGTAAATGTTGGATAATGCAGAAGAGACTATTTTTAGGGTTCCACATTATGGTTTCTATTACACCTCCTTGAAATGGTAGGTCTTTTCGGCCACAGGTGGGGAAGACTCCTTTCCACTGGCTGTGCCCGCTCCTCGTCAAGCGGCCATGCGAAGTAGCCCTGGCAGCACCGTCGATCCAAACAAGCCAGTTGATGCTTTCGCAGTCACTAGACTCAGGAGCACAAGAATACACACGTATCCTACAAAAAGTAACATCTTCATTCAATAAATGTGTGCAGACTTGATATGTACATATAATTACATATGTGTGTATTTCTTTATCTATCTGTATCTGCTGCCATATATACTTATACACACATGGGTACTTGTACATGTTCATGTACACTCACGCAGGCACACACACACACATACATATACATATATACACACCATGCAATATCATGTGTGTTGCAAACTGAATTATATATGCATATATACACACTTCTGTTCATGTATCTGGTTTCTACTTATAGTGCAACCGAGTCGGGACAGCCAATAACCACTGAGTAGAGTTGTTGCACTTCTGGCTAGTCTCCAGAGTTCCAGAGTATGGGAAATATGGCAACGGTGATGATGGTGATGTTGACATCATCATGAACAAGAAGATGATGTAGCTGATGATACAGGCACCTTAAGTATGGTGGCTGCAGGAGTTGCTGCTGCTGCTGCTGCTGCTGTTTTACCAGAGTCATCAGCGTACTGCTCGTATGCTTGTCATTTCTATTCGGCCAATAGTATACACCGTCCCAACAAATGTGGAGAAGACCCTAAGCCCACAAATTCCTAATATAGGGGCCGCAAGAAGTGGGAGCGAGATCCCCTCAAAGTCCCGAACACCTGCCTTAGGCTTCCCACCAAAGCCCATTTTGCACTCGAACCATGGAGTCCTATATAGGCTTAAAGCTAAAGCGGAAAAAATGACCGTAGGGACTTGGCTTTATATAACAGATGCGTGGTATCCAAGCACAAAACAATGTCCGGAGAGAATCTCGATAGGACTCCATCATTGTGCCACAAAGCCGCAACCCAGAAGCCTTCGGGCGCAGAATAGTAATAGGGGTTTGGTGAAAACCCTAAGGCAGGTTTTGGGGACTATAAGGGAACGTCGTTGCCAATTCTTGAGGCCACTATATTTGGAGTTCCTGGGCTGGGGGTCTTCTTCACATCTTTACCCCAGACTTGCAATTTCAATTTAGTGGCCTTGATTGGATGTTTTTGTGGTAGTAGTGGCCTTAATCTGAAAAAATGCTATGGTATATTCCCCAAAGGTTCCAAGTAATCCACGTTGTAGGACTTTGGGCCTTTTTGGATCTCCCAAACCAGCAATAAGGACCACTTGGACTGGGGTTCTTTGATTACAAAAATTTTCGGTCCGCTGAGAACCCGGAAGAACTCCAAACCATGGACCCCGAGACAACTCAACTCCACCTCTCAACCGTAAAATGGGGGGCCTTAATAATTTGGAATAGGGTTCCGTTAAAGGGATCCACAGGGAGGTCAATAAGGGATCTAGAAGGGTACCGTAATATAGGGGCCTTAGTAATTCGAATAGGGTTTTTGGGCCCATTATTCTACAAGAATAATACCAATGATAGTAGTGGTCATCATTTAGGCACCTATCGTACTCCCAAAACTCCCAAACCACCCAAGAATCTGTCAAACCCTACACATCACAATTTTGGAAGAAATGTATAACCCTATAAACCCCCAGCCCTGCGATCTCCCTAAACCCTATAAACCCTACCACAGTGTTGGGATTACTTTACGTAGGGGCCTAAACCATTACCAATACCATCATTATGAATTATAGTATAATGGGCTCAAAAACCTATTCTAATTATTGAGGCCCCTTTTGTGTAGTAGCCTAGACTTCAACCCTGAACTCTCGAATCCCAAACCCTAAAACCCCCGTCCGACCCTGATGACACCCACACCTCTGCAGCCCACACCATCCTCCTCTACCGAAGCCTTTCACCTGCTTGTCGGGTATCATGGGGAACTAGAGGTGTACCTTTTTGGTTGTATAGGGATTATATAGGGACTATACTACGCAAACAAGGTTAAAGGTTGCCTACTCTACTACTAGGTTCATAACCTTAAACTGAAGCCCCAATTCAGCCCGAGATCCGACTCCCCAAGCCCTGCCTCATGATGCTCTTGAGGCCGTGACGCTACACGAAGCGCTTTTTGCATAGGTGGTGGGTGGTTGGGGTTTCATGAGGTTGTGAAAATGAACGGTGCATAGCCTTCTTGAAACCATAAGCTTTTCATAGGATGTTGTGTGAGAAGCGTGCTATAGGGTTCGCGGCTTCTTTTGAAGGGGTGTTTGGTGCAGGGCTCGAGGTTCCCTGGTACCGTGCCGTTGGCGTGTACAGGGTTTCGGGTTTCGAGTTGCAGAGGGCGATCAAAAGCATGGGGCATTGGGTTGTGAAACTTGCAAATGCTGGAACAAGTTACTCCTAGCTGCTCTTGCTCCCCCTTCCGCTTGTGGCCAAATCCACCACACAAACAGCTTCCGCTTCAAGCCTCGTATGCAAACTTACAGCTGCCGCTACAAGAATGGGGCATAGTACTATAGGGGCCTTGATATTTAAAATAGGGTTTTGGGGCCCACTACAGTATAAGTATAGCATGGACACCCCCAAAATCGTATTCGTGATTATTGAGGCGCCTAAAGTAAACCCCCATAATACCCTTTATAGTAACCCTACTAGGACCCGATTCAAGGACCCTAAAGGAACCCTATTCTGACTAACAAGGCATTTAAGACCCTACAGTACGGACCAGTTCCTCCTGAAAGGTCAGCTCCTTGTTGCCTGTCCGGCATATTACTTGGAGGCCCAGGGGACTTAGTAAGTAGCTCAAAAGTAGGGTTATAAACTGATAACCTACTTACTAAGTTCCCTGAGCCTCTAAGTAGCAGTCTTGAAAGCGTGGTCTTCGCCCAGAAACAGCAAGGAGGATGAACAGCATAGGGACTGTCAAAGGCCAGGACTCCGATTTTACGGCTTTAGGGGTTTAGGGGTTTAGGGTTTAGGGTTCAGGGTTTTAGGCTTTAGGGTTTAGGGTTTTAGGGTTTAGGGTTGTTTAGGGCTTTAGCCTTTTGCTGTTTATACTCCATACCCTTCGAGATTGAAATCTCCGTATGAGCTTTGTCGATGCAAACACTTACTGCCGAAGCTCCTCACAGCCATGTCCGCTTGATGTTGCCCTCCACGGTATTATGTAACTTGCGATGTTGCGTCTGTTGCGAGAGAAGATGCCACAGTGACAATCTCCGCGCAACTGTTTCTACCCACCTCCATCAGCAATGCTTCACGGATTGGTTGCAGTGCAACGAATTTGCCGGACTGTACATGATGCAACCAGCCTGCGCGAGTTCAAACTACGATAACCTACTCTTGAGCCCAGCCTTGATGCAAGCCTTGCTACCCGAATGTATACTATACAGGCCTCACCTTAACCCTGAAAAACCTACCTTTGTAGGGTTCCTTCATATCATTTCCTTGCAAAAGTCCTAAACAGCTAGGTCATTCCGGGTTTAGGTAATAACTAGAATGTGATTTCAGGGTACATCATACTAGAATTATGCTGATACTGTGGACCCTTATCAACAAGAGTATTGCTTGCTATTCAGGCCTGTGTAGGCTCTCCATGGCTCAACTTTAGCCCTCTGGGGAACTTAGCTTAAGAACTATAACATTAAGGTAAAAGCCAGAAAGTTGGAATATGATTCTCCTAACCCTTCTATATATATGGTAAATTATAGGGTATCCTACCATGAAACCATATTCCATCTTTCTGGAGTTCCCTATATAGGGTGCAAGGACTGCATAAGACCGCCGCAATGGGCAGTCAACTACTCATTGAGGCGCGAAGACCCGTACCGGGCGAGCACCGACCCAGAAAATACATGTAGATAATGTAGATGTCTGGATAAGATAAGGGTGCGATGTTTCTATAAGGGTACTTGACGGGCTTCGGACATCACATAGGATAAAAGGACCTTGATAACTAGAATGGGGCTTTGGGGTATATTAGACCTATAGTCATATCAAGGAACCCGGAGAATCGTAGTATTGGCAAATTTTCAAGCCCCTGGTTATGAACTGTGATTTACAGGGGCCCCCCAAAGGGGGTATGGCAAACACTGTTTACTAGCAAGGGCTGGCGAGAATCCGATGCGCATGCAACGCATCTGCGCACATCTGTTTCCATCCTCCCATGGCATCCACCCACCCCTGTCTGCCCGCCTATGATTTTCGTCGTCTTGTTCAGGGTTTCTCTGCTGTGTCCGCTCCTCCCAACCTGCTGGCCGTGGTGCAGGAATCAAATCGCTTGCGGCTCGAGAAGGCATGAAACCTTTTCTTGTCCCTTGGAGCGGAGGGGCGCAGAGTGGGCCGAGAATCACAGTGTCAGCCGGGAGAGGCAGGGGTTGCAGCGGGGCAGGCGGCAGCGCAAGGCAGGGAGAGGAGGAGAGGCGGGGAGGAAGGCAGGTGAAGGGGCAGGGGCAGGAAGCGGCAGGGGCAGGGCCAGCAGCCAGGGCTAGGGGGGCACTCCGCAGCACTCTGCAAGGCTTTGCAAGCCTTGCGGAGCGTTGCGGAGTGTTGCGGAGCGTTGCGGAGCGTTGCGGAGTGCTGTCCCCTCGTCGTCCGGCAGCACTCCACAACACTCGCAAAATCTCGCAAAGGTTGCAACACAGTCAAGGAGGGTGCCGCCACCGATGCCGCCGCCCACCCCGCCACTGCCCGCCGCTCTGCGCGAAGTGCGCCCGAGCCCGATTTCGAGTGAGCCGCTCCAGCTCGAGCCCACTCGACGCGAGCCCGAGGCGCCTTCACCGCCGTCGCTGCCCCCGCTCGGCGGGGCTTGGGACTACGCAAACTTTCCAAAGCCTTCCGCCCCACTGCGCACAGGTTGCTCACGCTGATGGAGGAGGAGATGAGGAGGAGGAGTGGGAGGAGTTGTAGTCCTACTGCTCACAACCTGACGGTGTGCCTCGATATCACCTTGCAGGCCCTATTAAGGCTTACTAAGGCCCGAAACTGCTCAATAACGAAACAAACTATAAAGGCCTACTAGCTTTTGCTAGGGCTTGCTAGTGCCTGCTAGGCCTTGCTATCTCAGCTGCTTGTCTCGTTTGAAACTCGATTTGGCATACCCCCTTAGGGGGGTCCCTTTAAATCACCTCCCATTTGCTCACCATGATATCAGATGCAGTATTGCCACGACTGCTACACCACGCGGTAGCTCAACAAACACGACTAAGCACTTCTGTGGAAACATATACGACCCTATGGTAGAATCCTACAGAACCTTTTTGGAACCCTGCTTCTTACTCCTAACCCTTACACCCTAAACCCTAAACTCCCAATCCCAAGACCCTACACCCCAAACCCCTACACCCTTATCTCCGAACCCTAGCCCCTAACTAACCCCTACACCCTAAACCCCGTAAGCCCTAAGCTAAAGCTCATCCCCGGTCGTCTTTCCGGGAGGAGGCAGCTGCATTCGATGCTCACCTCGGACAAGCTTGAGGGCCTTTAGTGCCCATAGAGTCTTTAGGGTTTAGGGCCTTTTTGGGTTAAGGGTTTCGGGTTTAGGGTTTAGGGTTTAGGGCCTTTTTGGGTTAAGGGTTTCGGGTTTCGGGTTTAGGGTTTAGGGTTTAGGGCCTTTTTGGGTTAAGGGTTTCGGGTTTAGGGTTTAGGGTTTAGGGCCTTTTTGGGTTAAGGGTTTCGGGTTTAGGGTTTAGGGTTTAGGGCCTTTTTGGGTTAAGGGTTTCGGGTTTAGTGTGGCGCTTGTAGGCACGGGGCTAACATAGAGGGCCTAATATAACTACATTACGAATATTATCCAACTGTTACTGAGTGGGGGCAGTACCCAACTTTTAGGGTCTTTAGGGTTTAAGGTTTGGGGTTAGGGTTTTAGGCTGGTTACTTGGGGCCTGGGGTTTAGGGCTTGGGCTGCCTAGAGGTCCGGGTTTGGGGAGGAAGTTGTCAGCTGTGTGCAGGCAGCAATCTGAGATGCGAGCTCATCTTTCCAATCCACTTCAACTGAGGCGGCGCAAATGGGAGTTTCTGAAAATAGGGGGTACCTTATTTGGGATCCTTATAATAAGGATCCTACTATTTAGAGTACTATATTAGGGTCCCCTTTTCTTCGGAAACTCCCAAATCTCTCAGATTGCAAGAAGAATTGCAGAGAGACTGTGCGTGCTTTAGAGCTTTAGTGTTGGGGTTTGCCAGCTTGACCTTGGAATTCTGAAGGTGCAAAACAGACACCTTCACATTTAAGGCCAAAGCCCTCCAGCCTCAACCCCAAAACCCTCATCAAACCCTGGTAGATCCATCAAAGCCCTAGAGGCCTTCGACCCTGTACAGAACGCCCTTTCAGAACCCAACAACAAAGCATGTCAGTTACAGCCCTAAATCCAAAAATCCATCTCGCTTCCCAAAGACTCCAATATCCCGTAATTAACGAACATACCTTAAATCACATTGGGGATCCTACTATATTTTAAAGTATATTCCTTAGTTCAGGGATATTGGAGTCTCTGGGTTCAACTCCACGTCTTGCACCTCACAGATCCCTTGCAGGAACTCTTCCCATGTACTTTTGGAGCCCTACAAAGCCCCGACCTCTGCTCGAATACCCCATATCAACTAATTCTCGCCCCTGCAGTACCCAGAGACTCCAATATCCCTGAATTAAGGAATATACCTAAATCATGTTAGGGATCCTACTATAATTTAAGGTATATTCCTTAATCAAGGGATATTGGAGTCTCTGGGTACAGCATGAACCGTAAAACCCAATAAAGGCGCCCAAACCTAAACCACTAAACCCTAAGCCCCTTCAAACCATAAACCTTAAAGCCTAAACCCCTTTTACCGTTTTAAACGCCTAAACCCTAAAACCCCCCAGGAAGCTTTAAAGGACCCTTAAAGGACCCCTTAAAGGAACCCCTAAAGGAACCCTTATAGGAACCCTTAAAGCAAAAACACGCTCCATTTTGTCCTCGGTTTTAAAACCCAGCCTTGGTCATGACGTTCACTTTCGCCGACCCGCCGGCGCGACGGGCCATTCCTGGGCTCTCGCGCTGCTTCCTTTTGTTTAGGGTTTGGGTCTAAGGTTTAGGACTTGGGGTCTACGTTGCTTCCATTTGTGTAGGGTTTAGGGTCTAAGGTTTAGGACTTCGGGTCTACGTTGCTTCCATTTGTGTAGGGTTTAGGGTCTAAGGTTTAGGACTTCGGATCTACGCGGCTTCCATCTGTGTAGGGTTTGGGGTCTAAGGTTTAGGATTTCGGGTTTATGCAGGGTTTAGGGTCTAAGGATGTCTAAGGTTTATTTAGGGTTTAGGGTTTCCTTTGCTTGGTTGTTTGAGGGCTTCCGTGGGGTTGTGGTTAGGTTTTGGGCTTTCAGGGGTTTTCGGGGTCGTAGGGCTTCTATGGTACGCAGGGTATTAGGGTTTAGGGCTCTTGTGAGGTTGATTTTACTGCACCCTTCTTCTCATTGGTTTCTTACATGGTTTGATGGGTGATTCAGTTTGAACTTGGGATATTTTGGGCTGCGTACTCGGGCTTGGTGGGACCATGGGCTTCACAGGCAGCTGTTATGGTCAAGCAGGGGGTTTTGGAAGAACTTTGTGGGATTTCGGCATAAGTAGAGGATATGCAAGGTTTGAGGTCTTCTGTTAAATTATATTCGAGCTTTCTATGTAGTTCTTGGAAGCAGAACAGTAAACCGCTTAAGTTTAACATGAGCCCAGATTCGCTCAATGACCGCGCAGATCATTATGCGCTCAGGCTCGTGGAAGTCATCCTGGAACAAGTTCTGACGAACATAGGGGCTTGAATACTTGGAATAGTGTCTTGGGGCCAGTATACTATACGTATAAAACGTAAGGAACCCCCAAAATAGTGTTGGTAAATATTAGGCTCCTATATCAAAGAGCCCCATTATGGATCCTCTTTGGGGATCCCTTTCAAGGAAACTCAAAAAAGAAATCCCAATAAACACACATGTGTGTATATATATATATATATATATATACATATACATATACATATATATACACACATACACCTACATAGACACATATCTATATCTATATATATATATATATATACTCCCCGGTATCAAACCTCTCCATATTCATCGCTGACCCTAAAACCTCAAAGCGCCGAACCCTACAACCCCCCCCCCCCTCCCAACAAAAAAAACAAACACCCAGTACTCAGCCCCAATCCTAAACCCCGCAAAATCCTAAAACCACCCAGCAGTTCCAACAACCCCCCAAAACCCAGGGGGCGACCTTAAGATCTTGCGGCATCTGCTCGAGTACCCGCTTGGCACAAGCCTTGCTGCTTTCAGGGTCTAGGGTTTCGGGTTAGGGCTCAGGGCTCAAGGGACTCTTTATCGGGATCCCGATAGAGAACAGTCCCTATGTAACCCCTTGTACTGCATTCGAGTACTTCATTCCCTCCTCACCCCCAAACCCTAAACCCTAAGGCCCTAAACCTCTCTTAACGACCAGTAAGAAGCTTCATCTGCATCGGAGATGGCCAGCGGCAAGTCGCTGCAGGCTTTTGACACTGCCTCCACCAGGCTGACCCAGCGGGCAATTACACAGGGACCTTAATCATTAGAATAGGGTTCTTAGGGCCATTATACTAATATCTATAATAAGGAGCCCCCAAAAATAGTATTGGTAATTATTTGGGGGTCCCTATAGTATGGGGTTTTGAGCTCCTTCGGTGCAAGGCTTTGCAGGTTCTCTGAAGGGCTCCCTGCTTCGTTGCGATACTGGTTTCTTTGGGTTACATTATGCCATGCCTGTAGCCGACAAGACCTACCATTTTAGGGTTCCTTGCTATGGCTTCTATAATACAAAGGTCCTTAAAAAGGTCTTTTCGGCTACAGGTGACTCTATCAGAACTACAGGGAAATGCAAGGACTGATCGTGTAATGTTAGACATCTATCATGAAATCATGCCAAGAACTGTTAAGAATCCACGATCCTCACCTCTGTAGACCCTGCACATAGTCGCACAATTCCATATGTAAAGTCCTACTAGTTGAATTGCACCCTCTTAAGCATCCTAACCGTCATCTTCTTGCCACTGAAAACCATATAAAGACAAATTCAAAGCCATACCAATCACCCCACGAAGCCTCATGGAGGTAGGCGAAGTATCTCCGTACTGAGCGGACACCTTCTGCATCGGTAACAGGGCCGTGGCCTCTCAAGGCATTTCAAGACAGATTGAAACCTTAAAACCTAAAGTCTAAGGAGCCAGAATATCCAGCCAAAATGAAGAGGCAACTCCCTCTCTTACTGTTATGCAACCTCTTTCAGTAATCAAATATTAACCAAGCTCCTGAACAAAAGCTTCGAAGCCGGGCTATCATTTCTCCAGACCCCTGCCGGGAACAAAGCGCCAGTCGCCGCCGGTGGCCTCGGACAGAAGTTTTTTCGTTTGGAGGGGACACCTTTCGGAACAGTTGGGAGTTTCCGAAAATTCGGGGTACCTTATTTTGGGGTCCTTATATTCAGGATCCTACTCTTTAGGGTAATATATTGGGGTCCCCTCTTTTCGGAAACTCCCAGTTAGGTCTCGGAACATTCAGGTGGAGGACCACAAGATAAACCCAACACACCCGAATCCTTCTTCTCCCCACGTCAGTCACACGAGGCCACAGCTCCACAGCGGCTTGGGCCTCCAAAAGATCATCGAGTGCTTTGACCCAGGTAGAAGCTGGGCCACTCCTGCCACGTCTTACGTCTAACGATGCCAAAGCATTCGCGCAAGAATTCTCGGCTTCAGAGGTTTAGGGTATGTGCGGCTTTGAGGGCTTTAGAATCCCAGACCTTCCAGAACCCCTTAATTAAAGAATATACCTTAAATCATATTAGGGACCCTATTATAATTTAAGGTATATTCCTTAATTAAGGGATTTTGGAAGGTCTGGGATTAGAGCCTTAGAGTTAGGGCCTTGTCGTTAGCATTCTTTGAGATGGGGCGGGGTTTAGAGTTAGGGTCCGGTCCAAACAGATTTGAACAGAGCAGCCACATCACGGGCGCGATGCCAATAAACAGAAGGTCGCCCGTGAACGCCACTTTGCTCTCCTGAGCTCACATATGTGTGTGTATATATATATATATATATATACAGATGCTTTTTTCTACATATAATATGCATATATAGATACAGATGTACCTACGTATGTATGTAAATAGGTAGGTAGGTAGGTACGTAGGTAGGCAGGTGTATACATATATATATATACATATGTGGAGTACATAGTCAGAATCTGAGTTCCTTACTTGGCAACTTCATGTAGAACTGCAAAACCCTTACCTGCAGCAACCTTGCAAACCCGTAGACCTTATAACACTCCTCCTGTGACAATACCAAACTTCTCACAAATCAATAACGCGAGCCCCATTGCATGCAGCAGACCTTAAGACACTCCTCATATGACAGCACCAAATTCCAACACAATCCTGAATGTAGGGGCCTCAATAAGTACCTATACTATTTAGACGGTTCCTCATTGCCATTAGAGTATAATGGGCCCCAAAACCCTATTCTAAGTATTAAGGCCCCTATATTAACCAGAACCCTAAACCCTAAACCCCAAACCTTAAACCCCTAAACCCCGAAATCCTTAAACATCGCCCCAGTCTCGGGCAAGAGGATCATCGAGTCCTGAGTTGCTTTCGCAGACACAGAGAGCTCTCGGAGATTCTTACGTAGAGGCCTTCATAGCTAGAATAGGGGTCCTTTAAAGGGTTCTATAAGGGTTCCTTTTACCGGGGCTCTATATAAGGGATACTATAAGGGAAACTACAAGGGCTCTATGATATGCACACAAATGACAAACCCTGAACCCCTGCAGCCCTAAACCACTCAACTCAGAAGCCCCAAAACTCTGAGCCCCTAACCCCTGTACAGTATGTATACATGTATGTGTGTGTATATATTGATATGAATATATTAAACAGAAACGTATATATATATATATATATACATATACATATATATATATATATATAGATATATAGATATATATGTATGTATATGTATATGTATATATATATATATATATATATGTGTATGTGTGTATATGTGTATATACATAGATTGTACGTATGTACGCATATACATAGACTCAAAGCCACAAAACTTGAAGAGTCGGAGCCCTGACTAGGTCGGCCAAGAGACGCTCTTTGAATGAATTGCGCCCACCTCCCAGAACCTGGGAGGCTCTCGAAGATTCCTCTTACTATGTGAAAGCTTCCGAAAAGGGTTCCTTTAAAGCGGTAGTATAAGGGTTACCATAGGGGTTCCTTTAAAGGGCTCTATAAGCGTTTAAAAGGGAGTCTCCGAATACTAAGGGTACCTTATTTGGGGTCCTGATAATGAGGATCCTACCATCTAGGGCACTATATTTGGGTCCTTTATTTGGGTCCCCTATTTTCGGAAACTCTCACATGGGTCTTTGTAGGGTTTAGGGTTTAGGAGGGCTACTCATCTGCTTCAGGGCGTTTATAGGGCCTTGACAGGGTCGTATATGGGAGTTTCCGAAAATAGGGGACCCGAATATTATAGTACCCTAAGTAGCAGGATCCTTACTATAAGGACCCCAAAAGAAGGTACCCCTATTTTCGGAAACTCCCATGTAGGATTGTTGGTATCCTTCGAGAACCTCCTCCGCACCCGCGGAAAGAGATGTGTTCTCAAAATTCTCGTAAGATTCTCGCACGTCTGCCCGAGGCTGTCCGAAGGTTCCCGGACAATAGTAATTCTGACTTAACTAAACACAGCCTGGTTTATCCCTTAGGGCGGTGAGCAAGGGTAGGACTCAAGGTGGAGGTAAACCGGAGAACACTGCATTTTCACGGATACGTGAACTGTATGATTAGATGTGGAGAGTTCAAACGACTACTTGTATACAGACATCTTATCTGCAAACGGCTACACGATTAAGTTCTACACCTGCTATGTTTTGCTCCGTCTCGTCCTAGAATGACACGCATGTGGAGAGACAGCACGACAGCTTGGCAATCCTTAACACTCATCTGAGCACGGTTCCACCCTCTGGGAAACTTTCATAGCACGACGACTTTCCATTCAAAATGCTTCACACTACCGCAGGGGCCTTCGTAATCAGAATAGGATTTTGGCGTGTGTGTGTGTGTGACTACATGAACATACAAATGCGCATGCAGATATAGATGTATACAAACACACGTACATGTATTATCGTGTTGTTGTTAATAATGACCAGAAGGGATGCTATTACCATATACTGAAGCCCCCAAGATTAGTTACACACACACACTCTCTCTCTCTCTCACACACACAGCTCTATAAATCGCAAACGTGATAAACGGTCTCATTCAAGGCTTTCTGCCGACAACACTTTACAAACTGGCAAACATCACCGGCACCAAGCTAAAGAGACATGATACATAAATCAGATGTTCCATGTGTCAGGAAGACGACTGGTAGCAAGACTTCTAAGGCCACGCGCCAGGAAGCAGACCGCAAGAGTAAGTCTTCTTGTACTATGTATGTGTATGTATGTATGTTTGTATGTATGCTTGCATGTATGTAAATATGTGTATATATATAATAAGCTCCTATACACATGAACAGTAAAGAGAATATATATATATATATATATGTACACACATGTGAATGTAACAAACACATATGTAAATGTACATCATAGCATGCACATACATATATACATATATATACATATAGATGTACATCTGCATATAGTATCTGGGCCTTCTCTTTCATCCCCGGCAACCAAGGCCCAGCTTCGAACCCAGCTAGCCAGCACAAGAGATGATGGAGGTGATGGGAGGCCAAAAGGGGGGTTTAAGATTCTTGGGGTGGGGATTCCTGAATATGAACCCTATTATGGTAACCCCAATCCCTACTAAACCCCCATAGGCTAAAACCCCTTTTGGCCTCCTATGAGGAGGGTTCACCAACAAGGTCTCAACAAGATGAGGGCATTACAAGTTACTATGAGCATAGTATGAGTTACTGTAATGGTACTCAAGTTACCATAAGGGCTTAGATTTATAGTGTACGGTCAGTTACAAGGGGGGTACTATCAGCTAGGATAAGGACTACTATCAGGGTACACAAGGGTTACAGTAGAAGCCCAGAAGTTGGAAACCCCGTAGCCTCAACCCTTACGAGCAATGTATAGGGAATCCCAGCACTATTTGGCCTTAATCCGGTTTCCAACTTTCGGGTTGACTGTATATGGCCTACGACGATCCCATGGTCCAAAGACGAGGCTGGAACTTAACATCGCTGAAACGCGTGCGCAGAAGAAGCACAGCTCGGCTGGTATATGGTACTTGAATACTATGTAAGATATCTATCGGAAACCGTATGGGATTTCTTGTCAGGGATAGTAACCCACTATAATTTCATCCTCATATTTAGGATCCCCCGCGTAATTGCAAAATCCAATTCCAAGAACTCAATTAGAAATCCCGCTGTATTTGCAGAATCCTAGCGGCCGCAGCGGAAAAAATGTAACCAGAATCTTGTTCATGTAGATGAAAGCTCAAAGGAAATGAGAAGGATTTAAGGCTCGTGGAGGTCAAGGCACTGATGCTGGATCCGGACTCTATAGGAGGCTGGGGCTTACATCCTTGGGGGAGTGGGGGGGTGGGCGGGGCCTTTCTTAATATGAAGTGAACATTAGCGGTGACAGGGCCTCTATTGCTTTCCGCTCAGTCACCGCACTGGCAGAGGCTGGCCATGCACCGTGATGTTGTCTCCTCCGCTCGACTTCTCTTTTGGAATTTCACGGCGGATTTAAGACTTCCAGTTGCAATTCGAGGGTTTGCGGCTTTGCGAGTGCAGGTCTTAAGTAGGGTTTAGGGTTTAGGGGATAAGGGTGTAACGATCACTTTGCCATTGACAGTGCTGTTGCTGTGCTTTCGCGGTTGTTCAGTTGTTCTTGCATAGTAGATGAGATGTTGTCTCCTGTCTCCAAAAGGTGCAGCCTCATTGCAGTTTGCTGTGCAACCCCTGATTCCTAAGCTCCAAACTGAACCTAAACCCTATTCTTTACCTTAACTCTCCCAAACGTACCTTTTCTACGGGAAGTGCATCCAGGAATCATGGCATGTTTTCAGGCAAGCCCTACCATGCGTGAGAGCCACCACTCCGCCCAGACTCCCGACCAGGCATGGGTGGTTGTCAAAAATAGGGTCCCTTCTTGGGTTCCTATTATGATACGGCACCTAATATTTAGGGTACTTGACAACTACCCACATGGCGATCATTCCCAAGCCCTCACAGCCTCACACACTAAGTCCAACATCGTCGCGCCCAAAGCCGAAAAAACCCTCCAAACGAAAGAAGCGCGGACCCAAAGCCGTAAAACCTACCCTAAGACCCAAAAACCTGATCCCTCAAATCCGCTTCACTGCCATTGCAGGAAAAAGCGGAGGCTGAAGGGAAACCGGAAGCCTAAACTAGGTAAGTGTATAAAGACCCCTTTCGTATAGCACCCTATTCTAGATCCCTTCTTGCAATCCTTATAGACCCCTGTAAAGGAACCCTAAGAACCCTATTCTAATCATCAAGGCCCTTATACAGATCCCTTATGGTGCATAACCCTTATTATAGACCCCTTTTAAAGGAACCCTGGTCTAATTGTCATAAGGGGGGGGGTCCTGAGGCTAGGAGGGACTCAAACTTCGGCAGCCGGCCCCCGTCCACCGGTTTCAGGTTGAAACCTGCCAGGCGACAAGTAAAACAAAAGGGGGCCTTCATAGTAATCCTAGGGTTCCTTTTTAAAGGGATCCTTAAAGTAAAAGCCAGAAAGTTGGAATATGATTATCCTAAACCCTTTATGGTAAATTATAGGGTATCCTACCCTGAAACCATACTCCAACTTTCTGGAGTTCCCTTTAAAGGGGTCTATAAGGGATCTTTAACAGGCGGAAGTCGGACAACCCCAGTGGAGATGGCGACCTGAAGTTTCGGCTTAATGCAAGGGGGCTCAATAATTAGAAGAGGGTTTGGGCGGGTTCCGAAAATCAGGGGTACCTTATTTTGGGGTCTTATAATAAGGATCCTACAATTTAGGGTCCCGTATATAGTCATATTAAGGAATCCCCACAATAATGTAGGTAATTTTTTACGCCCCCTGTGTTAGAATCTCTAGATCCCAAACTACCATCAAACCCGATTCTACTTCCTAAGGCGCCTAGATTACGGTGGTTTCGGGTGTAGGGCTTGAAACCGAAGCCCTGAACTATTGAGGTGTCCGATCTTCGTCATGTGAGGTGGGGGGGTGGTGGACGGGGATTAGGGTTTGGCATTTTGGAGGGGCTCTCGGCATTTCTGCCTATAGGTGATGAGTGTGAGAAGGAGCATTAATGAAGTTGCCCCGTCCAAGGTCTTCTGACCACGGATCCGACCTTTGACCTACTTGTCGGGTATCATGGGGAACTAATACGAAAGGGTAATCTTTTTCGGTATATAGGGGTTGTATAGGGAATATACTGCCCAAAAAAGGTTGCCTACTCTACTACTAGGTTAATGGCAGGGGATGGCAGCAAATTAGCAGCAGCAAGCAGAAAGCAAAGCCATCACATGGACCAAAACAGGTTTAACGAGAAAATTCAGAATACCACGACCTGCTATGAAGTGTGCTGCATGCCAAGCATGCATGCATACCCACATACAGACGGACTGGCAGACAGATAGCCAGGCAGGCAGGCAGGCAGGCAGGCAGGCAGACGGACATGCATGAAAACATCCGTTCAGCATCTGATGTTCGCGGTGGGCATTCTTTCCTTCATTATATCCGATCCATCCACCCATCCATGCGTCTGTCCGTCCATGCATCGGCGCATTCATTAGTTAATTCCTTCCTTCCTGCCTTCCTTCTTTCCTTGCTTGATTCGTTGACTCAGTCATGTATTCATTGTCTGATTCATTCATTCATTCATTCATTCATTCATTCACTCACCCCTTCCATGCATGCATCGATTCATCCATCAATCCTTTTTATTCATTTCGCTTCGTTTCATTCCGTTTCAATTTCATTTCATTTCAGTCATCATGTCTTTCTTTCGTTCGGCCATGCAATTCATCCATCCATCCATCCATCCATCCATCCATCCATCCATCCATGCATCCATCCATCCATCCATCCATCCATCCATTCATGTGTTTGATCCCAGCATCCTCGTCTCTAGTGTCTTCACGCGGAACTTACAATATTTGGGCCGTAAGGGAACCTAGCAAGTTTTCCGAAAGTGCCACCTAGTTGTAGATTATGGGGCCTACGTTTCAGGCTTTACGCTCTGGGTGGTGTAGCTGAAATTCTTCGCATTTCAGGGGTTTTAAAGCTTCAGGCCTGTCAGGCCTTTACAGATACGACCCCAGTAGTGTCCCTCAATATCAGGAAATCCCAAAACGGCCTCCTAGTTTTCAAAACAAACCAGACCTACGAACCCTCAGAAAAAAAACAACTGATTTATTCCAAAGCCTCTGAAGCACTCCGGGGCAGCCTGCGAGATTGTCTTGCGACTTGGCGAAGCCCAGGAGTGAAAGAGCCCGGGGCTGCAATGCAGATGGCAACAATGGCAGCAGGGAAGGTCCTCCGGTTGATGGTATAAATCCTGCATTACCCTAAGGACCCTGGACTATGGGAATTTTGGCATAATCCCTAAGTATGGGTAATGCAGGATTCATTTTAATAAACCCTCCGAGACGTTTTTTTGGGAGGGTCTGCTACGGGGGTGAATCAGGGTCTAGGGCCGAAGCTTTATCCCGAAGTCTCTTCCCAGAGACTCCAATGTTCCTTAATTAAGGAATATTCCTTAAAATTATACTAGGATCCCTAATATGATTTAAGGAATATTCTTTAATTAACGGGTTTTGGGAGGCTCTGGGCTCTTCGGTTCATCGGTTCATGTGGGTCGCGCAACAGCACCGACAGCGAGTTATGGAGGTGCTCAGATTGCAGGCAGCTGGCGGCGGGGGCCGCACGCCTGCCTGCCTCTGATCCACATGGGCTTCGCCACAGTTTGATACTCTGCGGCCTAATTACGCCAGAAAACCGCAAAAGTATCCCTGACTCCGTGAACCAATGGTTCGATGCTGGGGGGTGTTGTTAAGATAGTTGGTCAGGTGTTGGATACCGTAAAAAAGATAACTTTTCTATGAACCGCAACCCCCTTTGCTAAAATCTTTTGGCCTCCTATGAACTGCCTCTATTGCTCTGGCCCTAAGGCAACGTAGCATGAAAGGGAGTTTGTAAGGAAATCATACATGAAGCATCACGGGAGTTTTGGGACTACAAGTGACCGCCGAGTCCTCCGAAGAGCTTCAACACTTGCCATATGAATCTGCCAGCTTCCACACACAGCTTCAGCTTCCATGCAGCACCAGCCTGTGATCCGGGAAACGTCTTGCTGTATTCCCTCTTCGCAATATCTTGATGTCGTCTCTTGTCGTAAAGTTGCGGTTAAGGTGTAGTGCTTGGGGCTTAGGTTAGGGTTTGGGGTTTAGGGTTGCGGATTTAGAATCTCAAGACACTTCAAAAGCTTCAAGTCCTCCTCTTCTGCTTGATTGCGCAGCACTCGTACTCCCTGCTGTTGCCGTCAGTAGCTTCTTCTTCTACTACTATACTGCCACCCCTGCGACTACGACTTCAGCTACGATGACGACCACGACTACTGATGCGATGCCTAGCTTGTTACAGCCTGCTTTGTGGTCCCCGCTCCGAGCTGCGGCGCTCAACCCGAATACATCGTTATGCCACGTAAGGGTGCCTGGGAACTTCTTAGTAGGTTCATGGGTAGTTATAAGTGGTGTTATAAGTCCCCTAATATGGCTTATAAGTATAGCTACCCTACTTAAAGCATAAAACTTTCGCCATAAGTGAGGTTTAAGTTAGCATCATTTATGCTAGCAACATGTTTTCCACGGCTCACAGGCGCCCATGAGGTTTCCGGTCATATGCTAACCCTGTACATTTCAAGCCCCAGTATAGACACAAAAGAGCTCCACTGAACCCTAAACAGCCTTAACCCAAACTCGAATCCCTACACGAAAGCCCAGATTCCGCCCTGAACCTAATTCCCAGGCTTAGGGACCCTCTAGAAATTGGTGCATTTCCATGGCCATGGGCTCATGAGATGTTCTTGTTATGCAGAAAGAGTAACGGGGCTTGTGTTTGTCGGCACCGGGATACACGACACTGTGCAAATCAACCTCATCTCCGCCTGTGCATCGATGTCCTGCTGAGCTTTCGCCGTTCCCAAGCGTGGAATTTCCGGGGCGACAGCCTGCTGTTGCCCAGAGCCCAACACCCCTTAAGTCAGGAATATGCCTTCAATCTTAAGATCATGCCTCCTACCGTTGAAGGCGGGTATATTCCTCCATGAAGGGGTATGGGGCTCTCTGCCTTTTAGGGATTTCGATTTGGAGGCTTTGGTGCTTAGTTTGTTTGAGCACTTTGCGAATCGAGGCTGGAGACGCTTTCGGTTGTAGTGGCTTAGGGTTTAGGGTTTGGGGTCTGGGGTTCAAGCTTTTAGATGAAGGGCAATCACACCTGGGATTCCCTATACATGACTCTCAAGGATTGAGGCTATTGGGTTTCCAACTTTTGGGCTTCTACTGTACCTAAAGTCTCCATTGTAGTTCCTTTTTCTGGTTTAACAAATTATATAAGATCCTTAAAAAAGGAACTACAATGGAGACTATAGGTATGGTCTTGGGGGCTTCGGAGATTCTTGCGGCAGCTGGGCATTGGCCTGCACAGCTGACTCAGGATTCGGGGAGATTTAGACAAGCTTGAAGCCAAACCCCAGGGCATTTGTATAATATATATAAATATATATACATGTATGTGTATGCATTTACGTGAATATATATATATATATATATATATGTATACACCTATGTCCATATATATATATATATATATATGTATGTATGCATGTATGTACGTATATGCACATTACTGCAAATCATTCCGGACCCATGTACCAAGGGTTTGGCTCTAGAGATTTAGGGGGTCCTTTTCAGGGTCATCTAAAACTTTGTGTGGGCCCAGCGCAGGGGTTCAGGTGCGCTTTAGGGCTGCAGGGCCTAACTACTCGGAGACTCCGAGACGTCTGGAAGGGCCCCAGAAAACAATTCGAGTAGCTCGTGCGTTGCAAGGATGTAGAATGTAGAGTCTCTGCGTGGGTAATTCGCATGGACCTGCAATGGACACTCACCCTAAACCCTAAACCCTAAACCCTAAAACCCTAAACCCTAAAACCCTAAACCCTAAACCCTAAACCGTAGCACGGCTCTCAGAAAGCAGGCGGAAGCACTCGTCCAATCCCTTACTGCAACCCCAGCACCTGATCTACCTCGACCGTCTAAACCCAAACCCTTGTAGAGGTATATAACTAGACCCAAGAATAACCTAGGAATAAAAAGGGTGCCCTTTTTGGTTTGAAGGCGCTTATAAGGGGACCAGAACCCCAAAAAAGGGAATAAGGGCCTACTCTAGGTCCTAGATAAACTGCCAGGAATCCTATATAAGGCCCACAGATCGCTCAAAGAAGCCTTAAACGGAACCCGAAATATGGATTCTATAGGACGAACAGTGAGCCGTAGTTGCAATTCATTGATTCCGGACGACGCTTCTCGTTGATAAGAAAGGGGCCTTACTATTCACTAACCTGGGGCTTTACGGGGTTTAACTAAGAGTTCTATGATGATGGTAGGGTTAAGTAGAGGCGCCTCAGTCATTGGAGCAAAGTCTCGGTGTTTTTCTCTATGCCTGTAATGAGGAACGCTAGGAAACAGTACCGGTAATTGAGGCCCTTGTATAGCCCGTATACATCCCTCTAAAGGGACCCTTTAAAGGAACCCTGAAGATCCCTAAAGAGCCCTTCTAGTAGCCCCTAGCTTCTACATTACTGTCCAGGCCTGGTTCCCGAGTATGTGATCCACGTCCGGATGAGTGAAGACAACAGCCTGCAAATGGACTGGGGTTTACCTTAACCCTGAAGAACCTACCTTTTTAGGGCTCATTAATATGATTTTCTTATACACGTCCTGAAAAAGGTAGGTCAAGGTCATTGCGGGTTTAGGGTTTAGGGTTTGGGGGTTCAGGAGTCATGGACACTGCAGGGGAAGAGTGCTTTAAGCGTGATCGGCCGTAAACCGTGAAAGCCACAAAGCTTCCTTAGACATAAGTCCCCTGAATAGGGTTAACCATACCCCTAAGGCTCTAAGGACTCATATTTCAAGGCTTTTGGGCCTAAAGACCATATTATATAAGGCTTTTGGGCCATTTTGAGCCTTAGGGTACCCTTATAGAATCCCGAAAGATCGCTTTAAGGGATCCTTAGGTCGCCAAGAAGACCAGAGGCAGCCCAGAGGCATCAACGCGCCCAGGAGCGCCGCCGCCTCCCAGCATTGCAAGGTAGCGGGAGACACACATCAAGGTGGAAACAGCCTCAACCGTAACAGCGCTAATTTAGGGTTTATCGTAGCGGTTTAGGGATTAGGGCCAGGGTTTAGGGTATGATGATAACAAAATGCTGCAGATATGTTAAGCACCATGTCCAACATCTCAGGACCAGAAAGCCGAGCCCCCAACTCCCTACCTTAACCTACCAAAACCTACAAAAAGTAGGCTCCCTATAAATTCCATATTAGGATTTATTATAAGAACCTACAAAAAGGTAGGGTTTGGTAGGTTAAGGTAGCCACTTAAGCCTTATAGGCCTTGACCCCAAACTCGACATAAACTCTTTATGAGCCCCTCTACGACCATACTACAAAACTCTACAAACCCTCTGACCATCGCTAACCCCCCCGAATCAAGCCCAAACAACAACTCCAGCAGCCTGTGGCAGGGCCCAGCTCTCGCAGCATCGTAGCGGTGAGCACGGGGTCCATTAATGTATCCACCAAGAGACCTGCGCCCGGTAGCTGGTTAGCTTTATTTTTGTGGTTTCGGCATTTGGGGTGTAGGGCCAGGGGTGGCCCGGAGAGCCATACTTACCCGAGGGAATATGTTGATATAGGGCTTCGGTGATATGGGCTGAACGCAAAATCACAACTACGCATACATAGGCGTCTGACAATTAGAACATGCCAGGGGCGACCCCGGTATTGAATCCCTTGGGTCCTGCAGTGCTAGTCTGCGCCTGATCCGTCGGGAGAGGCGATAAAGCCAGCATTGCTCCAACACCAAGATCCATTCGGCTGAATGAAGGCGTACGGAACCTCGGGTTAGGGTTTAGAGCTTCGGGGAAGGTGAACAAACACACTTGGGTTGTAGGTCTGCTGTTTACAGATATATGGAACCTGAGAAATGGTTACAGGGCTTGGGGTTCAGGGTTTAAAGGTATATGATGTCGGCTTTCTATCTGCATAGAAAAACCCAAACTGTCCACTCCAAAATCAAACAGGGAACCTAGATACTGTATACGCTCCGAGCATGTCGAATCTCGATAATCGAGACGACTATACAGGGTCTGTCGCCTCGTTTGCTAGGATCCTACAGCCGAACCTACATCCTAAACCCGAAATCGTAGAACTGTTGTTTTGCTTCACGGTTTAGGGTTGTTTGTCCTTGGAGCCTTAATGCACCTTAGTAACTAGAATCAGGTCTGGGGGTAGATTGAAAACTAGTTGGTATGTATGAACTATACGCGGATACTATTGCTAGCTATTCCGGCCTCTATAATCGAGATTCTACTACTTGCCACGCTTGTACCAGTCCAGAAGGTCTCGTGGTTGCGACTCCACGTGCCACTTGAAGGATCATAACCGGCTAGGTCAACACAAGTATTCAGCGAGATTTTAACTTAAGATTGGTAAGCCGCTAGTACTACTACACCAACTAGACACTCACCAATGCTACAATCAATCGAGCCCTGTATACACTCACCAACACCATACATCAAGCCCAATTTCAAGGATACACTGCGACTGTGCATAAGCCCCGCGCACAGTACGCCTAGCCTTGCTGCTTACGAACCTTCAAATAAACTGTTACAAGGTCCTTTCTAAAAGTGGGCCCCTATAAGAACTCTGTACACAGCCTATACGTTTCCATGTTAACCTATGTCAGCCTCGAGCCGCTGAAACAGTGAAGCCTAGGCCCTCAAATCCTGAACCTCGATGCCGCTCCTAGCCAAAATCCCAGAAACCTAGATCCTTAAACCCTGCATGAATCTTAAACCCCCAAGCCCCCCAAAACCCAAAACCCTCCCTAAACCCTATAGAACCCTAGAGCCCCAATCCCAAGCCCCCCAAAACCCAAAACCCTCCCTAAACCCGATAGAACCCTAGAGCCCTAATCCCAAGCCCCCCAAAACCCAAAACCCTCCCTAAACCCTATAGAACCCTAGGGCCCTAATCCCAAGCCCCCCAAAACCCTAAACCCAGTCCCCTAAACCCTGGGCGCCCACGCGAAGGAGCCACTGTCGGGGCGGACTCTCTGCCTGGCTTCTTGCAAAAAGCTGCCAGGGAACTAACGTTGGGACAATGTAGGTTTAGGGTTAGGGTTTTAGGTATACCCATAGGCTCCATAGTAGTTCCCTCTGGGGGATTACCTTTTAGGATTCTGAATATGAACCCCAACAGGAACTACTATGGAGTCTCAAGGAAGCTGCTAGGGACCTGAAGTTAGAATAATGTAGGAGACCTTTAGGTGTGATATGTTAGGGCTTTTGAGGAACTTCAGTTGGGACAATGTCTGCGACTCTACAGAAATGTGTGGGGGCCACTTAAAAATCGAAGCTCTTCAGGAACGCAGATGGGAGTTTCCGAAAATACGGGATCAGAATAGAGTACTCCTAGTAGTCGGATCCTTATTGTCAGGACCCCAAAACAAAGCACCCCCTAATGAACTTTCGGAAACTCCCAAGCTGAGGAACTGTCAGTTCAAGACAGCATACACACGAAAACAGGAATCCCGGAGATCATCTGCAATGAAAAGGGCAGGGACTGGGAGGCCAAGAGAACTTCCCCGTCTGTAAGTTAAAGTAAAGGTAGAGTAAATGAGGATTCTTGAGCAGTGCTTTAGAAGGCTTTCTTCGGGGGCTTTTCGGCATGTCTTAGGGGCTAATCTAAGAATAGAGCGGACCTTGATGACTGGAACAGGTTTGGTGGACTATATTGCAATACGTACATACGAGCGAGTGTTACGTTTAGCTTTATATACCACCCATGGTGGGAAGTCAGCACTCGACACTACAGCCCAAACCCGGAGATACTCCTGCAAAACCATCTGCGACCTTGCCGGAGAAGCCATGGACGCCCAGACAACGCTTACTAAGAATCACATAGGAATCAAGCTACTCCCGAAATCCCTACCCATACTAGTGCTCGTTGACACTTACAGTAGAAGCCCAAAAGTTAGAAACCCCATAGCCCCGATCCTTAAGAGTAACGTAGAGGGAATCCCAGCACTATTTGGCCTTACTCCGGTTTCCGACTTTATGGAGTTTACTGGGTTGGCCTTTGAACACCCTGAAAAATATTTATATATAGGGTCCCTTATAAACCCAAATAAGGAAAATAACAAATGTCCCAAAATCCAACCTAGTTTACTATACATAGAAACAAGCAACCCCCGAAATCCCTACCCCAACGAGTCGATGATACGCTTTGTAAAACCCAATGTACAACGCTTAAAGTAGGGACGTACGGTTGATAATAAAAATCCTGCATGACGATCTAAGGACTCGTAGATTAAGGCTTTTGGGCCCAAAGACCATGCTGTACAAGGCTTTTGCGCTTTTTTGACCCCTAGGGAACAACAATATGACCAGCTCTCAATCTCAACCTCAAGCTCTACACTTTAGGTACTGCCCTCGTACAGTAAGAGTCCATAATAGGGCTACGATTAAGGTCCAAATATATCTGTATTATGAATATTATCCAACCATTACTGAGTGGGGCCGTACCCAATCTACACTCAACAAGGGTCCAGTGGCCATCCGCAGCTGAAGGGCAAACCTGGCAGCAACCGCAGCTCCGGCGACCTCGTCGGGTGGCCAGGAACTCGAAAGGTTAAGGGTTTAGGGCTTAAGCGTTTAGGGTCTAAGGGTTTAGGGGTTTAGGGTTTAGGGTTTAAGGGTTTAAGGGTTTAAGGGTTTAGGGTCTAGGGTTTGGGGGTTGCCGAAAATTAGGGGTACCTTATTCTCGGTTCCTTATACCAAGGATCCTACTATTTGCGGTACCATATGAGGGTCCCCTATTGCCGGAAACTACCATGTGGGGTGTCTCTGTTAGGACCCCTCTAGTGTCCTTTGTTGTCTACCCACATTTGAGAGTTGAGCTTCGGGTAACTTAGTAATCCTATGTCATGGAGCTTCCAATTTGCGCCAGGGATCCTTGACTAAGGTTTTGGAAGGTAGGCCAGGGTTAATTTTTGCACATCCCGCACAAGGCTTGTATGGGGATTTATCCGTTACCGTCAGAGGGCAAAGGCCAAAGAAGGAACGTGTTCTTGCTTGGCGGCAAATCTTAGTGGATTTGGGGGCATCGAAGATTCGATCTGATGGTTCATAATTTCTAGTATTTTTCTTTGGATTGGGGATAAGGGTTCAGGTTGTAGCATTCAATTTCGCATTAAGCACCTATGAAACTCTCCTCCGTGTCTTTTGACCCAGAAACTCTGTTGAAGATAGTTCAAGCATATCAGCAAACCCCGAGAATGTGCGAAATCAGGCCCCTTCACCCGCAAGCTCTTGAAAGCCCCTTCCACACTTGCAACTCTTGCAACACCGTGACACCCGACAAAACTTCGACAACTACCATCCGGCAAAGCCCCCTTTCGCGAGAACGCCAATGCCTCGCGTTGTGGCAGGATGACGTGAAGTACTCGCGTCTCTCTGTAATGGTCCAAAGCAACAGCCTCGGAGCCGCCAGGTTGCTTACTTGGACATTGGGTGGGACGCCTTTCTTGGATTTATGGGTTATCCTAAGCCCTAAACCCGAAATCCAACTGGGTTTAAGCTTAAGGGTTCGGATCTGAGGGTTCGACCTATCGGTTGAGGTGTCGTGTCATAAACACCAAGGAGCCTTCAAGCCAGGCTCGGAATAAGAAGTCCGTCTGACGTAGGGTCCTGATTTCTAGTGCCTCCATGACGCAAGTCTTCAGGAGCTCTATATTACACTCACTCGCAACACCCTGTTTCAATAGGCATCCTGCGGTTTATGCACATGCCTGTATCTATCTGTCTATCGATCTCTGAGTTTTCACAGACACTGCATATAGTGTGTGTGTGTGTGTCTATATATATATATATATACATACACATATACATACATGCAGAACTGCATATACATATACATGCCAATGCAAACTTGTACGTACATACATACATACACGTATGTACATATTCATGTTTGTGTGCCTGTGCACATATACACACATATACATACATATATACATATATATATATGTATATACATGCATGCACATATTCTACACCTATGTGTGTGCATATGCATGTATGTATGTATGTATGTAGGTATGTATGTATGTATGTAACTGATAATATGTATACATGCATATGCGCAGGTACAGATGAATACTATATGCCTCAATGTCCGTGAGCAACCCTAAGCCCAACACCAAGGCCCTGTTGCACCGAATATCGAGCTGTATTCGTCGCGGAAGAATTCTGACACACCTCCCTACATAACGGCGTGCAACACTGCAGCACTGACTGCAGTTCTTGTTTGAAGGATTTCTGCTGATATGAGGTGCTCCCCGGTTTCGAGACATGGAACGGGCAGTAGATAACTGCAAATCGGCTCTCATGGAAGGGTCGTATCGGGCGTAGAAGGATACAACCGGCTTGCAAAAGGTTGTGCAAGGGCTGTAACTACCTCGGATGGGTAGAAACTCGTAGTATAATCACCTGAAACAAGCACCAGGGCTGACTACCTTGCTTGCTCTTGTGAATATACATGGACAACAGAAGCACATTTTTTCCATTGTGATACACCCGAATATGTAGAATGGGCAGAGCAGTGCGAAACATGAGGTTCTGGTTGTCAGGGCAGGAGCAAACATATCGCAGCAGCGGCCGTGGCAAATACGGAGCAGCGAGCGACGAATGCCAAGAAACCCAGAAACATGGCGTCGCGCTGCCGGATTATCTTAATGATTCTTGCTTGGGTGTAGCTTGGCCTCGCTTGCTCTTATCCTGCACAGCCTCCGGTCGAGGATCGTGCCTGTCTGTCTAGCGCTAGGTGCAGTACCATGGGTATTGGAAGTTGCTTTGGGTTTCTGTCAGGGCTACTATTCGCCTTCTCGAGGTTGTGTAGGAGGTTTGGGGTGTAGGGTCCGCAGGGTCCGGTCTTGGAGCGTCTGAGTGTCGCTACTATCGGTGGAACTACCGTTACTGCAATTTTGTACATGTAACCTAAAGTCCATACACCCTACATGTCTGTCTTGTGTTTTCTTTGATTTTTTGGTGGCGTTTGCAAGTCCAACATTGCTGTGAAGAGCCAGGCTTGCGGAATCCACCTGGCAACGTCCACATCCGTTCTCACACAACCAAATTAGCAAGTGAAGAACAGAAAAGAACACCTAAAGTATGATTTTGTACACCTCCCCAACCCCTCCCCGACTCTGCAGTGCACGATTTCATGTCAATTTCAGAAACCCAATCCTCCAGCATACATCTACCCGTGAACCTTACATCATTCCCCTCTACTTGGAGGCCCAAGGGACTTAGTAAGTAGGTTAGAAATAGGGCTATAAGTACCCCTAAATGGAGTTATCCCAATGATAACCCTACTTACTAAGTCCCCTTTGCCTCCAAGGTAAGTCCAGCTGCCGGCCCTCTAATTTCTTCCGCATTCGTCGGCTCAAGTTGAGGCGCAGATGTTGCAGACTACCACGGCGGCACAGAGCATGCCTCAGCTATGGGTTGGGGCCTAGGCGGTTGGCATACTATAGGGGCCTTCAACAGTTAGCGGACTATTTCGCGTGTACATTAGAACAGTTCTATAAGGACTATAAAGGAAGGCTGTTACAGGCTATTCAGATCTCTGAATTAGGGTAAATGGCCATGCGCTGTTGCGAATTGGCGCTCGGGTCTATACACCCTGAATCCCGCCAAGAAGCCTATATGATGTAACTTAAGGAACTTGCTTTATCCAAATGACAGGATGTGAGAAACCATCAAACCTGAACCTCTTTGGCTTTCTGGCTTCGGATGTTAGGATTGAGGACCATGTGATATTTGGTTTAAGGTTTGGGGCTTGAACTTGGGTCTAGGCTTAGTGTTGGGTTCAGCGGGTTTAGGGCTTAGGGCCCCAGAATACGGATACACTTGTTGGTTGTTATCGTTAAGGTGTGACACTTCTACAAGATTTGAAAGCAAAGTGGCTGGCGCTTCTAAAGCCTTGGTATAATGCGACTCTCAGACCCTAAGCCCTAAACACCAAAATACAAAACCCTAAACCCAAAACTCCAAAATCAAAACCCCTAACCCTAAACCCCAAACCCTAACCCCCGAAGCCCTATAGATCCCCTAAAAGGGATCCCTTAAAGGAGCCCCCCTTTCCCTTTCCGCCCCCTGAGGGCCAGGCAGGCGGGGAGCAACTGACGGAGGCCATCGGAAAGCGATCCGAGGGTCGGGTGCATCCGCGAGCCTGAGCCAGGAACCCTAACCCTAAGGCTCTAAGAACTCAAATTTTATAGCTTTTGGGCCTAAAGACCATATTTCAGAGGGCCGACGGCAAGGAGGGGATGAGGGTTTATGAGGGATCTCGTTAGGGATTAGGGTTTTAAGGTTTAGGGCCTAGTAGGGGATTAGGGTTTAGGGTTTAGGGTCTAGCAGGGGATTGGGATTTATAGGAGTATTCCTTGCCTGTGGTCCAAAACAAACTTTTTCAATCTCGAGGAGTTACCCTAAGGGTCCAAGTACCTAATAAATATAGATGCATGTATATATATATATATATATATACTCTCTTAAACGTAGAGCTACAGAACTACTATCCTAAACCCAAGTACCTTATTATTGGGCCTCTTGGACCCTTAAGGGGAAAGCATGTAGGGGATTAGGGTTTAGGGTCTAGTAGGGGATTTAGGGTTCCTTTCAAGGGATCCTTTAACGGGATCCTATGAGGGTTCCTGTAAGGGTTTAGGGTCTCGGCTTAGGGGTTGGGGCATTCGCGCTTATGAGGTTATGGGTTTAGGGATTAGGGTTCAGGGATTCGGGTTTAGAGTTTAGGGATTAGGGATTAGAGTTTAGGGTTTCGGGTTAGGGTGCAGGCTTAGGGGTCGGTGGCTCTGCGCTGTGGGTTTAGAAGCTTGGAGCTTCGAGTTTATATATGGGTTAGACACGTTTGAAGGCTTAGAGAAAAGCTTAGGGGGTTTTGGGGGTTTAGGGGTTTAGGGTTTAGGGGCTAGAGTTTTACTGGAGTTGAGGGCTCACAGCTAAATTGTCGTGGTCGCGCTGCTACGCCAAAGGCTCAAACCAAAACAGCAAAGGTTTGAGACGCTAACGAGGGGTTTAACATAATGAATCATATCCCTTGGGCTAAAGGTTGCCAAACTAGTAGGTCATTGTATACCTCAGTAACCTACTATTCAGGGAACTGGAGCCCTAGGGGGATTATAAGGGTTTGTACTATGACAGCATCGTAGGGCTTCACCGTGTGTCTCAGTGCTTCACAAGCGCATCAAATCCGCATCAAAGGCTTAGAAGGAGCAATGATGTTTTTGACTCCAATCCTTATATGCCCCAGACCCCTCAACCCTCAATATATGGGAGTTTCCGAAAATGGGGGACCCTAATATATTACCCTAATTAGTAGGATCCTTAGTATAAGGACCCTTGCACACCTCGTAAACCAGACGGCCTTCAAGTAACCAGGGACTTGATGCACTAGCCAAACCCTGGGGATCAAAATAGCCCAAAAGCCTTATATAGTATGGTCTTTGGGCCCAAAAGCCTCAATATATGAGTCCTTAGATCCCTAGGGAAAGCTATTCCCAACCCCTGAACCCTAAAACCTTGACTCTAAACCCTTGACCCACTGAACCCCTAAACCCTGAACAGTAAACCCCTAAACCCCAAAACCCTAAAACCCCTAAACCCCCAAAACTCCTAAAACCCCTAAACCCTCATAACAACCCTAAGGGCTCACAATGACCCAAAAGCCTTGTATAATATGGTCTTCAGGCCCAAAAGCCTTAAACTATGAGTCCTTGGAGCCTTAGGGCAAGGTCCACCGAAAAGAAGTCGTCAGACGGCCCCTGCTGGCTTGCCAAGGCACTCTCTGCGCCCCGTGTAGAGCAGAGCCGCATGGCGAAGTGCCGGGGGCCCTTGGATTCTAGCTTCTTTCGTACCCTAAGGCTCTAAGGACTCATATTTTAAAGCTTTTGGGCCTAGAGACCATATTTTATAAGGCTTCTGGGCGATTTCGAGCCTTAGGGATATGGTTTGGGCCGCGTGGCTTTTTGTTTCAGGCTTTGGCTTTAAGGCGTTGAAGGTTTAGGGGATTCGAGGGCTTGTTCTTCGGGGTGTTGGCTTCAGGGCTGAAAAGGGGCTTAGTTTAAGGGCGTCGAGGGTTTGGGCTTCCTGGCTTTAGAGGGCTTGGGCAGTTGAAGGTTTGGTTTTGGGGTGCGCAGTTGAGGGCCGAATGGGCTTTCAGAAAATTTGGTTTTAGATCTTGAGTTTCCGACGGATGGGCTAAAGAGCCCAGAGCTCAGGTTAAGACCCCGTTCAGGCCTGAAGCTTTTGCTTTTTTTTGTGTTTAGGGTTTAGGGTTTCGTGAACAGGGCCTTGGTCAAGAGTTTAGGGTTTGCAATGGCCCCCGCTTCGAAGCACCGGACAGTTGGGTACGTAAACGAGTGCAGCATCCAGTTCATCTGCTAAACTATACTGAACTTAGAACCCTAGCAAGAATTGTAATTTTAGCTGTTTCTTAGGGATTATCATATCCAAAAATTAAAAACTATTTCAAAGTACCCCTAAGTAAAGGGAGAAACTGCAGGGCTAGGGGAAGATTAGGGTTTCAGGCTGGAAACCTTTACAGTAGAAGCCAGAAAGTTGGAACATGGCTTTAGGAGGATTGGTGCTAGGATCCCTTATACTTTACCTTAAGGGCATGAGGAGAATGATGTTCCAACTTTCAGGCTTCTACCATACCTCTACCTAGACCCCCAAACGTATGTAGAATCGCCTTTTATGGGTGTTGGGCGATTATTTCACCTACTCTTAGGGGTCTAGGTAGGGTTCAGGGTGTTGTGCTTTGTAATGAGACTAGGCGGACATACTTTACGGGATACATATGCGATTCTGTCGAAGGTACCTGCTGGACCTCCTCCCGGGTGCAGATGGGAAACTCAGGGGATTTGGTAGCCAGGCTAAATCCAATAAGGCCATTCGCAGCACCTGAACCTTGCTATATACCATACTGAATATTCAAAGCTATACCCCCCTTGGAACCATAATTAAAATCGTATGTTCAATATTCTCTTGGGCTTTATGTGTACAAAGTAATTCCTGAGGAGACTATAGAAACTGGTGGCAGCGGTAGCAACCGACAGTTCAAAGTTTCATACAACCCTAAACCCTAAACCCTAAACCCTAAACCCTAAAACCCCAAAACCCTAAAACCCTAAACCCTAAACCCTAAAACCCTAAACCCTAAACCCTAAAACCCTAAACCCTAAACCCTAAAACCCCAAAACCCTAAAACCCTAAACCCAAAACCCTAAAACCCTAAACCCTAAACCCTAAAACCCTAAACCCTAAACCCTAAAACCCTAAACCCTAAAACCCTAAACCCTAAACCCTAAACCCTAAACCCTAAAACCCTAAACCCTAAACTGCCCAAGTAGCTAAACCCCTGGAGGGCCCAGGTTTTGGCCAGGGCCGAGGTCTGCTGAATAGATCTCCCCCGAGAAACAACCCGCAATCCCAAAAAATCCACAACTCCATACCGACTACTTTAGGGTTTAGGGTTTTGGGGTTTTAGGGTTTAGGGTTTAGGGTTTTAGGGTTTAGGGTTTTAGGGTTTAGGGTTTAGGGTTTGGGGTTTAGGGTTTTAGGGTTTAGGGTTTTTACTACGGTTGATGATATAAATAGACCATAATTCCCATAGTCTAGGGTCCTTAAGGCAATGCAGGGTTTATACCATCAACCGTCGTCGAACCCGTTTTTCTAAACCACGAACGCCTACGGGTTGTAGAACCCTTATACGGCCACTAACCCCTACACGGCCACTTGCAAGTAGGGTCTAATTCACTGCACATGCACCTGAAGCAGTTGCTGCATTCGGCTGGGCGCAGGGGCCTCCTCCTACAAGGGCGATGAGCTGTATCGTCGGTTTGCTTCGGTTTAGGACTTGGGGTTGAAGGCTAGTGCTGCTTTTACGACTCCAGATTGCCGGTAGGACTGGTCACTACCTTCGTCCAGGTTTCGCTTCTAGGCTTTAGAGTTTCAGTGATTTTTAGGTGCCACCCTATATAAACCCTAAACCGTGCGATCTACGGTGGTATTGAGGATCTGGGGGCAGCGGGCTCTTAGAACAAAAGGTGGTGCTTTCCTTGTGTAGGAGTATGTAGTACCTTACGACATACTTGCCCAGGTCCTGGGTAACATCCTAACATACTTAAAACCTAAACCCTGTCAGTCACAACAATATGGACAACAACAATGTATACAACAAATATAAGAATAAAAATAATAGCTGTACTCAGAAAATCCAGTTCCGTAAAGCCTAAGAGCCCTGAGCCCTTCTGTGACATGCAAAGCCCCACCCTGGGCCGTGCGACGCCCAAGCTCACAAACCCTCCCACACAGCCCAAAGCTGAAACTCTAAGAGATCAAGTTCCCTAAACGACACCATGCGCCAACCCGTCAAACAACCCTAAAGTAGAAGCCAGAAAGTTGGAATATGATTATCCTAAACCTTTTATGGTAAATTATAGGGTATCCTACCCTGAAACCATATTCCAACTTTCTGGAGTTCCCCGTATACAACACAGCTAAGCCCGAAACAATCCGACTCGGTAGTCCGTGCTATTCAATTGGAGTTAATTTTTCGCTTAACAAGCACTGTAAAACCCTATACCCTAAACCCCACGGGCGTGAAGCCCGAAGCCCTAAAATAAAACCCAAACTGAGCCCTAACCCTTACCTTCAGCCCTAAACCATCAGCCCTCAATGTGGCCTGACCCCGATTCCTAAACCCTAAAAGTCATTGAGCCCCCAACCCAAACGGCCCTTCTGATTTCTTGCCTCCGAGTCCACGTCCACACGGGCCAAGCCGTCAGCTCCGCGGCAGAAGGGGCAGTTGAGACGACCTGTCTGGTACGGTTTAGTTTTGGGTTTATGAGGTTCGGCTTTCGGGTTTGGGTTTAGGGTTTAGGGTTCAGGGTTTAGGTCTTAGGGTTTAGGGTTTAGGGTTCAGGTCTTAGGGTTTGGCTTTAGGGTTTAGGGTTTGGATTTAGGGTTTAGGGTAGACAGGAGCCTAATTAAATAGTGCGCACTGCTAGTCTCCCGGTATTGAGACGACCTGTCTAGCACGGTTTAGAGTTGTGGGGTACATAGAGGCCTGAAAAGTGCCCACTAATAGTCCCTCGTCCCTAAGTATGATGTACATTTCAGATAACTCTAGAAAAGAGTCTTCTTGCAATAGTGCACCATTCCATCCCTATGTAACTATGCACAACAGTCCACACGCAATTCTACGAAAGTATATATTTATGCATGTAGACTGCCTGCAACTACAAAACACGAGATTTCTTAACAAGGGGTGTTGTATTTAGGGTTTAAGGGATTTACGGCATTTTGTGGTTCGGGGGGGACTGAAGCTTTGGGTCTTAGGGTTCGTGGGCTTTGAACCTTACACCCTGTACTTAGGGTCTATCTACGGGGTAGAACAGCACTGCTATAGAACGTCTGGATCCCAGCCTTCATCAAACCAACTGATTCATGATTTTGAAAGGAGGAAGGCCCCCGTGCTGAGCTCTTTGAAAGATCTCGGAGTGTCATGGCAAGCAGATATGTTCATCAATCTCGCTTCAAGGTTTGGGAGTGTTGAGGGCTTGTTGTTGAGGGTTGTGCGGCTCTCTGCCTGTGCTTCTCTCTGTCCGCCCTCCTCCCTCTCCCTCTAGCTACACCCGAAACCCTACACCCTGCTGTATCGTGATAGGATGACTAGTAGCTTTAGTTGCGGCCTTCCGTGTCTGTGACTCGCTGCCGGCACCGCTCGCAGAAGACTTGGAAGCAGCAGTGAGTCATGACTGCTGCATTGCCTGACAGCGGGGGTATTATACATGTAAGACATGCATGCAGGTACATAGACATGCATACTCATAGATACACATACCTGCATAAATACAAAATACATATGTACATATATACCATACATTACATTACATTACATTACATTATCTTATGTTACACGACATTAAATCACAATACGATGCATAGCATTGCATTCATTGCATGACAATAAACGACATTACATCACCGTATATGACATTGCATATACCCGCATGTATTCACAGATACATCTACATCTGCATATACATATATACATATACATACATACGTATATAAATATATGCATACAAATGCATATATATATATATATACATACATATACATGTGTCTACATATATTCGTATACATGTGTAAAGGTCTGTACACACATACACTGATTTCTGGGTGTGTATACATATATACATTGGCGTGTCAATTCAATATCATATTACGATGATATTCTACAGGTTTCATGCTGTTGTAACCCTAAGGGTCCATGTACCTAAATAGTATATACATTGGCCCTAAAGTATATCCTATATAGGTACATTGGGCCCAAGGTATATGCTATATGGGTACATGGACCCTTAGGGTAACAGCCATGTTTTCCAGCAACCCCCTTGAAGGATCTGCTGCCTTTATGGTTTTCTTAGTAAGAGGACCACATCTCACGAGGGGCATTGCAGGAAAACCTGCACTAGTGTGGGATTCTAAGGATTTTCTAATTGTGAGTTTCCGAAAATAGGGGACCCTAATCTAGTACCCTAAGTAGTAGGATCTATACTATCAGGACCCGAGTATAAGGTACCCCAAATTTTCGGAAACTCCCAGAGGTTTTCATGAGGTTTTCAGGCCTTCACCTGGACACACGAGTGGCGTGTTCTGCAAAGTATGGGGTCCTTTTGAAAGTGCGTACTATAAGAGCCGTAATAATTAGAAAAGGGTTTTCGGGCCCATTATACAATGATTGTAATAAGGCCCCCCCAAAGTAATTAGTTTTGGTAATTATTTAGGCCCCTATAGTGGGTAAGAATGGCGTACTGTTTGAGGCCCAGCACAAGACCCCAACGGTGGGACTTGCTGCTATCTTGCAGATGCCCCTCCTGCTGTGTACGTCTCCGCACAGATCGGGCAATCCACTTCGCTCTTCTTGAGCCTCAGGATGCTACGGTTGATGACTTAAATTAATAATTGAATAGGGTTTTGGGGTATGTTATGTCACAGTTATGATAAGGAATCCCCAAAATACGATTGATGATATAAATCCTGCATTACCTTAAGGACCCTAAACTATGGGAATTATGGTATATTCCTTATTATGGGGCAATGGGGATTTATATCATCAACAGTAACGGTCATTTTCATCATGGCGATAACAAACGCGGTAAGGACGAAAATGCCGGTGACATGCTTCAGAATCATCACCGCAATAATTTGCTGCCTTGGGTCTTGAAGGATATCTTGCCGCATTGATGTCTGGGTTTCTGAGAGGAGTGGAGCCGTTTGGACAAGAACAGAGCTCTCGCCGACAAGTCGCTTTGCGCCACCCGTGCTCCAGGAGGAGGCCACCGCTTTGGGCTTGGCCTGGCAGGGAGGACCGCTGAGCCCAATGCTGCGTTCTTGTTAGGGGATTTACTTTAAATTGCCATAATAGGGATCTATGGGAAATAATATCATTATGGTTACCTTAAGGATAAAACCCTCAGCAAGAACCCAGAAGGGCCACTCAATCAAAACATAGTCCCGAAAGAATCTTTGAACCGGTGGGGCCTGGTAGGGGAACTGTTGATGGTATACATCCTGCATTACCTTAAGGACCCTACACTATGGGAATTATGGCATATCCCTTATTATAGGTAGTGCAGGATTTATATCATCAACCGAATGTTCCTTCATGACGCGAGGATTTGGGCTCTTTGGGTCACCTACAGCCTCAACCCTATGTCCCCAAGGGTTGCTGAAAGAATCTGTCGCAGAAATCTCCCCCAAAAAAACCCTCTAGGGTTTAGGGTTTAGGGTTTAGGGTTTTAGGGTTTTAGGGTTTAGGGTTTAGGGTTTAGGGTTTAGGGTTGAGGGGCCCCAAGACCATACCCTTATAAGGCTTTTGCGCTATTTGGATGCGCAGGGTGCCTTCTTGCTCGTTTCAGCTGAGGTGTAGAAGCTCTGAAGCGCAGCTTCCATGTCCTCCAAGCTGGACCGGACCGAAAAGCACAGGGCTCAACACCCCTTTCGCTTCGAGTTCTGCTGTGAAGGCATAGGCTCCAGAAGCTCGGAGAAAGGCAGGCTGTTCAGGTAATATAGTGGCCTGATAATAATTAGAATAGGGTTTTGAAGCCAACTACTTACACTATAGTTATACTATGTTATAATAAGTACCCCCCCCAAAAAACAAAATAGTATTGGAAAATATTGTGGCCCCCATAGTAAACCCTGTCCCAGTTGTTGCGACCAAGGTGGACGCAAGCATCTCTGACGCGGCAGCCGGCCACGTCCTGGCGTGAGATGCTTGAGAGGATGTACCTTACATCATGGGGCTATTATAACCCGAAGGCTCTAAGGACTCATGTTTCAAGGCTTTCAGGTCCAACGACCCTAAGGACATATAAGGCTTTTCGGCTATTTTGAGCCTTAGGGGAAGCTACAATTTCGTACGCCCGCAGGGTTTGGGGTTGAGGGCAGATCTGACCTTCACGCAGAAGATCTTGCTGCTGCGGTTGCCGCGCCGATAGTCTTCGACCAGCTCCTGCGAAGATGGGACAGTGCTTTAAGGGATCGGGGCCCGTAATCCCCCTTTAAAGGGATCTATAAGGGTTTCCATAAGGGGTCTATATAGGGATCTATATAGGGGTAGATTAGGGGTTCCTTTAAAAGGGTCTAGAAGAGAGACTATAAGGCTGGGCCTTAATAGCTGCAATAGGGTTCCTCTGAAAGGCTTTATAAGGTTTACTATAAGGCATAGGGTTTTGGGGGACATTATACTAGATTATCATCAGAAACCCCCAAAGTTAGTGTTGTGTTGGTAATGGGGTTCCTTTCACAGCCGACAAGGGCTCTTTTCTGCGACCTAGACGAGTTTCATTAAGGGAAACGGTTTAGGGTTCAAGCTGTAGAGTCAAGGATGTAGGGCCGAGGATGGAAGATTTTATGTTTAGCGGAAGCGCTAAGACGAAAATTATTCCTTCCGTGCCTGCAGCCAAGGCAGGATCAAGGTGGAAAGCTCATCCAAGGCAAGCTTGATACCTCAGTTTTCTTGACAGCCAGTTTATTTCGGGAACCTATATCTTAAGTTATGGGATTTAGGAAATATATATGTACATATCTTATGTTACAGTAGGAACCCTACTATGGTTTAAGGTCTATTCCGCAATTGAGGGATGTTGGAAAATCCGGGGAGTCTTCGCTCGCTTTCTGCTGCTTCTGGCAAGGCTGGAAAAAGAGACTTCTTCGATCCGGGCCTACCTGAACCTACCAAAACCTACTGTTTTGTAGGGTCCTTATAAATTCAATATTAGGGTTTATAATAGGAACCTACACAGAAAGTAGGGTTTGTTGGTTTAAAGTAGCTTCTACTAGAAACCAGGCTATCCAAGGGTTTAGGGAGTTCAGGGTTTAGGACGTTTAGGATTTAGGGGGTTTAGGCTGTCAAAGCATAGATGTACAAGTTTGCACTCAGTCTGACTCGGAGATCTAAATAAGAAGCTGCCAGCCTAAACTCCCTACACCCTAAACACCCAACACCCTAATTATAGTATAATTGGCCCCCAAAACCACATTCTAATCATTAAGGCGCCTAGATTAAACCCTTCCTCCAGGCTGCTGGAGCCTCCCCACCAGCTACTCTGTGACGGCTGCCCCGCGCTGGCGACGACCTCTATTGCGGCCTGGAAGCAAGGAAAGTGCTGGACTAGAGAGCGCTAAAAGGTTTAGGTTTTTTTCTAAAGTGCATCGGAATTTTGATTACTCGCCAGGTTTAGGGTTTGGGGTTTAGGGCTTGGGGTTTTGGCAAGTTTAGGGGTTGCATGGGCTTTGGGGTTTAGCGGCCTTACAGGCCTCTCGTCTTCCAACCAGCTTGAAATTTATTCAAAATAGACGAAAGATGTCTATGTGTATGTACATATATGTATAGAAAAAGAGCCTATCTCAGAGGGACTGGGCCGGGGCTGCCGTACACCGATACATTTGGGAACTCCTTCAAAGCATGTCAGAACTTAGGAGATGTTCCCTGACTTAGGGTTTACAGTAGAAGCCAGAAAGTTGGAATATCATTATCGTAACCCCTTTAAGGTAAATTATAGGGTATCCTACCATTAATCCATATTCCAACTTTCTGGAGTTCCCTTTAGGTGTTTGGGGATGAGGGTTAGGGGCTTCAGGCGTGGATGACGCTCAGACTCCAACTGGCCCCAGAAAGCTACTATTTGAGCATCTTCCCCAGACCTTCCAAAACCCCTTAGTGAAGGAATATACCTTAAATCATATTAGGGACCCTACTATAATTTAAGGTATATTCCTTAATTAAGGGGTTTTGGAAGGTCTGGGTCCTCCCCCTGACTCTACAAATAATTGGCTATGACCCCTTATTCATGGGACCCAGCCGCCTTTTGTACAGTAGGGGTAGGTCCTAAACCAACAGGCATTCATCCATCCACGTGGAGTGCTATGCTGCTAACACTGTAACACGCTAGCATCGCGGATTCCCCCAACAAGTTCCCACAGACCTGCGCAACTAGGAAAGTTGCAGAAAAATCCGTCGCAACATCCACCCAAATGAACTCCTCCTCCTCTAATACAATGACAAGCCTGCAAAGTCCATATGACAAGGGAATGAACAGCTCGAACCATTCAGAAGTACAGTAAACCGTCCCCCATTTGCTAAACGCGCCCTTAAAATGAAAACGCTGTTGGGCCCATCCTCCCGAAATCATCCTTGCCCGTTAACACCGAATTTGCATTAGGAGGGTCCGGAGCAAGAGCAAGCGCAAAAGCAAAAGCAAGAGTAGGAGAAAATGGAAGAGCAGGAGCAACGCAAGAGACGCAGCAGGAGCAGGAGCAACCCAGACCTTCCAAAATCCCTTAATTAAGGAAAATACCTTAAATCATATTTGGGACGCTACTATAATTTAAGGTATATTCCTTAATTAAGGGGTTTTGGAAGGTCTGGGAAGAGCTAGTGCAGGAACGAGATCCCTCAAAAGTGACCGTAGACATAAATCTACCCCCTAATAATCAAACACGTTCCAAGTCTTTATTGGGGGGGGGGCCACCTTAACGTGCATGGCTTTTGGGGTTCTACGTACAGGATGGCCTGCGCAGATATCGTACAGCTCCCTTGTAAGCTGCTTCAAAGCCCTTGATTTTGAAGCCCCTGAAACCCCAAACCACCCTAAAGCCCTTAGTCAAATTTGATGCCGCAACCCACAAGGGACTGCCGGTAATACCCTTAAGCCTAAACCCTAAAGCCCTTAATTAATGATTTGGTACTGAAAACTCTAAACCGTCACAGCCTGTAGTGGCAGGAACGCAGATGGATCGGTGGAGCGACGGGCAGCTCGGTTCACTGCCTGCTGCACAGAAGCCCAGGGCGAGCCACTATTTTACTCAAGTCCAACTAAACGGGCTCTACAAAAAGGGACTTTTGAAATTATATGATAGCTATGAGGGTACGCTGAAGAGGATTCTATGATAAGGGTTCTATGATTAGGGTTCCGTGATTAGGGTTCTGCAATCAGGGCTCATTGACAAGGTAAAATAGGAGCCTTAATTCTAAGAATAGGGTTTTGGTGTATATCGTAGCGTTATTATCATAAACAATCCTGAGGATTAGTATAGGTAACAACTCATTCAGGTTTCTCTTTCACAAGGTTCAGGTTGGCTGGGGCTTCAGGTGTAGGGGTCGGTTTGAGGGTTTAAGGGTTGCATAGTTCAGGCGTTGGGTTTCGCGCTTCTTTATGGTAGGGTTTACTCTACTCGTCTTATGAAGGGTAGAAGACTTGGTTGTCCCATCGATCCTTGCAACCTCCAGTCTGGAAGCTATCCCAAGAAAAGGCAAGTTCAGGGAATGAGCCATGAGGCCTTAACTGTAGGGTTTGCCCAAGTCAGAAGTTATTAGCTAAGAAGGTCGATGAACTGCTCCCATCTGCATTTACGGGGGTTTTGACGAAACAGGGCACCCGTAGATTTGGAGGGATATCGCTGCCATAAACGAGGCTCTTGGCAAATATCTAAGTTCGTTTGCATTCCTCATAAATCCTATTTGCGTTAAGTTCCTTCCAAGGACGCGCTACCCACAGTCATACTGCCAAACGAAAGGCTATCCAGACAAAGGCTTCAGTGCATGCTGGACAAGATCCATGAGGACAATGATGCTACTATGAATGGGAACCCAGGAGCAACCTTACAGAAACAAATGCCTCTGATGACGACATGGTCACTGGCAGCATGATTACCACAACCATCACCGCGATGATGACCGCGATGACGATGATAATGATGCTCATGGTGATGTCGACGGTAATGATGATGACCAGGAGGCTGACAATTATAATGATGATGATAATGATGATGATGATGACGATGGTGATGATGATCATCTTAAGCTGGGTGGAACTTGTGAACTTGCGGTAGCAGTAGTTCGACAAAGTGAGGGACCCGAGCATAGACTCGTTGCGAATTATTAATTAACACCTACACTAGCTTAAATACACCCCACCACCCAGCACCCAGAAGAGGAGGGTCGCGATAGTACGGCCCGTAAAGAAATGGAACATATCCTATTCATGGGGCTTTATACGGGGCAATCCTATGCACGAATAGTATCTGTGTCTTTTTCTTACAAACCGTTCTGATGGCCCAAAAAGCAGCCCCTAGTTCCTGCAGAGACCTTAAAACGCTGTGGACACCACGCTGGTCATCGAACTTTTCCACTACCGATGCCCTGCGAAACAACGCGTGGCCTCCTGCAACCATCGACACGACAAATGACCTGCGTTGCGGTCCTGCCGACGGATGCTGACAAAAATCTAGCCTCTGAACGTCTGCATGCGGCGCGAAGATTGCATGAGAGATTGTTTTAAGGTGTCTGCAAGGATTGACGAAAGTTTTATGTCTATTTACAGCAGCAACGAACTTCCTCAGGGATTTCTGGGTATGCCCTCGGCAGAACACCGAAGCCTGCGAAGTAGAGCCCTTAGGCTTGTTGGGGTTAAGGGTTTATGGCTGGGGGTCTCGGGTTTTTAGGGCTTTTAGGATTTTAGGGTCCAACAAAAATCTGGACCTCTGGCGTAAACCGGAAATCCCAATCAGAAAAAGCTCTCAAACTCCCAAACCACTCCAGGCCGCAATCCAAAACATCCTGCAACCCTCAAGCCATGCAAACCAGATGGAGCTTGTGACTCCCTGGTCTGCCCCAAAGCCCGAATCGCCGAAGCCTTTAGAACCCTAAACCCTAAACCCCAAAACCCTAAATCTCGAAACCCTAAGCCCCAAGAACCCTATCCCTATACCCTACCCCCTAAACCGCAAACCCTAGCCTATGAACCCCTGAAAAGCCCTTTCTTGCTGCTCAAAAAAAAAAAAAAAAAGGAATCCTTACAGGAACCGCTCTGGAAACCTGCATTTAAGAACCTCTAGACTCCAGAAGGTTCAGGGTTTAGGATTGAGGGTTTTAGGGGTTTAGGGTTTAGGGCTTTGGGGTTTTAGGGTTTAGGGGTTTATGTGTTAGGAGCCCGTATAACACTGCAAAATACCCAAGAAACCCTGTCCAGGCGGGAGAGAAGTGACTCGCGAAGGGAGGCCAACTCCTTGACCAGTGGTGCCTCCCAACAAGACAAAATAATGCTTCTTGGGGCTAAGGGTCAGGGTTTAGAGATATTATATGATATATGATAGTTTTACAATAGAAGGCTCATGTACTCGTTTGCTACAGCTTTATGGGGATCGTTTGCTAAAGGGTTTCTTACAGGGTCAAAAAAACTCCAGGGTTTAGCCTCAACGAGCACAGGCGACTCTTCTGTTAAGGACTAGCAATTTAAAAGGATAGGGGGCTTGCTTGTTGTATCTCTTTGGGCTGATAACTGCAGGGCGGGGGAAGCTGTTTAAGCAGGGCTGTATGTGACACAACTACACAAAAGGTTAGGGTACTCCCATGTTGGAAGGCCCAAAGAGACAAGATTCACCGTTTGCGCCCTGTTACTTTTGGATTTGGGGCATGGCTCCTGTGACAAAAACCCTGTTTGCTGCTGGCACCCCTCAAAATCCATGCTTGAAGGGTCACGGGAAGGACTTAGCCAATGGCTTTTCTTATTAAGGAGACTAAAGTCCTGCCAAATCATACCTTAAAACACTGTTTGAGGTACTTCCACTAGCGTTCATTGCCAAGTCCGCGGATCCTTCAAGTAGCCCATAACCAAGAGAAAGTCATGAACCTATGGTCGGGCATGTAGGAATCCTAATTGTGGGGGACCCACACCTTCCAAAACCCCTTAATTCAGGAAGATACCTTAAATCATATTAGGGACCCTACTATAATTTAAGGTATATTTCTTATAGATCCCTTTATAGATCCCTTTAAGGAACCCTAGGTTTAAGTTCTATTCCTTAATCAAGGGGTTTTGGCAGGTCTGGGGAATGTTGGAGGTTTAGGGCTGAAAGGTATTCGGGGTGTCGGGTGGGATTAAACATGCAAGTTAAACCTGGGTGCTTTAAACTTGGGTTCCAAAGCTGGGTTAGAACCTGGGTTTCAAACCTGGGTTCAAACCTGGGTTATAACCTGGGTTATAACCTGGGTTTAAACCTGGGGCAAGAATGGAGGATGCCTTCTAAGAGACGTTCTCATTGAAGGACTATTAGCCTTGCATAGTCTTACAAGTTGAATGTGTGTGCGTCTTCGATACAGCTCCTCCGCCGTTTGTATGCATATGGGATGGATCCAGCATCAGATGAAGATTCTCCGGTGCACTGGATGGGAAAGGGGCGCACGCTTCAGAGGGAGGTTGGCTGGAGGCTTGAGAAGCCAAAGTCTTCTTTAGCATTAAGGACGTTCAGGGTTTCAGGGTATAGGGAAAAATCGCATGCCGGCACCTCGTCCAAAGACTTGTGCTGTCTGTGGACAGACTCCATGACCTGTGCAACTTTAGGCAAGCCGTGGGAAACTCAACAGAAACCCCCATCCTAAATCTCAAACCCAAACCCTTGAAAGCCAGAGTTGACCACATGCAGGCGAAGTAAGTGTTTATGTGGTTAGTTGTATGTATGCGGCATGGGAACAGATGACGTTCACACGAAAAACAACCCCCAGATACACATGCATATATATATATATATATATACACACACGCACATGACTACCCTTTGGCACACATACATGCATAACTATGTCCCTGCATGCATGCATGCATGCATGCATATGCGCACATACCATACATGCACAACATAATTATGTGCATATGAATTTGTATATGTATGTGCATATGTACGTGGGTGTATATGTATGCATGTACATACAGGTTATGTACATATACATATACAGCATATACATATACTATATACATGAACATAAACATGTAAACAGGTATAGCTGCATGCATGGATGGAGGGATGGATGAATGGATGCATGGATGGATGGGCATGTGCTTATCTCTCTCTCTCTCTCTCTCTGTTCTGTTCTTCGCGGTATAGCGGGCGTGTCAAGCCCCGGGCCGAGTGGCTCAGTCCAGTTGTTGCAGGGCTTGCCAGGTAGCAGCGAAACAACGGTGAATTCTCCCGAGAACAAACAGCTGCACTCTCTCTCTCTCTCTCTCGCTCTATCTCTCTCTTTCTGTGTCTCGCTGTCTCGTGAGGAACAGCGGATTATGACTTGCTTGCTTCATCACGGCCTGCCAGAAGCGCATAAAGTGGACCACGCCATCAGCCTCCTCACCTCTTTAGGGTCTTGTAGTTACTGCAGATTTTGCAGCTATGTCTGCAGGTGTATGTGAGTCTGGCAGGGTCTTACGTCGTTCAATCTGGATCTGGGAGTCTATAGCAAACCGCTGTGCTGGTATAAGGCTTTACCCAGAGGTGCAAGTCAGGAGTCGCACCGCCAAGCTATGCAAAAGCAGCGTGTGGGAGAAACCGCTTACATCCAGTGCAACGCCGTAAACTACCCTTCAACGAGACCACGTCAGGCCGGTCAAGCACTCGCCTCCTCTATGCCGCGTCCCGCCACCTCAACCGAAACTGAACACTTCAAGCCTGAACTTGAAACCCGGTAACCAAGTACAGAATCCGTTTTTACCTTCAAATCTTGCGCAGCCTCAGTGTCACCGAAAGAGCATACACTTTGCTCCTGCAGGTACGATGGGGGCCTTAGGAATTGGAAGGGGTTTTGGGGCCCATTATATATAATATAACTTCAATAAGGAACCCCCCCAAAACAGTCTAGGTAATTATTAAGGCACCCATACCATAGACCCTATATAGATCCCCTTTAAAGGATCCCTTTGAAGGACCCCTTAAAGGAACCCTATTCTAATTATTTAACCACCCCCATATTACTTCTTCGGAATTGCTCCTACTCCGGAGGAAACCCCTCTGCCTGCGCCGAAGAGGCTACGCTCCTGGGGGGCGAAAGCAGCATGGTTTCGGGCTTGTAGGCATTCACACGGTTTAGGGCTATGGGCTGTAGGGACTTAGGCGGTTTGCGGGTTTAGGGGCTTAGGGGTTAGGTCTTTAGGCGGTTTAGGGTTGAGCCCCTTGTTTCGTGTGGTGAAATGCTTTTTTTTGGTTCAGTTTCGAACTTTAGTTCAATTGGATGGTTTTGTTTGATTGCCTGTCAGGTCTATGGTTTTGGGGCCAGCGTTTAGGACGACAGGCTTGAAATTCCACCCTGGTTGGGGGCGTTCGGCCGGTGGTGTGGATCTTGTCGTGTATACTTTTGGTGGGCTTGCGGTTCATTGCACTGCCCTGCGTTGTACAGTAAAGAGAAAAAGACAAATGGCAGGGGTCTCTTCAGTGCTCAGGGGTAAGAAATGGTAAGAAGACAGGGAACAACGAAACGAACAGTTTCAGAGTTCACGCCTGCAGATGGCCAGGGGTTTATGCCGGCGCGTGTTTGTTGTATATACGGGACTCAGAAATACTTAAACACGGATACTGAATGCGAGGCTACGTGCAAGGCGACTAGGGTTGCAACTGCTGATTTGGAGGACGGCTGAATATTTGGCGGATTGTTGCCAAGGGCGCGTCGAAACACGTTGTAGAACCTCCTCAAACAACCCTGCAACATCCCTTGTCAAACACACTTGTGCCCTACGAAAATGATACGTACAGAACTTTATAGAAGGACCCCAACAGGCACGTGGCTTCAAAGCTGCTACCAAGGCACAGCTGCAGGGGTAAGAAGGTTGGCGTCGCGGAGCTGGCGAGGTATGGCGTAGGCTTTTTAAGTGTGCTGATTTCATCATTAATCAGCAGGGGTACTTCTGATGCTGTAGTGTAATTATTGTTGTTCTTGTGATTGCGAATACGGCGGCTATTTACAGCTCATTTAAGGGTTGAAGGCTTTCTAGGATTTAAGGTGTTTCAGGTTCTGGTTGATTTTCGGGTTTAGGTTGTAGGTGCTTGATAAGGGTGTAATGTTATCACATTTTATTATTTCTGGCTTTTGCTTCAATTGTTCGGGTTGTGAGGGCTCAACTGAAGGTGAGAATTTGTGCCTAAGGGCCCAAGGGTTCGGGCCGAGTCTATTGGTTACTTATGTTGTATGCTGAAGTCTGGAGACCACTGTCTTAGGAATACTTGTGTTTCAAGGATTTAGCACCGAACACCCTGAACTCTAAACCCCAGAGCCAAAGCCCTTAATCCCCGACCCACTTAACCCTAAACCTTCAAGACCCAAACATCCTCCTTGCATGCTGATCTGTAATCTTACAAGCCCCAGACTAGGACCCAGAGTAGGCCCTTATTCCCTTTTTTAGGGTTCAGGTTCCCTTATAAGCCTTTAAACCGAAAAGGGCATCCTTTTTATGCCTGGGTTACTCTTGGGTCTAGCAGAGCAATAAAACCCTGAAGCCTGAAGTCCAAATGTGAAGGTTGCAACATATCGAAGTCTCAGAACCGTCACCAGCCGACCTCCAGCAGTGAAGTCTACAAAGTTGAAAACATGGCTTTAAGTAGTGTATGAGCATTACGTCGCTCTTTCCGGCTTCCACTGATAACACCAGAAACCAGCCCCGTTTCGGCGCCCCAGCAGATCCCAGAAGCATCTGCAATGCAGATGCCTTTATCTACGGTCGCGGTATGATTACCTCAAATCGAGTTCAGGCTTTTTTAAGGGTTCTTTCAGGATTATATCCACGGTTCTCTGATAAGGCTTCAAGGCTTAATACAGGGGTCTCATAATAGAACAGGATATTCACATCTTGGGTATCTTTCGCAGCCGTACAACCTTCAGGGAAGAGTGCTAGCAATCATGCAGGCTGCTATGCTACGGTCGGGACGTGTATTAGAAACCCAACGTAACCTAAACGTAGTACAGTAAGTCTGCTGCACACTAAAGTAAAACCCAGAAAGTTGGAATATGGTTATCCTAAACCCTTTATGGTAAATTATAAGGTATCCTACCCTGAAACCATATTCCAACTGGAGTTCCCTTTAAACCCCAACCCCTAAATCCAGAACTACACTAGACCCAAGAGTACCCCAGGCATAAAAAGGATGCCCTTTTCGGTTTAAAGGGCCTTATAAGGGAACCTGAACCCTAAAAAAGGGAATAAGGGCCTTCTCTGGGTCCTAGTACACGTTGAGCCCGCAGACAAAATTAGCGATCCTCGTAGTCAACGGACCACAGCCTGTAAAGGGAACTCCAGAAAGTTGGAATATGGCTTCAGGGTAGGATACCTTATGATTTACCATAAAAGGTGTAGGATAATCATATTCCAACTTTCTGGCTTTTACTTTATTATCCAAAAGGGAATGAACACATATAGTTCTTAAAGACCCTAAGCTTCGTCCAACAGCAGTATTGCTATTCAGCCCTCCTTCACTCCCAAAACGAACAAACTCATAGAGTTCTGGCATATAGTCAGACAAGCATCATTGACTCAATTTCCAAAAACCTTACACCCTCTTTCCTCTGCAAATGTATGTCAAACCTAGCAAACGAATGTTGGGCTTCATTTCTACCTATAGTCTCCATTGTAGTTCCTTTTTTTGGTTTAACCAATTATATATTAAGGATCCTAAAAGCTAACCCCAAAAAGGACCTACACTGGAGACTACAGGTAGCTTCTTAGGCACCGGTCGTTGCCTCGCTGAGGCCAGCAGCGGGCAACACCGCACCACGCGGCCTCGCGAAAGCTTGAAGAGGTTTAGGGCTTCGGGTTTAGGGTTTAGGGCTCCGGGTTTATAGGGTTTAGGGCTCCGGGTTTATAGGGTTTAGGGCTCCGGGTTTATAGGGTTTAGGGCTCCGGGTTTGTAGGGTTTAGGGCTTCGGGTTTAGGGTTTAGGGCTTCGGGTTTAGGGTTTAGGGCTCCGGGTTTAGGGTTTAGGGCTCCGGGTTTAGGGTTTAGGGCTCCGGGTTTAGGGTTTAGGGTTTAGGGTTTAGGGCTTCGGGTTTAGGGTTTAGGGCTTCGGGTTTAGGGTTTAGGGCTTCGGGTTTAGGGTTTAGGGCTCCGGGTTTAGGGTTTAGGGCTTCGGGTTTAGGGTTTAGGGCTTCGGGTTTAGGGTTTAGGGCTTTAGAGGGTTTTTAGGGAGGGGGCTCGGGTTAGGGTAGGGGGTTTAGGGTTTAGTTCGGGGTTTAGAGGGTTTAGGGCTTTTAGGGTTTAGGGCTCCGGGTTTAGGGTTTAGGGCTCCGGGTTTAGGGTTAGGTTAGGGCTTCGGGTTTAGGGGGTTTAGGGCTCCGGGTTTTTAGGGCGGGTTAGGGTTTAGGGCTCCGGGTTTGGGTTAGGGCTCGGGTTTAGGGTTCGGGAGGGTTTAGGGGGGTTTAGGGTTAGGGCGGTTTAGGTTTAGGGCTCGGGTTTTAGGGTTAGGGTTTAGGGTTTAGGGTTCGGGTTTAGGGGTTTTAGGCTTCGGGTTTAGGGTTTAGGGCTTCGGGTTTAGGGGGTGGGTTTAGGGTTTAGGGGTTTAGGGTTTAGGGCTTCGGGTTTAGGTTTAGGGTCCGGGTTTAGGGTTTAGGGGGGGTTTAGGGCTTCGGTTTCGGGTTTAGGGCTTCGGGGTTAGGGTTTCGGGTTTAGGGCTTTAGGTAAGGGTTTAGGGCTTCGGGTTTAGGGTTTAGGGCTTTAGGGTTTAGGGTTAGGGTTTAGGGCTTAGGGTTTAGGGTTTAGGGCTTTTCGGGTTTAGGGTTGGGGTTTAGGGTTTAGGGGTTTAGGGTTTAGGGCTTCGGGTTAGGGTTTAGGGGGGGTTAGGCTCCGGGTTTAGCTTTAGGGTTTAGGGCTTTTAGGGTTCGGTTTAGGGTTTAGGGCGGGTTACAGGTTTTAGGGTTTATTTCGGGTTTACGGGTTTTTTAGGCTCCGGGGTTTAGGGCATTGGGTTCGGACTTGACGAGTTGGGCACAGGGTTGATACGGGTTGGGCATGGGTTGAGGTACGGGATCCAAACTACACCCTGAACCACAGGGCTTAGCTGTGACGTTAACCCCCACGAAAAAATAGATTATGACCCCGTAATAGAGTGCAGAACATGGTAGAACCTTCCTTAAAACGGTAGGTTCTTGGATCCCCGAGGTAGTGTATAGTGAACCTTAGAATAACTCCCTATCAAACATAATCTTACTTGAAACTTTCTTTCGAGCCTCCGATCCAACCTATTAGTTTACAGGACTGAGTCGCATACCTCTACATCAATGCTATGACTGAAAAGCTAGGAGTCACTCCACACAATCTTACAAACTCTGAATACAATCTGCATTCGGTCCCTGCAACACCCTGCCTACAGCGCTGCCAGTCGGCCAGGACGCAGTCAGTGATTTCCATGGCAGCCGAAGGAGTACGGTTACCTAAATCACGGATGCACTGGAATTACTAAATCACGGATTGCACTGGAATCCAGAAGAGGTGGCTAGCAAACCTACTATTTACGTAACTGGAGCTCCAGGGAAAGGTGGGGTCCACCTGGAACTCCAAAAAAAGGTTCTGTTGGGTCCGTCAGCGAACGACCTACCGATACCAGCTTTGGAGGGCAGTTGCTTGCAACCCAAAACTCTACGAAATAGCAGGAGAGGACCCCCAAATTATGGGGTATACCTTAACCCCAAACACCTGCCTTCTTTAGGGACTTATATAAAGAAATCATATTAGGGGGCCCTAGAAGGGGTAGGTTATTTGGGGTTAAGGTAGCCCCTAAACCGGCAGAGCTGTCGGGCGTCTCCAGGTTAGGCCTCATTGTCAGCGTGTAGGGTTCTCGGCTGGGGTTTCATGGCGGCTCATACTGCTGATGGTATAAATCCTGCATTACCTTAAGGACCCTACACTATGGGAACTACGGAATATTCCTTATTATGGGTAATGCAGGATTTATACCTTCAACCGTAGTTACAGGCCGTGGTTTGTATAACCGGTGTGTAATGTAGGGATGCATACGGGTAATTTCGACACTTTCTTCTGATAGCCCGCATTCCGGAATGTGCTGCAATATACCCTGGCGAAACATGGCTTGGTTCGACATTTGGGGTTTATAGTTAAGGATAAGAGCAGCATCAGCATTCAAGCTATCGTCTTGGGCATGTCTGTGTCTAAATGTGCTGGAGACGAAGCTGCCAACATGCGGAGCCAGATTCCCGGAGACAACTGCAGGACAATCCATGCAGGAACGTGCAAGTAACAGCTGCACATGCGCTTGAAGGCTCGGGACACTTAGTACGTCGCTCGAATTTGAGGGTTTTAAAGCATCCGTATATGAATAGGGCTCTTTTAAATTGGACGATGAGTCTTTCTGATTAGAACTTAGATTGGAACTTCCTGACTAAGCCCCTCGAGCATCTGCGCAGTGGAGATCTGCGGCTGCAGGCATTTTGACTGGATCAAGCGCCCTCTCAGACAGTCGCCCCGACCTTCGATGCAACGGTCTCAGCTAGAGGACCCTCCTTGTTGATCCTTATGCTAAGGGGCTCAAAAACTTTGATTGGAATTTCTTATCAGTCTTATCAGGGCCCCTTATCTTATGATGACAGCCTAACGCCATATTTTTACCATCAACACACTTGAGCAAAGCTGGGTACTCATTAGCTGCCTGGGGAATCCTGGGGGGACTCCGTGCTCGAGAAGTACAGGGGTTTAACAATCAGTGCAGTATCGCCTCAATAGCAGCCCACTTCTGTACGATATCATGCCGCAAACCCTGTACTAGTTACGGGCTCGTGTCTTCGTAGTTGACATGCAATGAAGCTTTAAACCCGTAGCGGGAGAGAGGCGCAGAGACACAGGACAACAAGCCTGGAAGCACAACAAAACGAGTGCACCGGAGAAAAATCAAACTGCAAGAAGCACAGAACACGAATCAACGAGCAACGAGCACAGAAAACAACAAAGTAGACTGTATGGAATCCCCTGAACCCTACACCCCAAAATCCTAAACCCTCGACAGGACTTTGAACCCTAAATCTTAAGCTTCAAGCCCTTGCAACTTTGTAAGCCTCGCAACTTCCGCACTACACCCTGATAAGCTCTAACTCCGATACCTGATTCAGTACACCTGAAACTCTATATACCCTAATAAGCTCTAACTCCGATAACTGGAGCAGTACCCTGTATCCCAAACCTGAACTCCTCAACCTCAACCTGCAGACCTTAGTTTAAGCCTTACGAAAGCCATTGCGGCTCCATTGCTCAGGATTCCCTAAAGCTTTAACCTTAAAACTGGGATGCCGCAATACAACCCGAAAGGAAGGATTGGGAGACGATTATGCCCTGAGGCCCTGAGGCCTGAAAACCTAGAACAACCCTTCTCAAACTGGAGCCCCTTATGTAGGGTGTGTGGTTTTATGCAAGCCCGTTGAAAAGCCTCGACAAAACCTGTTTAAGCCGCGTCCCGGAACAGTAAACCCTAAGCGCAAACCCCGGAAACGGCAGTCCTCACGAAGACAATTCCTTCAGGTTCCAACTACAATTCTAATACTAATACGATATATCCCCCATCCCAAAATCCTGTTCTAACTGTTGAGGACTTCTAATAAACCTGAAACCCCTGTGGCAGAACCCTTATCGTAACCCTACTCGAATTTGTCCGGGCCCCTATAGCACAGAACCCCTTTGTCAAGGAACCGAAACCCCTATATTAAGCCTTGCAGCCTCATCATTGAGCCCTTATCATAACCCTACACGCACTGTCCAGGCCCTTACAGTACGGAACCGAACCCTTTTTCAGGGAATCGAAACCCTGAGCCATGCCTCCTCCTTGGCGTCCTTGTCGGCCTCTGTGCCTGCGGCCGTGTCCGTCTCCTCCCAGAAAGCCGAGGATTGCACGAGTTCCACCAGTTTAGGGCTTACCTGCAGCCGAAAAGACCTACCTTTGCTGGGTTCCTTATTATGGTTTCTATATATAACTCCTTAAAACGGTAGGTCTTTTCGGCTAACCCCAAACCTTAAACCCTAGACTCCATAAAAAGGGTAGGTCTTTTCGGCTACAGGTAGGGTTTAGGGGTGTAAGTTTAGGGTTGCCCGACTTCCCTGGGGCTGAGCACCCGTATGAAGTATTCAGTAGCAAATGCTTACAACACACCCTCCCCATGCATGCATCCCCCCGCAGCTCTTCCGCAGAACATGATGCAATCAGCATTGCATATCTTATCGAATTTTCTGAAAATAATGATCATCATCCAGTATTCTTGACGTTATTGCTACTACGCTATCAACGTTGCTGTTGTTCCGTGCCTCATCGCAAGTTCCGGCCGACTCTTGAACAGCTTTGGGATCGAAATCGCGAAACTACCCTCTGCGCTACGGCTTGCGGCTTAGGGTTCTTTTGTTTAGTTAGGTTGACGGCCTAAGGTTCAGGGTTTGGGGAACCAAACCCTCGCAACCGATGGGCAGGTTTCAGTTCGACCGTGGTCGAACTATCAAACAGCAACCGAAGCGCCACTGCGCTGTGTGAGAACTGCGCAGAGTTGTAGGTTAGGGATTACTATCGGGCGTTTTTGATTTAGTAAGCCCACCTGGCAAGCTCAGTGCTAATCAGCTCATCCTCATACCCCGTCTTCCTAATCCCATGTACTAAGTCAAGAGGACAGCCTCCAAGTGCACTCTCAACCCGACACCCCAAACCTGATTGACACAACTCCACAGAACGTCCCGAAGCTAAAGGAGCAAACAGATCAGGGCTCCTCCTTCATCTTGCTGAAAAGCTTAGCAAATCGCTTCTTCTCCTGTCACGGACACGATGTCCTAGATCATCCATAGCTTCGCAATGGCTTTGGCTTTAGGCTTTAGGTCTCAGGGAACATGCCTTCTGGGATGATCTGCGGTGATTTAAGGCAGCTTTCAGAGACAAGCTTTAAGCTCCAAACCCCTACTTTAAACCCCAAGCCCAAATCCTAAGCCCTAGCCCGAAACCCCAAACTCTACTGCCATGGACAAGCTGCCACAGCGCTCCGGGGAGAGGGGGGGGGTTACTCCACGTAGGTTTAAAGGGTATATCAGGGTTTAGGGTCAATTTCGGGTCCGGGGTTGCTACACAGGCCTTTAGACTAGCAAGGATCCCCCTGATTTGCAGCACCTTGCCTTCGCATCGTGCTGGGAGAACGCTTGCTTCAGCCTCTGTGCAAGCAGCGGAGTTCGTTGTGAATTCTATCTGGGGCCCTGAACAGAGTTTGGGTCTGTCTGGTCCCAGGGTGCGGGCAACTCAGGAATTACTGCAAGGAGTGAGATGCAGTTGATCCGGGCGCGCCTTTTCAGCTCCTTTTCCACAGCCGGATCCTGATGCGGGCTAATGTAGCGGCCTGATTGAGAAACCCCTTCACAAAAACCTCATATGATATGGTACGTCTTATCTATGTTGAGCACATCAATAATGAAGAACCCAGACTGCAGTTATTCAGAGGCTGCTGCCGGCAGGCAGAAGCTTAACTCACTGCAGACATGTTCTGCGTGTCGAAAACCCGACACTTCATAATCCGGAAAACCACCTACGTCCCGAACACTAAATCAAGTGCAAGACTCATAAACCCAAAAGAACCCGAAAGACTCAGATAGACGCCAATGCAAACTTGTTTACCGTAGCATACTCATCACCACTCAGAATCCCTATAAACATAGGCCGTGAGAACGCTTCCGGGATCGGGGAACTCGGTAAGAAGGTTATGCGGTTGATAAACGAAGGATCAGTGATACCCACAATCAGGAGCATAACTTGCGATCTTACTACGTGCAACCCGCTTATATCGATTGTGCCGACTCCCAAGCAAGCCCTACAGACCCAGCGTGAATCCCAACACTTCACATAGTATGGGACCTGAATACCTAAAAACAGAATAAATAGATTAGAGCGACGCGAACAGAAGGAACCTAAGACGTAATTAGACAAGCTTCTCTAGGCTGCTTCGGCATTGAACGGGGTTTCCATATTCGTGCTTTGGGGCCAAGGTATAGTAGTATAGAACAAGGGCGAATCTGAATAGTGAAAACCCCTACAATTCCTGGCACATTTCTCGTTCAAAGGGTCTGTAAGACCCCCCCAAAACACCCTACAAACTTCTAGAAACATCTTCTGAACTCAAGGGGGCCTCTTGGGGTCTCTGGGGACGATATAGGCCGGTGGAGCCCCAGGGAGTGGGAACTTCAGCACCGACTATCAAAAAAGCAATCCCCCCCAATGTCAAGAACCTTGTAAACCAGAAACCCATCGAACGACGAAGAAGTCCGAATAATTACCAACAGCCCCGCCTTACAATTCTATCTCTCTATACACTATAGACTTATAGAATACTCATAATTCTATATCTCTAGACTGTAGACAGTATGGGATCCTTCAACATACCTGT